CTTTTCTTATATATTAATTCTAATATTATCTAATACAAGTATCTAGTACTATTTAAATGAACAAACCATTTCTCCCCACGAAATTCATTTCAATCCATATCCATATTTAAGCAGTTAGAGCTAAGATATTATTTTGCTAAAAATCATAATAAATGTTCGCTAGAGTGTTACCTAGAGTATTGCCTAGTGTCTTATACCCGAGTGCAATGTTCATTTTGCAAAACAGAGCCCATAAAACAAAGGCGAGCAAAATTTCTGTTTTATATCAAACGAAATAAACTGATGAACCGAAACCCACCTTTGCACAAATGGCACTTAAGATCCATGGAAGCCTGTGTGTGCTTTACATGTTTACATGTACTCACACGTATACATACACACACACATATATATATATATATATATATATATATACACAAATAAAAGCCGCAATCTACAATTTACGCAGTGGCTGAGGAACAGCAACAGCAACAGCAGCAGCAGCTCCACTTGATGCCAGGTTCATTCGTGAATAGCTGCGGTCTGTTTGTGTGTTTGTTGTCCGATTGTAATGAAACTTTTAGGCCCTAAAATTGCTGTCCAAATGTGTGTGCGAGTGTGTGTGTATATATATACAACAATAATACGCAAGGCTATTTGTCATTTCAATTTGTGCACGCAGTGAGCAAATGTATTACAAATAGTCAAATGCTGCTGCATGGATTTTATCTACCACATTAAATGTTGCGAGTGGGAACATCCTCGGCTCACTGAGCTTATCTATCTCATACAGGAGATATCATGTACAAAAAATTCTTCTAGATACTAATGTATATATTATAGAAGACATAGCTACTTAGTCTTAGTTCAAGCTGCTGAATAAGAAAAGAATAAAGTTTTATTTATACAAAAGCAAATCCAAAGTAGAAATTCACTTCGAAAGTGAAGAATATAAATATAAATAGAATATTTTTTATTTATTTTCTTTTGTTTTTTCTCTTTGAGTTTGTTTTTCTTAAGTTTAAAAATATTTTTCTATATAATTTTTCTTTTCTTATATTCAAATTCAAACTGCTCAAACTTTTGCCAAAGAATGCGTAAATGTGGTTATTGATTTCCAAGAAATTTGTTGTCAACAAAATGAAGTGAATTTAGTTAAGGAACAGAAAGAGAAGCTTTCAAAGAGTTAAATATTCTCGATTGACTCAACTATTACTACTGAGCTAGAATGCAACAAATGCTACTGCTATTAATGACTAGAGATCAACTGCATTAAGCACCAAATCATTCTAACAATTCATGGACACATTTTCCATTGGAAATATGGATTTGTTTAACATATGCATAAAGAACTCATTAAAGTTAGCTACGCTGCCTGCTCGTTGATTATTGGTCAATTGCAGCTCTACAAAGTTTAAGAGTATAAATAAACATATTTTAATTGGGGCCAACAACTTGTGCAGAAGGTGCAGCTACCATTATGCACTGAGGCACAACGTGGCACAAAGAGTCTCCGCTTTGCAATTTGCTGCATAAATATCACGCTCTCAGTTCTTTAAGAATGCAAATGTTGTTTGCATATTTCCACGAGCTTTGCAGTGAACGCGTATAAAACAACTTATAAATCATCGACTTAAAAGGCCACTTCTATGACAGAGCCTAATATATAGTCGACTAACATGCATATTCTGGCTGAGTTTTATTTACACAAGTTGAGACCTGAGACTCTGGGTATCGAGTTACTTTTCATCCTCTCGCAATTGAGTGCAGAGTATTTGCTAGCTGCCTGCCTCAACTTTCCGTGCCCCAAAATGTGTATATACTCGCATGTACTTAATGCTATATGAGCTGGAACCTGCATGCAGCTTAAAAGGCCAGTCCTGGCCAATGCAGTCCAGTTGCCTGAATTTCAATACAAAAATAACACTGGAAACCAACAAATATGTTGCGTGATTAAATCGTATTTAGTTTACACTTTTCACAAGAGTATTGCATTGCTTTTTGTTTTTGTTTCTGTTTTTTCTTTTATGTTTTTGTACGGTCTGCGTTGCTTTGAAATTGGTTTAATATTTACTTTAGTTTTTAATTGGCAATATAAACGAGCGCAAATATTTATCAAAGCCCAGCACAGTTACCCTATAGAATACCAGTTACCCTATATATAAAAATTTCATTTTGTGGATAGCTAAAAACACGTTAACGTATTTATAACTGTTTGATAAATTGCAAAGTTAATATAATTCAGAAAGCCTTTTCAAGCTGCTTCTCCTGAATACAGAGAAAATATTTCTGATTATTTCACATTCAGTTAAGATTTGGTAGTTGAAAACAAATGTGGAATATATTTATATAATTTCAAAGTTATATACTTTTGGTATCAGTAAACTGCAAACAAGTTCCACACACTCAATTACATGCCATAGAAATTCTTTTCCCATTTATTGCGCCACGAGTTTGATATTTGCACAGGGCATTTCGATGTTCTATTTTCTCGATTCGGTCTCATGTAAATGTTCAGCGCCTGCAGGCACATAAAAAATTCAATATTTGATTATTAACGAACATTTTTGTCAACTTTAATAATGGCAAAAAATTTCCTTTGTGTCCATACACATAGGAAAAAGGGCACAGCCCAAAGCCACAATAAATTATATTTTTATTTTTGAAAAGTCTTTAACATGTTTCGACCTTCCAAAAAGTAGATTTTTAAATTGCTGTATTTACCAAGAAAATAATGAATAAATTTAATTTGCGCTTTCTGAATCTAAAAAAGCTTATATATTTAAAATTTATTATTTATTTATGTAGAATTTCTGTATTTTACTACATTATATATTATAATTTGAAACCCGAAAAGAATTTAAATACAAAACATAAATCCACTCTAAATCATTTGGGACTAATATTAATTTTGAAAAATAATATTATATAAAGAAAGATCGAAAGAAATAACGAAGAAGGAAACCAAAAACAACAAAACTTTTCTGTGATATTAAAAACTAAATAGAGCAGAAAGAAATTTAAATTAAATATGAAAAAATTAAATATAATATTGTTGAATATTTCCAATAAAATGCTACTTTACTCGATATATTACTCACAAACTCAATGATATCATTATAAAAATACATAAATGTAAAAATGTTAAATAACTGCATATAAATAATTACTGTTATTGCATTGGGCATGCTTTTTAGATAAATACTTTTGACTCACTTACTTACTAACTAACTTCTTTGTCTTCCACTAAACAATGAACAGGATCAGGAGGGCCCCAAGGTAATACCCGAAGAAACGGAACTAAATTCGTCCAAAATAACTGTATCAGGCTGTACGGAGGAGTTGGCTCCAAAAGCTCAGTCAGTCGGCGTGCAAGAGGATGACCATTGAAACACATCCTGCATTTAGCTGCTGAGGCGTTTTCTATGGGGCGTTTGAGTGATATTACAAGAAAAAAACAAACAAAACTAATTGAAATTATGCAACAGTAAAAATAGGCAAAAGAGGACGGAACAACGATTCTGTGGACCGAAAATGTTAAACAATTTATCTGTTAGTTTGTACATTTGTTACGAATATGTTATATAAATTATGCAAAATAAACGAAAATATTGTTGAAAAAACCCAAAAGCCAAAATTGAATTTCAATTGCAATAAAATTTGCCAGCGGGAATTTTGCTCTGAAAATCATTTATTTGCTTTTTGCTTAACTTTTAATTGGTATTATTAACGAAAAAACTGAATTGCCTTAATTCAATTTACACATATGTTTAATGTATTTACTTATTATTTAAGAATTTTAAATTATTTTTTGATTTTGTTTTTTTTTTGCTAGATTTTAATTTTCAGCTTTAAATTATTTATTCTTCTTTTTTTTTGTAACTTTAAATTTATTTCTATTAAACTGTGATGAGCCGAGCCAATAGTATTAGCTACTCACAGTTTTGGAATTTAATATAATTTATTAAATTTTATTTTGCAATAATTGAGCTCGTTTAAACAAAGGATGTTTTTATAATTTAACAAGCAGCAAGAGTTTGCCTTGATTCCTTTTAATCAAGCTGCAGCTACAACTCTGACTGAAAAACTTAATCTAGAGTACAGTCCGGCCGAAGAACTACAAATATAATATATATATAAATTTATATATATAGTATATATTTACGAAGTTTTTTCAGAAACACTCAACATATATATTCTCATTTAATTTTCCCTTTGTTTTTCGGATTTTCTTGTGAAGCCATTTGTTCTGCACTTTTGAACAATTTTAAAACATTTTACAGCAATATGCTCTATGTAGCTAAGAGGAACACACAGACAAACACATATTATGCAAACAAATAAAACACACACACAACTGCATTAACCGCAAACAAACAAAAAACAATATTTTGGCATGGCTTTTGATTTATGTTAATTAATATTTAATAAGAGCTTATGTTTACGCTGTTAGCCATTAGCTTCCATTTAATGTACATTTTGCCTTTCATGTGACTCAACAATTAGCTGCAATAATCTCTGCCACATAACAAAGCATCACACAGGCCAACAGGATTTTGCTTTTTTGTTTACCTTCTAAAAAATATTGAAAGCTTGGATTTTGTTTTACATATTGCAACAAAACGAAGATCAAACAGCAACATTCTTTTATTTGATTGACAAAAAAATATATTTGCAAAATGTTGTAAATTATTTTGTGGTGTAAGGGTAGGAATTTCAGATACCTAAATGTTGTTTTGGAATAAAATAGTTAGCTGTATGTAACTAAGCCTCAAATGTGCTCTAAAATTTCATTTTTGGAACTTTTGACTGCAATTTTTGAGTCTTGAATGACAAAACTAATTTCTAAAAATGCTAGAAGAAGTATTTAAGTGAAGCAGCAATATTTTCAGATACATTAGTTAAGTATTTTATAACAAAATAATTTCTGTATATTACTAAACTTAAAAATAGAATAGAAAGACAATGTATGTATGTCAAAAACCTGATGCAATACAATTTGTCTAATGTCAGGTTCGGGCTCAGTCTGATGGCTGATTATGAACTTTTATCAAATTTTGTTGGCCTGTGTAATTGAATAACAGTTTGCTGTCTATTCTTTATGCACGCAAATAGTGAAATTTGATCAACGCGGTTAATTTTAATTGATTATTTATGTGGCCCATTGAAAACAGCAGCTATAATGGGCCTATTATTGAAATGAATTTATTTAATCAATGGTTTAATCTTCTCTGCTGGCAGGCAATACAAAAAAGGGGAAATCAAATTAAATATTGAATACCTTTTGTAGTAAACTTCTTCGCGGGAAATTGCCCTAAAGTCTATCGCTCTGAAGTGAAGTGAATTAAATCTAATCTTGTTCTGTGTATCGAACTAAAAACTTTCCTTTTTCAGAGTATTTCAGTTTAAAAATAAGTACACAAGCAGCTTTAGCATATTATCATGGAATTATCATATTATATTAGCTTAATTAAAAGTTTTATTTATTCTCAACTTGAATTTGTCATTTAATAATATCAATACTGCTCATATTGTCAGTACTGGCAACGTTTATTGCTAGAGTAGCACAAAGAAGTGAGCTTCTATTTCTACTAATGTGTTGGAAGCTTCTTCGTAAATTTAACTAACCAGCGAACGTCGTCGTCGGCTGCCGTTCCGGTTGCTGTAGGCAAACCTCACTGTATTAGCGGCAATTGCTGTGAGGAGCTCTCGCTGAAGTCAACCGTGTAGTACATATCGTTCTCCATGTTCATGGCCAGATGCCTTTGGAAAGGCCTCTCGTGCAGCTGGCCGCCGAGCGTTGTCTGTGTGTGGTGGCTGCTGCCATTTGGCTTCGAGGACAAATGGCGCGTTGACTGCTGCACCGGATTGCTGCTGGCTGCTGCAGAGCTTGCGTCACGCTGTGCCACTGCAGCGGGATCATTGAGCGCCTTGCCACTTAGCCAGTGTTTATTGAGAGTGCCCTGCATCTTGGGTCGTCGAGTGAACCCCAATATGGGTATAAACGAAGTGGAACGCGTCGAGAACTTACGGTACGTTTGATTCACGTTGCAGTGACAAATTGTGACCTAGTTGACAGACGGCGAAAAAGAGAAGAAAACACAAACAGCGAAAACAATGAATATGCAAATATATAAATATAAATCAGTTCCAGCATAGCTGTGGCCCTTGAATCATGCTAATAATACCCAGCTATGTGTAGCTGACGGCTTGTATGTGCTGAAAGTGTGGACAGGATATTTCCTAGTTGAGTACTTTTTCCCCGAGGAATTAATTTTAGGTCATGAGTGAGTATAAGCTTTTACAAATGCATTCTTTTCAAGTTGTAGCTGTTTACAGAGTATTTTCCAGCATGACACCTAATTTTTTGCATTTCCCTTATGGAATACTTTTGATTAATGTGAATTTTCTTGAAGTTTCTCTTGCTAAATATAGGGTACTGGCTAATTGGACTTGACTTTTCAGAATTCCCCTGAACATTTGTCTTTAGCTATTAGCCAAGTGAGAGGTAGTTTCTCTTCATTTTCTTTCTAATTTATTATTTATAAATCAAATCCCTGAAGATTTATATATTTAGTTTGTGATAAGGTAAGATGTCAAAATGATGTAAGCATAAAACATACAACTGAACAACGAGTTTCGAGCTTAAGTCCCAGGCTATAATATGGATGCAATGCAGTCGTTGCCAAAGATACTTTGGGGCAAAGGCTTATCAAAGAGCTAACTATGACTCTAAGCTTCGATCATTGGAATACAAATTCTGCCAGTTTCTATGAACTCTGAAATGTTGTACTATAAAATTTACTTCATTGCTGAGTCTAGGGTATTTTCTAGTAGTAAACTATTCAATTTTCACAAGTTTTCAGTTTATTCTCAAGTGAGAAACTAATTCAAAATATCAATTAGTTTATGCACTTTACATCAAGGTAAATTACAGGGTATTTGCTAGAGTGCTACTTCCGGAAAAATATGACTTGCCTTCAGTATTTAAGTCTCAGGGCTGCGTGAGGAGGAAGTATTTTCAAGTATGACACTTTATTTTATTTTTCCCTTCATTAATCATCTTTAGTTTATAACTGAGAGCAGAGCACTTCCCCAGGAAGAGTATTCTTGACTAATAAGCGTTCCCTTGGTATCTGGTATTTGCAACAAATTTCCAGCTGGCTTAACAACATAAGTAACAAACTAAAACAGTTTAGTAAGAGCAATTGTCAGATGTTAAATGGACTTCAAAAGCAGCTTGTGAAAGCTTTCGCTTTACTCTATGCATAAATTGGACTCTGCTGGACCACTCGATTGAACTGCACTATAAAAAAAGCCCCAAAACAAGCGACAGTTGAGCTACGGTTGAAAAAATGCCCGTAACTTAAAACATGGAAATGAATATGCAATGCCACCTCACAAGACCGCAAAGTACAATTTCCTCGATGGCCAGGCCCTGTTTCATGTTCATGCTCTTCCTTTTGTGTGTGTGTGTGTGTGCACGTGTGTATGTGTGTGTGTACGCTTTACTTACCACAATGGCAACGATGAAAATGGCGGCCGCCAGAACACCAGCCGCAAAATATGCATTATGCAATTCAATGGGACTTTTAAGCACAACCGATGAACTAAAAGTTTTGTCATTAAAATTTCTGGCATTCGCGTCGTCGACGATAAATTCACTTGAACTGACGACGGTCTCCACCACAAACTCATCTGCAGACCACAGAAATGAATATAAATGGTTAGTTCGCAGCCCGTCGGCCTGCAAGTCTTAGATAGCCCGCAAGCTTAGCTTAATAACATGGCTGGACACACACTTACCCTCGCACATGGTGCCCGTGTAGCCGGGACGACAGGCACAGTAGAAGCTATCACCACTGGACCAGCAGGTGCCGCCATGGGTGCACGGATTCACGCTACATTGCTGAAAATACTAAATGAAAGTTTGTTCCATTTTTGGCATTTGATTATGATTCCTGCTCTCTTTCTGTCTCTCACGCTCTTTGCATTCGCGCCAACTCACGCATAAATGTACATATTTGCTCTATAGTAACTAACAATTAATTGGGCAGGTTCTGTGTGCTCTTGGCACATTAAATATATTACACGCGCCCATAATTGTGCGCCATAGTAAAAAGTAATTAACTCGCCAGCGGCTGGCAACGCAGCGTCCTTCATCCAGCTGCCGTTGCTGCTGCTGCTGCTTCTGCATGAGCCTCGCCACTTGCCCCCTATATCCGCTGGCAAACAGGTCGCTCTCCTAACCTAACCGAGGCCCTTCCGTTGTTGCTGTCGCTGTCGTTGTCGCTGTTCCTGATGCTGACGGCGAGTCTGCTCTCAAAATACATATAACAAAAAAAAAATGCCCTCACTGGAGTTGGTTTTTGCACACCCAGCATGTCCATCATCGTCGCTGCAAAGCTTTAATTATGGAGCGCCTGACGCCTAATTTATGGACACTTTATTAAGTTCTATTTTACCACCGAAAATTATCAAGTCATTGAGTGTTTATTAAATATTCTGAAGTGTGCTTGCAGCTGGCGTTAATGAAATGGCACAGCTAATTGTGGCTTACTCAAGTCTTCTCTTGTCTTCCTCTCATGTTTGTCAAATCTTTTGTAAAGGGTTTTCGCTTAAGAAGGCCAATAGAACAAGAAATTTTCGACCAGGTGACAATTGCACTCATGAAATTGTGGCTCACTTTCCAAGCTAATATTTTGCACACATAAAAATAATTTAGAAATTTATTTGCGATCGCAATTTAATAGCAAAATTGGAATAGTTTGAAGATTCTATTATATTTTTCTATTACTACTTTCATACTAAATTCATACTAAAATTGTCTTTCATCTTCAAATGCATTCATTCCCTGAATTTTTACCCACTGTGCGTCGTGTCAATGTGAAAAGAAAATAACAGCATTTTGTAACCAAGAAGTAGACTATTGTCTTTTGACATGCTGAGCCCAAACTGAATTGAGAATAGTCTGAGGAAAGCTGCAGAAAATTGTTGCTTTGGACATAGTTAAGCTACAGCAACAACCAGTTTACAATTTTTTTGTAATAATACAGCTAGTTTATTTGAAACCTCTTTTAAATTTTTGAAATGTTGCTAAATTGAGCCGAGTTATAGGCTGAGATTGAGAGAAGCAGAGAGTGACTGAAGCACAGCAGATAACTAAACTGAACAGCCAATAACTCAGTAACAAAAATAGATAAAACAATTATTTAAAAGAGGTTTAACAGATAAAGCCTAACACTTTCAAATGGCTTACTAGTTACTTTGAAAAAAGAAATCAAATTATTTTGAAAACACAGTTCATCACTAGACTAGAACTAACTCCGTTTCATTCAATGATTCAGGAAACTGAACTCGCAAATAAGTCAAAATACAAATATATAAATGGTCTTAAGTGCACGCCATTTAGCTTAGCCAATCAGTTGGAAAACTGTATAGAGCTCTTATAGATATTATATCAGACTAATTTAAATTACTTGCAAATTGGATTACAATGGCAAACTATCAATATTATTACATCGTCTTGTCCCGAGACAAGCGAAAACAATCTGAAGAATAAATCAGTGTAAAGTACACAAAGCACAGCTCAAAATATCTAACATGGTCGAGATTGAACAAAAGGAACAATTACAAAGTTGCATTCGAGCAGAACATTTGTGCATTGTGCTCAGCTTAACTGTGTCTATATACTATGTATATATACTTGTATATATATATATATATATATATGTATGTATACGAGTATGTGGCTTGGCAATCTGTTGTCAGCAAATTGTGGGTATTTCGGGCTTTTTGTTATGCATCTCCGGCTGGCACGCACACACATAGATCCACGCACACCTCCCAGACTCTCGACACCTATTTGCCGCACAGGAAAACGTTTGGCCTTTGCAGGAAGCCATTTCCACACAGACAGTGAGAGAGAGAGAGACAGAAAAGGGGGGAGGGAGAGGAAAAGCGCAGGCTGCTGAGTGCATAAATCATGACTTACCGTTCGTGGCATTTGATTACAATCCGGTCCATTGCGACCTCCTGGGCATTCGCAGCTGAAGTCATTTCCATGATCGATACAGCGATGTCCTTCGGGACAGGGCTTATTGGCGCAGAAATCAACCTAAAACAGATGAAACTCATAAGAAAAGAACTCGCAGCCCAGGCGCATATTGAAAAGCTGGACTTCATTACATATTCAAAAATATAATAATGCCCCCCACAGCTTTCCCTATGTCATCGATATAGACAGCCAGATGTGAGCTATGCTAAATTCAATCATCGCCAATTTTGATTGCATTGACAACTAGCTGGGGGCTCTTGACGGGGATGCCAGCCAAGCTAGGCAGATTATTTTAAATTAACATTTTCTTATATTATATTTTCTTTTATGCAAAAGTCAAGGAGAACGCGGGGCCCATAATCTGACATTCAAATATTTTCATCTTGTTTACATATGAGATGGTTTTATAAGTTGATTACGCAGGCTGCCTTGCGCTCTGATATTATGTTAAACAAATATTCAATACCTCAATTGTCTGCTTAAATCAGAGCAGCATCATAAATGCTGATTAGCTTCAGCATTGCTCAAATTTACATATTTTTTTTTTGTTCGAAAGTCATTAAATTTCACTTAATTCTGAGGTCAAAAGTCGTGAAGACAGCATTAAAAATATTCGCTTTAATCAAGTTTATTTTATATATTATCATTTTCTTTTGACTGAATATTATTTTTTTGCTGTTTGATAAATATATTAAAAATGAATATAAATTAATAATATGTTAATATATTCGTAAAGTAACTCTTTTTAAATTTCTCAACTCAAAGGTGCCAAATTTCCAAGATCCAAGCTTCAGTTCAAGAAGTTATTGACACATTTAGAAGCAATTTGTGAGAAGCTTCAGTCACAATTAAATTTGCAGTTTTTCTGACAATTTGACCCAGATTTTCTAATAACAGTTTTCAGAACACGCAACGATGCGAAATATGCTGACATAATCATGAAACGGTACTTTAATGGATAGCATAAAACCTTTTCGAACGAGATCTAAAACAAGAAATACATGAAATAAAAACAAAAATAAAAACGCGCTTCATGCAGTCGCCTCGCATAAAAATGCGAATAAATTAAATATTTATTGCTATCTAAGTGTGTACAGACAGGAAGCACAGAATACGTAATATTCACAGTTTTCGGAATGGTAGCCGGGTCTGTCATTTGCTTTAGTCTCACCTTGACACTCACCTTTATTTGGCAACGATTGCCCGTGTAACCTTTCGTGCAGCGGCACTCATAGCTGCCAATGTGATCGATACATTCGCCGCTATTCTGACATGGATTCGATTCACATTCATTATATTCAAAGTTGCACAGCTCGCCCGCAAAGCCTGCAAAAAGAGTGACAGAGAGAGAGAGTGAGAATGAGTGAGTGAGTGAGTATGTGTGTGTGTGTGAGTGAGATGTAATGCTAATGTGCAAAATAAATGAAATGGAAATTTCAAACGAAATGGATGTTGCCAACTTTGGAGACCTGACTCCCAGCGCTGCCTTTCTCCTCTTGGCTTTCTCTTTGCTTTTTTTTCATTGTTGTCGAGTTTGATTTGTGCAAATTGTGTTTGTGCCAATGAAATAATTTATAAGCTTTAGTGCATATTTTATTGCTACATTTCATAAGAAACTTTCGATGCGCGCTCCGATTGGCCCGCCTAATACAAATGACTGCATTTTCCTTACTCCTCCAAAAGCTGTCAAGTCAAATATTGGCCGGCAATATAATTTGCACAGTAAATAACATTTTAGGAATTGTCAATTTAATAGCTGTTCCCAAAGTTAGTCTAAGCCTCAATTCGCTTCTTTCTTTCATCCATTGAAATATTTTATACAATTTAATGTTATTGTAAATGTTTTATGACTTAGTGCAAATAATGCCAGGCCTCGGCTTAGCCTACGCTTTTACTGCCTGCTCACCTTTGTCAGTGCATTCAGCTCAATAATTGTTTCAATGCCCTTGGCAAACGAACTTAACAAACATGCAAAACAGTTGCATGTGTTTCGATGCCTAATACTCAATACATGTTCTAAATAATTCAACTCAATACACCCAGTTACTGAACTGCGAAGGCTTATCACGGCCCTTGGGAATTGGCCTGGCTCGATATTTTTGCTTTCAGAAGGCAACATTTTAAGTTTGCATTCCGTAAAGAGTTTAAATATATTGATAAATTAAGATATTGATAGCCTTTACCTGGCTGACAGAAGCAACGAAAACCGTCTTCTTGATCCACACAAATGCCATGCAGACAGGGCGACGACTCGCATTCGTTTAGGCTATGCTGGCAGAGTGGTCCCGTGTATCCAGGTGCGCAATCACAGCTAAAAATATAAAGAAATTTACATTGTTGTAAAATATATAAGTAAAAAGGTCCCGAATGTGTCTGCAGCAGATAGAGACCAGAGAGTGGACTGAGAGACAGTGAGACTAGAGTCAGAGAGTCAGAGTCAAAGACTCTGATTTCAAAGACATTTTGAAAGTCTGTCTGCCGTCTGCATTTAAACAGCAACAAAAACTTAATAGTTAAATTTAAACAGATTAAATTCTTAACTATTATACTTAGAGTTAACTCATCACATAATATTGATTCAATATGTAATTTCTTCATATTCACTCTCAACTTTCCTTGCTTCTTATCATGAATTTTGTAAGGCAGAACATAGCTAACAGTAAATCTAACTCATTAGAGGGATTGGAGCTGAAATGCAATGCTTTCTAGACTTCTAACTGTTTTTTACACACACGCTTCAAAGCCCCAATCGCCCTCCTGACAACAAACATCAATGAAAAGTTATGCTATGGCAAAGCGTCGTCAAGGTGTGATTGTGTTTCGGCTTATGTATGTGGTATTTAACCGTAAGCTGGAATGTTTTAAACAGCAGTTGAAGGCGAGCTTCAGATTATACGTGAGTCGTGCACTTTCGCCTTGATATTGTATGATGTTGTAAAAATGTTTATTTGCCACTAATTGGTAAACCACGAACACCAGCCGTAAATGCTTAAGAATTTTTAAAGCCGTTACGCTTAGCTGCTGCTGCTGCTGTTGTTATTATTGTTGTTGTTGTTGGTGGTGTTGTTGTTGTAACCGCATACTTAGGTGGCGCTAAAGCGTTTGTGTGGGAAACTTGTGCAGAATTTATATTATGTTTTGAACATTTCAAAACAACAAAAAAGAGTTTTTAGTGATAAATGGGAGTTTTGCTTAGGTAACTCTAGTAATGTTCCACTTAAATACAAGCTCTTATGTGCAGGCTTAAATAAATATATATGTACCACTTCCTGAGAGGGCCAAAGCTAAATTTTGATTTCACGTTTTCAATAGGTTCAGAGATAAAAACAGTGGTTTGACGTTGCTTAAAATAAAACATACGATTTCCTACATGTCGAATTCCTACATTTAAGGGCACTAAATATATTCTCTATTTCTCTCCTGCTCACTTGATGTGATACTCACTTGTTGTGATACTTGCTTGTTCCGATACTCTCCTGCTCTGATACTCTCCTGCTCTGATACTCTCCTGCTCTGATACTCTCCTGCTCTGATACTCTCCTGCTCTGATACTCTCCTGCTCTGTTACTCTCCTGCTCTGATATTCTCCTGCTCTGATACTCTCCTGCTCTGATACTCTCCTGCTCTGATACTCTCCTGCACTGATACTCTCCTGTTCTGGTCCTCTCCTGTTCTGGTCCTCTCATGCTCTGATATTCTCCTATTCTAGTCCTCTCCAGTTCTGGTCCTCTCCAGTTCTGGTACTCTCCTGCTCTGATACTCTCCTGCTCCGATACTCTCCTGCTCTGGTACTCTCCTGCTCTGGTACTCTCCTGCTCTGGTACTCTCCTGCTCTGGTACTCTCCTGCTCTGGTACTCTCCTGCTCTGGTACTTCCCTGATCTAATGCTCCAGTACTCTCCTGGTCTAGTGCTCCTCTCCTTATTCTACTCTCCTGCACAAGTGTTCTACTGCTATAATGCTCTCCTTATTCTGCTCTCCTGAACCAATGTTCCAGTACTATCCTGTTATAGTGCTCTCCCGCTCTAGTACTGTTCTGCTATAGTACTCTCCTGCTATGGTCCTCTCCTTCTCTAGTACTTTCCTGCTCTAGTGTTCTCCCTCCGTCCTTATTCTGCTCCTCTCCTCTCCTTGTGCATTCAGTTCTTAATGATCATTATCGCTAATGAACAATATGACGAACTTCATTATTATAATAACAATTCGTGTTTACTAATACTTAAAAGTAACTAAAATTATACATTTTTAACATTTAAACAATTAAATATTTATTAAACAATAAAAACTTAAATATATTAACATTTAAATAATTATTAACAAAAAAACCTAAATTTATTCACCACTTGCACTACACTGCACGGCAACCGACCCAGTCCAGGTCGAAAACTTGACTGATCGGCACAGCCGCAGCTGCGCCCTTTTATACCCAAAAGTCACTCAAAGGGCGACGCCGGCAGAGCTGCTGAGCTCTGTTTGAGTGAGAATTAACACTCATTTTATACAAGCAGAAGGAAAGGCGACCAGACGGAGCTATAAACTAACAGCTTGTCATTCTGAACGGGAATATGCTATACATATATACTTCAGCTGCTGTTGAGCACATTTAGTGTTTTTTACTCATTTTACATGATATAAAAGACAGACAAATGTATGCAACTAGACAGCAACTGTTAATATATATAAATACATATATTTATATATATATATTTATATAAATATATATAGCTTTATATATACAGTAGGGAGCAAAAGTGTTTCCATAGTTGACACTGAACTTTCTGAGTCAATAATTTCCAAACGAATGAAGCAAATCAAAAAAAAACTTTTTTTTCCAATAATATGTATTTAATTCTTAACAAATTGCCGTATATAACAAAAACAAAACGCATGTGTACAATTTTGCAGCTTCCGATATTCTTACTTTGGTTTGATTTCTTAATTCTCTTATCGGCAATAGACATGCAGTTTTACCCTTATATGTTTTATCTTTGCATTCTACACTTTTATGATCCAGAAATTCACGTGTTTCTTATTATTCGAAGTAGATTTGTTAATTTTAGCAATTAGTCTACAAAGTACCGCGAAAAAAAAAGAATCTTTCATCAGATGTTGTCGAAAATGAGAACTGATAAGTTCCTAACACAGAATAAGGCATCTATGGACATAGAAACAGACGTGAGTCGGCGGGTGGCTAGAAGAGCACTAGCTAAGGTTGGATATGTGGCAAGTGTGAAGAAAAATAACCCAGCTCTATCCGAGCTCTATCGCCCGGGAACACAAGAACTGGACTGTAGATGATTGGAAACGTGTCATCTGGTCGGATGTATCCAAGTTCAACCGTTTTCAATCAGATGGCAAGCAATACTATTGGCACAGGCCCGGGGACAAGCTTCAAAAACACCATGTGAAGCAAACCGTTTGGCATGGAGGAGGCACTGACAAAGTTTTGGGGATGCTTTACTTGGTGGCACATTGGACCATTGCATAAAATTGATGGTATAATGTTAAAAGTAGACTATCTTAATATTTTGAAAACCTGTCTACCCAATTTTCGGGACAAGTGTGCATACCCCGTAAAGGAAATTATTTTTCAACAAGATGGGGACCCGAAGCATACTGCCAAAATTCTCCGAGAATGGTTACAAACCCAAGATTTTATGCTGATGGAGTGGCCAGCTCAAAGTCCCGAACTCAATCCGATTGAGAACCTGTGGTCAATCGTAAAGCGACGGCTCGGGCAATATCAATCAATGCCAATTTGGAAGCGTGTAGAACTGTAGTGGAACCGAGTTCCAAAGGAAACCATAGAGAAGTTGGTCGAGAGTATGCCGAACTGAATCAAAAATGTAATAGCTAATAAGGGCCTGTGGACAAAATATTGATTTTGAATCATATTTAATTTTTTTTCACTGAAGGTGCAAAATTGCACACATGCGTTTTATCTCAGTTTTCTTTGTTTGAATATTTTACTGATTAACTTTTGTTTTTGTTATATACGGCAATTTATTAAGAAATAAATACATATTATTGAATAAAAAAGTTTTTTTGATTTGCTTCATTTGTTTGGAAATTATTGACTCAGAAAGTTCAAAGTGTCCCTACTCCCTACTGTATATATAAAGCTATATATATTTATATAAATATATGTATTTATATATATGAACAGTTGCTGTCTAGTTGCATACATTTGTCTGTCTTTTATATCATGTAAAATGAGTAAAAAACACTAAATGTGCTCAACAGCAGCTGAAGTATATATGTATAGCATATTCCCGTTCAGAATGACAAGCTGTTAGTTTATAGCTCCGTCTGGTCGCCTTTCCTTCTGCTTGTATAAAATGAGTGTTAATTCTCACTCAAACAGAGCTCAGCAGCTCTGCCGGCTTCGCCCTTTGAGTGACTTTTGGGTATAAAAGGGCGCAGCTGCGGCTGTGCCGATCAGTCAAGTTTTCGACCTGGACTGGGTCGGTTGCCGTGCAGTGTAGTGCAAGTGGTGAATAAATTTAAGTTTTTTTGTTAATAATTATTTAAATGTTAATATATTTAAGTTTTTATTGTTTAATAAATATTTAATTGTTTAAATGTTAAAAATATATAATTTTAGTTACTTTTAAGTATTATTAGTAAACTCTAATTGTTATTATAATAATGAAGTTCGTCATATTGTTCATTAGCGGTAATGATCATTAAGAACTGAATGCATAAGGAGAGGAGAGGAGCAGAATAAGGACGGAGGGAGAACACTAGAGCAGGAAAGTACTAGAGAAGGAGAGGACCATAGCAGGAGAGTACTATAGCAGAACAGTACTTGACCGGGAGAGCACTATAACAGGACAGTACTGGAACATTAGTTCAGGAGAGCAGAATAAGGAGAGAATTATAGCAGTTGAACACTAGTGCAGGAGAGTAGAATAAGGAGAGGAGCACTAGACCAGGAGACTACTGGAACATTAGATCAGGGAAGTACCAGAGCAGAAGAGTACCAGAGCAGAAGAGTACCAGAGCAGGAGAGTACCAGAGCAGGAGAGTACCAGAGCAGGAGAGTACCAGAGCAGGAGAGTACCAGAGCAGGAGAGTACCAGAGCAGGAGAGTACCAGAGCAGGAGAGTACCAGAGCAGGAGAGTATCGGAACAGGAGAGTACCAGAGCAGGAGAGTACCAGAGCAGGAGAGTACCAGAGCAGGAGAGTACCAGAGCAGGAGAGTACCAGAGCAGGAGAGTACCAGAGCAGGAGAGTATCAGAGCAGGAGAGTACCAGAGCAGGAGAGTACCAGAGCAGGAGAGTACCAGAGCAGGAGAGTATCGGAACGGGAGAGTATCGGAACGGGAGAGTCTTGGAATGGGAGAGTCTTGGAATGGGTCTTGGAACAGGTGAGTATTGGAACAAGTGAGTACCAGAGCAGGAGAGAAATAGAGAATATATTTAGTGCCCTTAAATGTAGGAATTCGACATGTAGGAAATCGTATGTTTTATTTTAAGCAACGTCAAACCACTGTTTTTATCTCTGAACCTATTGAAACTGTGATATCAAAATTTAGCTTTGGCCCTCTCAGGAAGTGCTACATATATATTTATTTAAGTCTGCACATAAGAGCTTGTATTTAAGTGGAACATTACTAGAGTTACCTAAGCAAAACTCCCATTTATCACTAGAAACTCTTTTTTGTTCAAAATATAATATAAATTCTGCACAAGTTTCCCACACAAACGCTTTAGCGTATATATATAATATATATATATATATATTAATATATATATATATATTTATGAATAAATATATAAATATATATATATATATATGTATCGAAATGTTCTTTAGAACTGTTTATTATATAAACTGCGTTTTATACTCATTCCGAACTTATTCTGGCAGACAAACTAAAGCACCCTCCTCGACTTAGACTTAGATAGACAGACAAACAGGGTGCAAGAATGATAGACAACATTCCAAGACTAAGACATTCAAGACTAGACTCGATTCGAGTTGCTGACTGTTAGCTAAATTCAAAATTGATTTTATAACTCATATAAAGGTTAAATTTTAATTCTGTGTTTGTTTTTAGCTTTTGCCAAATGAGAGATAAAAAATGACCGGGAGAGCACTATAACAGGACAGTACTGGAACATTAGTTCAGGAGAGCAGAATAAGGAGAGAATTATAGCAGTTGAACACTAGTGCAGGAGAGTAGAATAAGGAGAGGAGCACTAGACCAGGAGACTACTGGAACATTAGATCAGGGAAGTACCAGAGCAGAAGAGTACCAGAGCAGAAGAGTACCAGAGCAGGAGAGTACCAGAGCAGGAGAGTACCAGAGCAGGAGAGTACCAGAGCAGGAGAGTACCAGAGCAGGAGAGTACCAGAGCAGGAGAGTACCAGAGCAGGAGAGTACCAGAGCAGGAGAGTACCAGAGCAGGAGAGTATCGGAACAGGAGAGTACCAGAGCAGGAGAGTACCAGAGCAGGAGAGTACCAGAGCAGGAGAGTACCAGAGCAGGAGAGTACCAGAGCAGGAGAGTACCAGAGCAGGAGAGTATCAGAGCAGGAGAGTACCAGAGCAGGAGAGTACCAGAGCAGGAGAGTACCAGAGCAGGAGAGTATCGGAACGGGAGAGTATCGGAACGGGAGAGTCTTGGAATGGGAGAGTCTTGGAATGGGTCTTGGAACAGGTGAGTATTGGAACAAGTGAGTACCAGAGCAGGAGAGAAATAGAGAATATATTTAGTGCCCTTAAATGTAGGAATTCGACATGTAGGAAATCGTATGTTTTATTTTAAGCAACGTCAAACCACTGTTTTTATCTCTGAACCTATTGAAACTGTGATATCAAAATTTAGCTTTGGCCCTCTCAGGAAGTGCTACATATATATTTATTTAAGTCTGCACATAAGAGCTTGTATTTAAGTGGAACATTACTAGAGTTACCTAAGCAAAACTCCCATTTATCACTAGAAACTCTTTTTTGTTCAAAATATAATATAAATTCTGCACAAGTTTCCCACACAAACGCTTTAGCGTATATATATAATATATATATATATATATTAATATATATATATATATTTATGAATAAATATATAAATATATATATATATATATGTATCGAAATGTTCTTTAGAACTGTTTATTATATAAACTGCGTTTTATACTCATTCCGAACTTATTCTGGCAGACAAACTAAAGCACCCTCCTCGACTTAGACTTAGATAGACAGACAAACAGGGTGCAAGAATGATAGACAACATTCCAAGACTAAGACATTCAAGACTAGACTCGATTCGAGTTGCTGACTGTTAGCTAAATTCAAAATTGATTTTATAACTCATATAAAGGTTAAATTTTAATTCTGTGTTTGTTTTTAGCTTTTGCCAAATGAGAGATAAAAAATAAATACCACAGCAATAAGCCCAATGAGCCGATTCACATAGAAACTGATGCTGTACAAAAAATATATTTCTATTATAAAATATAAAATTCCATAGGGAGCACCTTGAGCAGCTGTGTGCCTTGGCTGCTTGGTATTCAGGCGTCATCGCAGCAAAAGGCTCGTTAGATGGGCTTCACTTACCGAAAATGCGTTGAGTTGCCGAGACAGCTACCGCCATTCATGCACTCAGCTGGATTGCATAGATCCGATTCATATTGACAATTCTTGCCCGCATAACCTGGAGCGTGGAGCGTGGAGCGTGGAGACAATAGATGGGATAGCGACAAGATTAGCATACATCACTGCTAATGAGAGGTAATACGCTATTGTTAATGAGCTTACCGTATGGGCACAAGCACTGATACGAGTTGCCCTCATGGCCCTGTGAGAGGTCCACACAGATGCCATTGTTAGTGCACGGACTGGGGTTACAAGCATCAATTTCCTCGCAATGTGGACCCGCAAAGCCGCCGCAGCACTGGCACTCATACTCCTCCATCACGCCGCTCGAATAGCACACGCCCTTGCCGGAGCAATCGGCATTCTCGCCACAATTGTCGGTTTTTGTGGTCACCTTTAGGCGTACACACTGCGCTCCCCACAGCTCGGACACCACTAAAAACATAAAAAAGAAGAAGAGAAAAAGGGTTGAAATTAATTAAAGTTGGTCTAGGCAGAAAAAAAGAATGCGGCCCCTAAGACAACGTAAAAGTTAAATATCAAAACTGAAATTCAATGACAGGCGAAACATTGATGCTCTAACAAATTGAATCACAGAAACATCACAGTGTCTTAAATTATTATATGTGAAGTAACGGAAACAGAATATAAAAATTAATTTTAAATTTAAATATAAATATGAAAATAGTATTTCATTATTTTTTGGTTTTTTTCTTACATTTTACATTATTTACTTGAATTTACATATTTAGATTTAATATTTTAATAAATATATTTTACAAATATTTAATAAAAGTATTAAGATTAATTTTTTAAAAGTATTTTGAGAATATTCAATAATTTTTAAATTTTATTTTAATAATATTTTATAACTCAGCTCAAATTTTATTATATTTTTATTGAACGCAATCAATTTTTATTTAATTTTTAAATAAGATATTTTTCTCACAAATATTTTTCGAAGTATTTTCAATACAAATTCATTTTAAATAATTTTTTTCCTACTTTTAAAATGTATTATTTAATATTTTGAATAACTACTTTAATATATTTTTGTAATATTTTGACTCAAGGCAGAGGCAAAGCCCATCAAAAATAAGGGCTATGTCTAGATACAATGTAAAAGTAAGTGTATTGCCTGTGCACATTAATAAACATTTTAAGGTGTAGTCTACCTACCAATTAACAAGTTAACTCCCTCCGTGAGGTCCTTATCGTACAGCGTAACCAGCTTCCTGCCATCGACCACTAGAGGCGTTATATCCAGCAGTACGCCCTCGGTGACATCGCAGTGCTCGTGCCCGGAACGAGTTACCTGATAGACCTGTGCGGCATGCGCAGCGCTTTGGCTATGCAGAGATGATGAGATGAGGCAGCACAGTGTTTAGCAATGTAGTGGAAAAATGATAAAGAGAAGGAGAAAGGGAGGTAGAGACAGAGATAGAGAAAGTGCTTGAGTTGCTAGCTAAAGTTAAAGTTACAAATATGGCTGGGCTCCCAAGCATTTCGTGTTGTCTCATTGCACTGTGTACTTAATTAATTGATATTATTTATAAGCATTGCTGCCCACTTTGTTGTCGGAAATTAAATAGCGCAAGCGGAAATTAAATTAGCACGCAATTATTTATGAGTATCTGCGCTGCTCTAGCAAAGTTACTCAACTCGACCAAATCATTAATTTATTCAACAGTAAACAAATAGAAAATATGCAGAGAAATTATTTTGTATTTAAATAAAATATAAATAAATAATAATTTAAATTAAATAATTAACATCTTCAACAATAAATCCAAACAAAATAAATAGACGGAAATGTAAATAAATCATTTCACAAGAATTAAACATTTAATTTACTCGTAATAAAAACAATTGCAAAATATAAAAACAATTTAATGATTCACTAAAATATAAATTAAAAACACATTTTTTTTAATTTTTCAATCAAATATAAATAAATAATATTTTATTTTAAAAAATAGGTAACATTAGTAAATTATTTTTTATTCATCAATAAATAGAAAATATACAGATTATATTTTTCGTAGTTACGATCCCAGTTCTAATCAGAAATTATTCTAGCTGCTGCTAGAAATGATGTAGAATTGAAGACTTCAGCTAAAACGTAAACAGTGTCCAACTGAATGGATCGCTTAAAGTATTTTGTAACAATTTCATATTATCGACAGGAGAAAATTGCAAAGTCAGAGCTCAAAAAAGTTTTCACTTTCAACGCGACGCAATCTATTTGCGACTCACTTGCGCTGCGTTCAGAATATGATTTGTTGCCAATTTGTTGTTGGCTGAGGGTCCTTTTGGCCCACACACAGGCACACCAACGCACACACGCACATGCATGAAATCAATAATAAAAACTTTTTTGACATCTCATTTTCATAATTTGTAACTTTTTTATGCGAGCGACGTTATTTGTTTTATTTTCTTCTTCTTTTTTTATGGCGCTAACTTTTTAAATTTTCACACAATAAGCAAAGCTTTGTAGCTATTGTCAGCAGATGGATAATACAGGAAAGTTGACATTGTTGAGCCATCAGAAGTTGCAATGGAATTTAAATTTAATTATAAAACGTGTATTCAAAATATATATAAAAACAGTTCTTTATGAATATGCATTAAATAATAAGTACAGGCAGCAGTGATACAATTTCTGATAACTATAAATAACTTCAACAGCTGCTTAAGTTATCGATAAAATTCCGTTACAGAAATACTTGATACAATTTGCCATTCGATTGTGAAGCAAACTCGAAATAATGACTTCATAGTCAACACTCCACTCTAGCGTGAAGTCTGTTGTCATCCTGACTTCAGTGAGCTGGAAAGTCATTGCAGAGTTGACAAGTGTTGAGCATAAGTAGAGTCAGCTATACCAAAGCACCCACTCGAATGTAGGGCCATTTCAACTATAATAATGAATGTAGCTGCAGTCACCCTACTTAGTTCTTAACTAGATAGTTTCGAGTTCCACAGAAATTTGTTTATAAATATACATATATGTATATCATTTTATGAACTTGCCTAAGCCAGTCTTTTCGGTAGCTGCAAAAAGTATCAGAGGACGAAAAGTATTTGGGGAAAAAGCTGGCAATGTATACGTGATAATTGCCACAGCTCTTTAGGGCAAAAGGGTCAGCTGCTTCTTCATTTTTTATCTGACTCTGAATAAACGGATTTTGTGACCCGCAAAATGACTAATGGCCAGCGGAAAGAATCGCGAACTAGAAAAGCGCCCGCTTGGCATAAATATGCGCATTTTGTAAGAGATTTACTAGCTATAAAATAAACAAAAATAGCTATAAATACATATACATGGAAACATGGTAAGCAAGCCAAAAATACGTGATGTACGTATACGTAATATATACAAAAATATATATTTGTATTTATATAAAGCGTTTATATACATGCGTTTATATACTACATTTATATAAGAAAATGTGGGCAAAGTAAAAACAATTTAATATACTGTAAAAAGGGCATTCCGATGGCAGTACGTGAGTCACATGAAATAGTGACCTGTGCATAGCTCGAAGGGGTTTCAGCATTTGACTCAACTAAACATGTAGTGCGCCCTTGTGCAGACGTGCTGAAGTAAAATCAATAAAAAGCTCCTAATGTATGTTATTATATATTAAGCAGAACCGAACAAACACGTCCTAACCAGCATGAGAGCACCTTAAATGGAAGCCATGCTCGGCCCGCAGTTGATTCTTATCAATTTTAAAGGTCATGCTTAAAACACTGAGCTCAACCGTAATTTCACAGAGAGTGAAATTTCTTTTTTGTTTTATATAAGACATTTTGCTTTGGGGCATAGCGACGTCTGCTGCAGCCGCTTTATACATATATAAAAAGCGTTTTACTTGATATCTGTGGGCTGCTGGGAAGCTGTTGGATTCATAACTTAATAAACTAGGAGCGTATTCAAGAGATGAGTTTACCGCATTTTCTCTTTATGCCTTCGCATTTGAAACATATTTTCGCAATGCAAACACAATTTTAACATTTTTCAGGCAACTATCTTTAGCATTTCAATCTTTTTATCGGCTCGGATTTCAACAAAGCAAATTAAGAGCTTAACAAATTGAGTAAGCTGATTGCAATCGAACGCAACCAACTGCATAATACTCGTTCACGCTTCAACAATCGCCAAAATTTATTAAAATATTAATTTTTTCCAATTTGCTGAGTCTAGTCAGCAGAGCAGACGAATTCTTGGGATTTAGCCAAATGTATTAAAAATTTACAAAATTTGCCAAGAGCCTAGACCTGCACCTAGACCTGGATACTTGGAGCTCTGCTTCAAAGGAGGTCAGCTTAGCTTTTATGTGGTGCATAAATGAAATCATAATGAAATGTAAACATCAACGTATGACACGTGTCCTGTAAGCAGGACATATAATTGCGAGGTTGAACTATAAGTATAATATACATTGAGGTAGGTGCTAAAAGCTGTTATTGATTCCAGATAAATATTATTTTTTGATTTCTTAGTTTACATATAATAAGTCTCAGATATGTCGTGAATGTACCTAGGCCACATCTTGATTATAATATCTAAATGAGAAGACATCACGTTTGACTAATTGAATCTGTCTCGCAGTTCCCACACACTTCACGAAGCCAATCCTTTTACTTTCAAATATTAAGCGTATTTGCTGCTACATGAAATTTACCTCTTTATATTGTCCTGCACTTTTTCCGTACTCAGCTTGGCATCGTTAATTTCCACAATTAAAATGTCCCCGGATTGAATATCAGCCTCGCCCTCCCACGTCAGCTTATTGGGAGCGCAAGGTTCGTCGGGCTGGCAATGCTGCGGCGTCTGGAAGAGCAGAATTATGAAATAATTTTTAGCATAAGTTAAGGCTTAAAATAAAAGCCGCAAATGTGTTTTTCCTGTAAAAATAAACAGTCAAAAGGGACTAAAAGGTTTGCCTTTTTGCGAATGCCGCAAAGCATGTCAAGCTCAGCAAAAAAAAAAAAGAAAAAACGTAAATGTAAATGTAAAATAAACCCAAACTTGTTTAACTGAATAATTTAATAATTTAAGTTTCTTGTCGCAATTCCCTCTGACATAGCCTAGCCCAACAAATTTGCATATTGACTCAGCCAACCCTAGGCCTAATAAACTTTGTCAAAGGTTCATTTATTCGAGCGAGGCTTTCAGCTTAAGTCAACCATATGGTCTGCATATATACGTATAAGCCACGTTTATAACATAAGCCAGCTGCGTACAAATATATATACACTCAGTGTATACACTTTTTATTAGTTTGAGTTAATCCGACCAAACAAACTGCAGTCTATAAGCAAACTAAAATTAGTTACAAGACAAATGAGACAAAGCTGAGGGTGAGCACAATTGACCAACTAAAAGATATCCTGTAAACCGAAATTTCTTTTCAGTTATATGCTAAACAAAAAAGTTAATGCCCAGATAGATGGATCGATAGAACATAGGAATTAAACGTTACTCAATATAAATCTCTTTAAAGTCTAATATTTATTTAGTTTTCTTTTATTAAGCATTCATACATCAATTCAAATCTTCTTTGCACTAACTGTAGTACACAGCATGTCTATCGCTCTTAGCCATCAATACAGCCCCATTTGAGTCTGTCAAAGTTAATATACCCTTTCATCGCCATTTACAATTGTGGCTTGCGGTTGTCGAAAAGGGTCACGTCTGAAATATTGTGTTCATTTAGCTCAGTTGTTTTTATTTGAAGGAATTTCTCTCTGCTAAAATTTGAAGCCTTTTAATAGCTCGTTGCGTGTACAAATATTTTAGATATATATTTATTTACATATTTTTTAACTGGTATCAAAACTATTAGAGTAAACGCTACACGTTTACTTTAATGGAAGTGCCAAAAAGTTGCGAGCAAAAATTCAATTAAATTCAAGAAAAAGGAAAAAGAACTCTTGACTGGCCACTAGACTCTGCTGGCTGAAGAAAGTATATATAAAACTAGATGCCTAGGATTTAGGTTGAATATAGGCAAGCGCAGCAGCAGATATACTTTCAAAATAAACAGCTAAGAATAATTGAAATTCAAATACTTGCTGAGTGCTAGATATTTTCTCTTTCACTTGGAAATACAAAAAAGAAACTTAATATGCTTTCAGCCATTCAATCTTAATAGTTCATTATATTTATTAAAATATGCACTCTTATTTATTTATATAAAATATATTATCCTGACTAATATAAAAATACATATTTATGCTATTCATTTGACATAACTGACAATGTTAAGACAATACAAAGTTGAATTTTACCTTTTTGGAAATTGTTCCATTTCTTGAAAAATTCCTTATTCAAAGATGAAATAGTATTTTAATTATAGGATATTGGTGGATAACTATTGATTATTGTATTGTATGTTAATCTGATGTAAACCCATATTTGCACTGTGGCAATCAAGACCGAGCTAAGCTAAAATAAAGTTTTTATTACTTTGCAAAGAACTGAATATTTCAGTTCCAGAATCTAGCTCTTAAAATTCAAAAGAGTATAGATAATATAATATAGAATATAAAAAATAATATAAAATGTATAGAAAACTAAAAGTTTCATTTTAATTTTGAATTCATATATTTATGAAAAAATACAAATTCAAGCTTTAAGTGAGGAGAGGAGAGAGACAGAGATTCCATGTACATTTTTACAATACCAATTTAATCCAAATAATCCATTTTGAGGGATATAAAAAATAAAATAAATCACGCAACGTTTCATCAATTTAGGCCAATAAATAAATCCAGCAGGCTTAAAAAAAGATAGTAAGCCGATTACCTGTCAGTTTTTTGTGCCTAAACCGTTGCAGTTATAAATGCAGTTGCCTAAGTATAAGTGCGGATTAAATGCGCTGCATATGAAAACATTTTAACTGAAAATGAACTATAATAGCAACAGCAACAGCAGCATCAACAACAACAATCAGTTAGTGTTAGTGTAATCCAATCGGGCGGAACAATCAAACGGTATGAACAACAAAACCATTTGCCAATGGGATAGTCACTCACTCAGACAGAAAATAAGCCAACACATTTGACATTCTCAAATGAACCCAACAAATTTAATGCTATGGAAAGTTATCCAGTCAGCAGCGGGCGACTCAGGCTCACTGAGATAACTTATTGATTATTTGGCTACACATCTGCTACAAGGAAGGAACTCTTAACGGAAAGCTTAACGGAAGGAAGAAACTGACGAAAAACTTGCCTGAATATGTGATAAAAGTGGGCTTTAGGCAAACAAAATAATGTAGTTTCATTATCGTATATTAAGACACATTTGCTAAAACTATATGAGCACACGAGAAGCCAGTGTGAGAGGCTTTACAATGCTCTGCTCGATATATTTCCTTGTGGAATTGATCAAGTTGCCATTCTCTCGTTCATTGACAATTTGCCAAACATTGCCTTAAACCAATATACTCTTCTCATTCGCTGTACAGTGTATCAAAAAGGACTTTCCATGTTCAGCCCGCCCGTCTTGCATTTCCCTTTTTTATATCCTCGTAAATCAAGTCATTTGCTATGACACACATACTATGGCCCAGACCAGGCCAGGCAGAACTCTCAACAACAAAACACTCATTCGCCTGTCCCTAGACAACAATTTAAATATATATATTTTTTGAATTCTTTTAACTCCTTTTTTTATTTCTTAGAGTTATCCTCCAGCTGCCATTTACTCAATGCTAAATTGTTTTCTATCTCCGTCTCCCTCTTCGTCTCCATCTCTGTCCATCTTTGTCTCTTTATTGGCTTTTGTGTGTCCAGAGAGAGGTTTCATTACCATTAATCGTTTGTTCATTCATTTCAGTTTCTTTTCGTGTTTTTCTCATTTAATTTCTCAGCCAATAACATTGCACAAAATTGATTTTATGTTCACCTGCTCAACAGCATAAAAAATAAAAACGAATTTACGCTTTAACGGCTTATCGATGCATTTTATATTGCATTATGAAAGCCAAACAGCAATATAAGAAAATTGTTATTAAAATATTACTTAAAGTTGAACAACTTCATATAAATTGAAATAAATTGAATTTTGCCTAAAGGTGAGATATAAAATATATAACTTGAAATAAGTTAGCTTGAATGTGGCTATTTACGAATAATAATAGTTGTTCACATGGAATATAAATTATTTACTGATTATATAAATTATAGAGAACGGTTCCTTGACGTGCCTGAATTGGGCATATTTGAAATAGCTTAAAGAATTTTATAAATATTTTTTAAAAAAATTTTCAACTTATCTTTTTATTTTTTTTAGCCTATAAGACTTTTAGCTGAGACTATATCAACTTTGAACCTATAAAATTGTGCTTCATTGAGAGTATATATATATATTTTCATAAATTTTTATATACATATGTACATATCCAAGTACGCAATATATATTCTGTGTTGGCCTGGCAACATCAAGTAAAGTTAAAAAAATCGTAAAAATATTTTTTATATGTTTATTTATTATTTTCCGCACTTTTACTTAGTACTCGTGTATCTGGTTGCCAACACACACACACATTTACACACAAATGAGGGCTATGCTGATAGATTTACGAGCAGGCAAGAGAACTTGGCAATTCCATTTCTTTATAGCATCGAAGGTGCCAAAATGCTGTTATGTAAATAAAGTTACACAATATTTGTATTTTCTTTTTATATTCTGGTGACATAGTAAAAAAAGGAAAATTGGCTTTATGCATTATAATAGTACTCTAAATATTCAGCAGATATGACCTCCACTGCAATTTAAGCCCTCAAAGGCAAACGAATTACGGGCAAGCTCTTCTGAAGATAATGCCAATTCCATCTCTATCGATACCACGTCTAAGCTACACTAATCTTAACTAAGAAGGACACTTTTTCAAGCCTTTAATTACACAGCACAGCGCATCCCCTAACAAAGGCTTGGCAAGGGTTTGAGGCGCGGCACCTTGAATTTTAAGTTGACCTTTTGAGTCATTAAAAGAATAAAGGAAAACAGAAAATAACGGCATGTTTGCTGTTTAAAAAAAAAACACATTCATTGCATAAAAAAAGCTGATGAAAAAGTGGAATTACAAATGAACAAATAAATTTTGGGTCAGAATTCTTAAGCACCTTTTGTAAAATTAATTGAATACAAATGGAATTTTTTTATTTGACTTCTCGAAGGGTTTTGCAACATAAGACAAATGTAATTTATAGAAATTCAAAGTCTGAGATAACAATAAATAAAATAAATAAACTAAAATTTAATTTAGAATTAAATTACATTTCTTAAACAACAGATGTGAGGCGTATGGAATTTGATCTATTTGCACAACCAAAAATGGGATGAGAAAAACTCACAGAAATTTAAATATTTGAATAGTTGCTCTAAAAAAAAATAAATAAATAACTAAAGCAAAACAAACCAAAAATGCATAATTAAAAGTAAAATGAAATAACAAAAGCCTGAAATTCAATATTAGTTTTAGTCAATCTCTTATATAGGAGCATATGCTATTCACGACAAATAAATTTATTGCACAAAAATTTTATATAAAAACCATATAGCCTTAGGCATATATTCATGTTGGCATTGTCATAGCGAATATTTTTTTTTTGGCAATGCATTGTGAAGCGAGTGGGGCAAGGAGGCACAGATGCATAATCAATGTATTATATATTCTATATAGCTTGCTAATATTTGACAAGTTTTATACAGTTTTTATATGTTAAATTGATTTTCTTTTTGTTTTATTTTATGTATATTTTTTTATATTTATACTATTTATTTTGATTAATTATTATTTATAATTTATATATCTTTTATATTTTATTAATTTTTATATATTATTCCTTTGAATATTTAGTTTACACTTCATATATTTTTACATATTTTTTATATATTTATATTTCTGATATATTTCATGTAGTTTATAATTATTATAATTAATATTTATATTTTTTATATATTTTATATAGTTTATAGTTCATATTTTATATTTTTAAAAATGTTTATTTTGTATATATTTTATATAATTTTGCAAATTATATATATACTATATTAAAATAGCTCAGCGCTGAGTTAAACATCCTCCTCCCCACTAGCTCACATGCGACTCGACTCAGCTGCCTCTATCAGAGCCGCATAATCCTAGCTTTTTCTACACACAGATACAAATCACTATTTAATGGCTACATTATGTTAATCACTAATGAACTAATTGTTTGAAGAACTAAATGAGTGAGCGTATGTGGTTCTCGAAGTGAACTGAATTAAATTATCTATATTGAGCCTGAGTTTTTACTTATAATAGGTCTTTGTGGCTGCTAATGTTAAGAGCTAAATACGTTTCAATTGTTTTCGAGTAACAATACACAAAGCCTTAAAGCCTTATATCTCTTAATCTCTCGCTGTCTCACTCGCTCGCCAGCCACCCCACGCCCCCTTGTTGTATCTTGTCGGAACTTACCACATTTGGCAGGAGAAGCTCGTGCGTTTCGTTTCCACGCCACAAATGCGAATCCTGCGGCACATTTTGTATGTCACAGTCAAGTGAATTGATTTTTTCCTGTAGGCGACTTAAAATGCGCGGCACAGCAATTGGCTTTAAGGACGATTTTGTAAGATTAGCCAACTGGCTGGATTTTTCCATGTCAGCTGGACTCTGTTTGGCGGCCGTTGTTGTTATTTTGATTTTCGCTGAGACCACTTCTAGCTTTTCCATTTGCGGTTCGACAGCAGCATCGAGCGGGGTTAAAGTCTTCAACAATAACTTAGCGCGCTTTAGCTCCTGCCCATATTTAATGGGTCTCATAGTAGACAATTTACTTGTTATTGTTGTTGCTGCTTCTGGCTCTGATGCTGCTGCTGCTGCTGTTGTGGCCCCATCAAAAGTTTGCGCCGTAGACGTCAAAGTCACGCGTCTGGTTGGCCAGGCCCGGGTAGTCGTAGTAGCAGACTCTGTTGAGCTGCTTAGTTCCAAGTTTGTGGTCTCGCTTGGTCTAATGACTTGACGTGGCTGCTGCTCTGAACTTTGTCCAACCATGGTCTCTGATGACTTTATAATGCTGCTCGCTGTCTCGATTGGAGCTGCTGTCGCATACCCAATTTCTTTCATTAACTTTCGTTTATTATGCAACAACATTTCGTTGTACAACTCTTTACTGTTGTAAAACTTTGTGGTTGAGAACTCTGGATGTGTGGGTGCTCCCGCTGCTGCCACAGCTCCTCTTGCTCCACCTCCTCCTCCTGCTGCTGCTGCTGCGGCTGCTGCTGTTATCCTGACCGGTCGCCCATCATTCGCGTCTGTATTGAACTTGGTATTGGCAAAGTCAATGTGTGGCAGGGCCATAACATCGCTGGCCCGTTGCTGCATTGGAAACTCGAAGTTCTTCTTCACGCGTCGATCTACGTACGTATCCCCTGGCTGCAGTTGAGGCAGCTCTGTGAGCCGAGCCCGACTGGAACTTGCAGGTGCCGCAGTTGTCGTTTCCTCCAATTGAAACTTACGCTCAATTTCGGTTATCAAATCATCCTGCTCAGCCAAGAGCTTGCCAGTGAAATAGCTCGACGTTGTGGCCACGCTTGGCGTAGCCATCAGCGGAGTCGTTGCCGTCTTCATAGTTGTTGCCTGATTGGTATTAGAGCTGTATTCCGCTGCCTGCAAGCCCACCTCATTGGGCATGAGATTCTGTCGATATTCTTCAGCATTCTCAGACTGCCTGAATATCGCAGGCTCTCTGAGCAGCTCCACATTATCGGCGCGAGGCTGAAAGTCTTCCAACTGCACCGGATACAGATCCACAATATTCAGCTTACTTTGGCTCACTGGCTGTTGGGCCAACATAGCGCCGTAGCGTGTGCGCTCATCCTCATTGAGATCGGCTAGAGTTTCGGCCACCTGATACGACTCAGCTGCCTGCATTTGTATATCGAGTGGCGTAGCTGAGGAGCTCTCTGGCTGCTGCTGCTGCTGCTGCTGCTGGGATGCCGTCTCGCTCAGCTTAATGCGATAAAGCCTGTCGAAAATGCTACTCAACGATGCAAGTGGCGGCACGTTTGTCGTCATTAGCCTATCCGCCGTAGTGGTGGCTGTTGCTTCCGTTGTCGAGCTTTCTTTGCCAGCTGCAGAGTCTTCCGTAGTCGTTGTTGCAGCCTCAAAATTGCTGATTTGTCTGCCTGCTTCATTTCCGCTTGAAATGGCTGCTGCAGTTGCTGCCGCTGGTGATGCTGCGGCTGCTGCTGCTGCTGCTGCTGCTGCTGCTGCTGCTGCTGCTGCTGTTGTGGCAACCCTCGCTGCTGCTGTCGTCGTGGTGGTGGGCTTGGCCGTTGACGTCGTGGTTGAGGTGGCTAAAGCACCCACAATTCCAATTTGTATTTCCGATAAAGTTTTCGCTACTCCTTCGTTTCGATCCAGAGCTGAAGAGCTGACCACATTGGTGCCGTGGCTGCTGTGCGAGTCATTTGTTATGGTTAAAGTTGCTGTTGCTGTTGCTGTTGTTATTGCCGTTGCCGTTGGCGTTGCTGTTGCAGCTTCCCAAACTGCGCAAACAAATACAAATGTTAAGATGCACATTTTTGCTGCTTTCATTAGCATTTTCACAAAAAATATTCTTCCTTCTTGTGGCTCGGGGTATTAAGTTGTTTCTGCTGCAAATGTTTTCCCTTTTCCTTTAGCTGCTTGCGGTTTCCTGACTACAGCTGCGATTGCTACGCAAATGAATAAAAATAAATGCATAAAAAAGAATTCATTATTATCATTTACCATATCAAACTATATTAATATATTCGATTATGAAATATATTCAATTGAAGTTCAGTCAGAAATTCATAGACTACCACTCAAAAAGATCTATCCTTAAGGTTCCACAGATTCCTAGAATTCATCTTCGAATAATTCTTCGATTATTCTAAATTAATCTTGTTTCACTTAATATATATCTCAGACAAATAAACCTGATTTATATCAATTTTCATATGAATCACAACTTCATAAAGAGGAATCGAGACATGAATATCAGCCACTCATCAATATGGCCCATACTATTGGTATTTATTAACATTTAGCAACAAATTCAAGTAATAACTAATATTTATAGAGCCACTCGAACGAGGCTCTTCAGAAACAAAGTTATTTGCTGTTGGTAAATTCGTTTGGAAATGTTTTGCTTTCGCCTGGCTTAATTCTAGCGCACAAATCTAGCTTACAAATGATATATAGACGCCACTTATAAATTTCTATTTACCATAAAATAAAAATAAACCATCTGAAAATTGCTTATGTAAACAGGAAAATGCAAAAATGCTTAGCTGCAATACAAATACAAATGTGGAGTGGAAATATGAACGCAGAGTGAAGGAGTTACAGAAAGCGACTGCAAAATACACTGCTCGCAGTATAAAAGAGGTGAAAGAACTGGTTAAAAAGTAGATGAAAAAGTATTGAATGTGGACACAGTGAGCAAGGGTTGAGCCCCAATGAAGATATGTTAGCAGATGTCAATAGCCTTACAAGCAGACAACTGGTTCAATTGGAGTCACATGAGAACTAAGTCTGAGCTTCTTTTGAGAGAAATTGCACTCTGTTCCACTCAAGTATATTTATAAAAATATAAAATAAATAATAAGTTACTAATATATGTAGTACAAAATTTAGTTATCATTGCATGTTTTATTATTTTATTATAATTTTGTATTATTATATTTTGTGATTTATTTTATTGGGGAAAAATATAATAGCACCACTAAGACACTTTTTTGGTTGATAAAAAAACGCACTTTTAATGCGGAGATTTTATTTAAAACATTTATTATTTATACTACTCAAGAGTAATTTTATTTGAAAAAATTAGTATAGTTCTTGTAATGTTTTAGCCTTATTTATTTCTAGCAGCTTAAACAAATGCTGAGCGTGGTGCTATTTTTATTTTCGCAGCTGTCGATATAGATTTTCAGTATTTATCAAATATAATAAGATGGATCAAAGCACATTCAATAAAAATCTTTTATATTTGTCTATAATGCTTGAAGCAACAACAAAAAATAAACTAAGGCAAAGATACCTGAGTTGAAAGCCTTTAAGCAGAGCACGTCTTACTTACTTTACTCAGCTGTAATATAATGCAGATATATATAAACTCAAGTACATATATAAGCTATAACTGTAACACTTTTGATAGTAAAATAAAAGTACCTTGTGCCAGGTTAAAATGTTTCTCATGACCTTCAAAAAGTAAGAAGGTTTTCCTGATTTCTAAGAGCTGAAGTGGATTTGGCCGAAATACTTTTTCCCTTCAATATTTTGTTTAGTCTGTGTTTTGTTTTGGTTTTTTTATGAGCAAAGTTGAAAATATAGAAATAATAAAAGTGAAATTAAAAAAAAAACACAAATAAAAAATTTGTTGCCACAGCGAAAAGATTTGAAGGAGGCTGTTAAACCATTTTGTTTGTTTCCTTATATTGTTTTTTTTTTGTTGTTGCTGCTGTTTTGCATTTTGTGTTATGTTTACAAACAGTTTGAGTAAAAAGCAAATGTAAATAGAAATAAAAACAAAGCTTAATTAAAAATGCGACGAAGCATGCTATATATGCTGGGGCTCATCCAATATCAACGGAATAAGCATTTTCAAAGCACAAAGCCTATGGCAAGACTCAAGCTAGTGACTGCGAGATACTCTGTCAAAATGGATTAGGAGTTGAGCTGCACTATGAGTGGGCAGAATATGAATTAAAAGCATTTAAAAGCAATAATTGTAAAGATTTTTATAGACTTTATTAAGTAAATGTTGTGCAAACCAGTATACTCTCTTGCACGCTCTAACAGCGTATTAGGAATTGGGCACAGCTGAGTGGCAAATAAATGTGAGCTAGCGATAGGATGCTGATGATAAGCTTTCGTTGACGACAAAATCGTTTTCCTCTGCACCACCTACCACAACAACCACCCCTCCATTCACCCCCTAAGCTTTTCTTCTTCTTTTATCTAGAATGTTTGTTGGGCCGCATTTTTTGGTGAAACGCAAAAATAGTACTTTGAAATTGTACACAGTGGCAAGCCGCAGAGCTCATAAGTCGTCGTCGCTGTTGTTGTTGTTGTTGTTGTTGTTGGTAGGCTCCATTCACGCAATTGCATGCTTTTAGAACGACAGGAAAGGCGAAAAGGACGACGCTGTTTTATTCAGCTTTGAGCTAGAAAAATTTCAAGTCAAGTGCCGGCAACTCGGCGCTTTGGTCTTAGCTCACTCTCTCCCGCTGCTGTGGCGGCCCGGTTTTTTGTAAAAATGAGTCCCATTCAAGGCATAGCAAAGCGAGGTGCATTACACAGAGAGAGAGAGAGAAAGAGAGAAGAAACAAGGTAAACTAGAACGAATTGTTTGCTTGGGAGTGCTGTAAATTAAATACCCTCGCACGTATATAAAAATGGATTTAAATTTAAAAATTAAAGTCTTCAGTTGGCAGTCAAGCCAACATGGAACACTTTGCTGTATTAATCAGATACATAGAGAAAATGCCTATATTGAAGCTCTCTGACATCTGTTGAGGGACATTTAATTAGCAGCTGCCAGGGTATTAGCTTCAGTTCATACGCAAGGATGATCATGGCATTAGCTAACTCAGGTATTATATAAAATTCACTAACAGAATATTTTTTCTTCTCAGCTCACAGTAGCTCGGCCTGTGTGCTGTCGTCAGAGTGCGCTGCTTTGTGAAGAACTCACATTAATCTTTATTTTTATACCACAAAGATGCCACAACATCAGGACAGAGATGAAGTGGGAAGGAGCAGCGAGTGCAAGTTTCTAGTTTAAAACGTTTTTCCGCCAACAGAGCGAGAGAGTGTAAAAGAGAGCGGGAGAGAGAGAGAGAGAGTTAGAAAAGGGGACGCATATTAAGTGGGTCGCTGCGTTTTAGCTTTTCAAGGAAGAACTTAAGGTGCTTGCCGCTTTCTTACGATTCTGCATGACGAGCTGTATGAAAACAGCCAAGCTGAACTTTATGAAGCTACTAAATAATAAAAGAAGGTTCTGCGAAACTTGTCGGAAAAGGTTGCCAAATAACTCTGTGGGAATTTACTGGAGAACTGTTCGAAACTTTACAACATGCGGCCTCAGTCGAGATCTTCTGAAAGAAGCAAGCTGCTAGCAAGTAGAAATATATTCAAGACATTGCATACAGACAGATGAGCTGTAGAGTTCAGAAAAGTTATAAATAGCCAAAAAAAATTGAGGTAATAAACAGGTTTTTCAATCTACATATCTTAGCTTACTCGTGTGATTAAAAATACTTTCGAAAAAGTTCTGCATGGTGAGATAAAGTATTTATTTAATTTATATTGCAATTATATGCAAAGATAAATATCTATAAAGAAAAAATAAATAAATAAAATTAAATTGATTTATATAAAAAATGAAATATAAAAAAATGTAATCAAAAATATTCAATAAAAAATATATATTTAAGTTATATGAAAATATTTGTTAACAAAATCGTCTATGTATAAATATATATAGAAAGAGTTTGGTAAAACGACAACAAAACATTTCTAGATTATGAATTTACAGTAGTAATGCATTAAAAATATGTTTTTTACTTATTTATTTTTTGAAGTTTTAAGCCATCTAATTTCATTTTTTTTTGTTTTTTTTTTTTGTTTTTTGGCTTGGATCCTAAAGCAGATATTTATTTTTAAGTTCAGCCATTAAACAAATATCGATTAGCGCATTTAGTGCAGGCAGAGGGGAATGTTGCCAACCTTTTTTTTGGTAACACAGAAGGAGCAGGAGAAAAAGAGGGTAACAATATGCTACGCATTAGACTCATATAATATGAACATTATATAATGAAGAAATATATGATTAAAATTATCTTTTAGTTGGGTTTTCTATATGCCGATGATTTTGATGTTGTCGCAATGTGCTTAGGTAAATATTTCTTTGTATTTTGGTACCTTTAAAAATAAGCTTTACTTTTTAATACATTTATAGTATATCATATATATAGAGGCATATTACACACACATTCCAAAGACACGAGGTTTTCCGTTAAAGTACAGTTACATACACTTACAATCTGCAAGGCGAAAATGTTTTTTGTTTTTGTTTTAAGAGTGCTCAAGGGATACGTCATTCGACATACAAAACTTACGCTACAGGCATTTTAATTAAGGAATACATATGCATGCTCGCATATTAGATTTCTAATTAGACTCTTTAATGAAGTTGTATTTTGAAGGAGAATATCTTTCGGGCAGCTAGGGAAATATATTCAAATGTACAGAGTGTCTTAAGAGAGCTGTAACATTTAATTTGTCTTATTAAAAAAATTATTTTGAATATTCGCATATCGGTTTTAGTCTTCCATATTTCCAAACACTAAGAGAAAATAAGCTGCATTTCACAAAAAATGCATTGAACTAAAAAATAATAAATAAATATAATTATGATAATCAAAATAAATAAAAATATATAAGAATTTTCAGATAATAAAAAAAATTATAATAAAAATTCAAATAATCATACAACAATAATAAAAATAATTATAATAACAATATTTAGAATAATAAACAATTCACTTGACACCAACATTACTTTTTTTATATATTAATATATATAAATAGTAGTGATATATTAAAGCATATAATATATATATTTTGTTGTGCATTATTATGTTCTTATTTATAAAATTTCACTTAAGTCAAATTAATGTTTTTCCAGTTTATGTTTTAGGTATTTTCTGGCTGCATTTTGAGCTCTATCTCTGCAGTTCTTAAGTGCTGCTTTATTCACAAAATTTAATTTAGTTCTTCAACTTTAATTTAATGTAATTATTTAATTTTTAAAAATATTTTGATAACAATTTTGTGTTCTCGTTTTTACTTGAATTCTTCAGCAATTCTTTTATTATGATTGGCACAAAACATTTCTCAAACAGTCACTTGTTTCGAATTCTATGTGCAAGGCTAAAATTGTTTTTGTTTTGAAACATTTAACTTTCATGGTACTACACACTCATTAAACACATTTAATTAATTAGCATATTTTGTATAATTTATTTCAACATACACGAGCTGAGTTGTCCAATGAGTATTTAAGTGCGACTTTTTGTTTAGTTTACAAAAAGCAAACAAGTTCAACTTTCTGAATGAGTCTAGAATGGGAACTGCATGACGCGATGCTCTCAAGGAATCTCCTTTACTGCTGTCTCTCTCTTTCTACTGGCTTTCTCTGAGGCCTTTGAAGCTAGCGCTGACCAACCGTGACGCTTGAAATCTGGTCCGCTACTGAAGCGGCATCGCCCTCAATGCAATGGATGCTGCCGTTATCTAGATAAAAGCTCTGGCTTGCCATAAAGCCGAGAGCAAATCTGAGACAGGACATGCGCACAGCATCCTCGCTTCTGTTTTGGGTTCAATTTTGGACCATTTCCACCAGAGTGAACAAAAAGTATTATTCAAATTACCCAAAACATTTACGTCCAGCTGTTTGGGGCATCAGCTGCTGCGGCACGTTGTGCTCAGAGAGCCTCTCGAATGTTGGACAAAAACACCTTTTACTATGGGAGACAATTTTTTTTAATTATTTATGAATTCTTAATGGTTTTTGTGTTCTTTTTTATATTTATTTATTGCTTATTGCTCGTGATTTTTTTTACTGCCGTTTTTTGTGTGGGCACTGTTTAAGATCTTTATGAGCAATGCAAATAAACAAATAATGGTCTATTGGCTCTTGATTTAATGTGCTTTGACGAATTTGGCTTATACACCATACCAAGTTTTACTATACTTGATTCTCAATATGAAAGCCAAATACAATATCCATCAATATTCATGGACATAGAAGCGCCTGACTGTCTCTCCATTTGAGCTAAGCACTTACTACTGATGGCATATAATTGCGTATATTCAAATATTCAAAATATAAAAGCATTAATATATCTTGGCACAAACCAAATATAATTAAAATATATATTTACTTTGTTTTAGATCTAAAATACCGAAGAGTTCGCAAGTATAAAGAAAGACAGACACCAAAGAGCTTGTTTTCCACACATGAATATATTATTATGATTATCAAAGGGATTATTATTATTATTGTTATTACTTGAAGGGGCTGGGTTACACATAGAGGCTACGCTACTTGACGTTGCTCAGCTGTGCCCTTGCAGTGGACAGCCCTTGACCCAGGTAATTCAAATTAAGGCGCAGCTGTGGCGATTGGCAGCACAGGAAACTGAGTGGGCAGCCGTCCAATTGTGAACTATCTTTCTGAAGAAACTCTCTACAGTGATACCTTCGACAGACCAGAAGTATCTATCATCTTATCTCTGGCAAGCATTCAGCTTTCAGTTGAGTTATTTAAGTCTTAATCTGGCCAAGATTCTGGCTCTGTTATGCATAGGCAACCAACCATTATTAGCATTATTCTGATTATCTTAACTATTTTATATATATATATAACATATTCAGCTCTGGATCTTCATTGCCTACCACAATTAGGCAATCCACAGAGCACTTTAATTGAAATATTGGCACATCAGGATTCCTTCGCTGTCGTAAATGAATGAAGCCCAACGAGTATGCCTCTCAGTAAAAAAAAGCAGCAGAAATTGTGGACGAAAGGAAAAAGTTAATGCGACCAGCTGTCACGCTGTTTGCTGGCAATTGAAAAGTTTATTAATAACCAAAATCGTGCTGGCAAAAAGATTGCATTAAACTAAAGTAATTTATATTTTTTTACAATTTAATTAAATTATGAATTCAGCATGCAAAGCGAATGCGATTATATTTAAGCAGCATGAAAAATATGTTTTTATATTAAATTGAAGCTGGCATGAAAGTCGGGAATAACTGCTAAAAAGAACACCCTGTATACGTTTGACACTTATTTATTTTATCTTTTAATTAATAACTAATATTAAAGAGACTCGGACAACTTCTGCACATAATTTATCATAACTAATATTCTTAATGATTACAGGGTATCAGCTTTTGTCATTCTGCAATCAACATTGCAGCACCAATAAGCCACGAGCTAAATGATCGACGTAATCGACGGCGTATACGTAATGTAAGCTCTTATGTAGCTGCTCAACGAGTGCATTAAATGCCAGCCAAAATCAACGTTATGCAAATTTAAACTGAAACATAATGCAATAGCTGCACTGCACTCTTGCGAGGGTATAATAACTTGCTCACACATGTGAGGAAGATTATGATTATGTTAGCAAAATGAAGTTCTTGAGCTCGTGTAGCATGAGAAGTGCTTAAAGCAACAAATATATTTTTATATATCGTATATCAACCTGATAGTGAGACTATATATTTTGAGCTAACATTTAATTTTTCCTATAATAAACTTTATTATTATTCCCAATAACTGCTTCAACAATTCCCTTAACCAGCCCAACCAGGAGCAATTCATGACATCTGTCTATGAGCTCAATCTAGTAAAAATTGAAAAAGTGTATAAGATAAAGGGTCTTAAGTCTTCGGTAATCCGAAATTACCAGTTTTTTTTCCAGCTTGCGCCTTTCATCTGCCCTGCGGCATTACAAATCTGTATGTGTGTAAATTTGTGTATGCTTGTATTTTCATTTTATGTATTTTCATACATACTTTTGCGAGCAGGCAAAAAATATTTGTTATGAGCATTTTAAGTCATATTAAAGCCCAATTACAACCAATTTAATAAACATGAAAGAAATTCAATTTATGGCAAGCCGAATACTAGATACGCTTACTTATATAAATATTCTCATTATAGATATGATAAATGCAGCTGGAGCCTGTTAAATTAGTTTAGGAATTGTCATAAAAAATAATAACAGAAGATATATAAAACAAATATTTGATTTGAAAATAAAAAACTTAATTTATTTGTTTTATACTTAATATACTTATACTTAATATATTTATGCAAAAAAAATAAATTTGACTACAACAAAAGTAAAGATATGTCAAAAAAGCAACTGGCTTGCTTGAAAATCCAGCATATATTCAGTTCCCTCCATGCGCTTCGTTTCGAAATTACAATAGCCTCGACAACTGTATGGGGGACCAAAGGAATGACAGCAAACGCCCAGATGAGCTACAAACAAGAAAATGTTTTTAAGTCCGCGCATATGTAGCGCGCACATATGGGCAATAAAGTTAATGCAAATTGCTGCCAAAATGCGAATATTATAAATGAGACTGTCAGATGGCTTAACAGCAGATGAACTGAACAGCGCCTGGCTACACGCATACGCATACGCATACTCAGACGCATTATTAGCCAGTGGATTACGTATCCTTATACGAATGCCACACGCCAGGTGCTGTCAAGTTATGCTCAGATTATAATAAATTAATTATATCCAATGGCGTTTACCGTTTGCTGTTCTCGCATATTTCTTTATATGAATACCTTGTAAGAGCAAGATTGACAAGGTAGAGTATTTGGGATGGGTCGATGTTTGAAACTAAGATACGATATATCGATAAATATCGATAGAGACAGAGAGTTACTAAAGTGAGACAGAGACAGAGACAGAGAGAGAGAGAGAGACTAACAGGCAGACAAAGAGTGACAGCGAAAGAGTGAGAGAAAGAGAGCGATAGGAGGGTAGCGAGAGGAGGGTAGCGAGAGGAGGGTAGCGAGAGGAGGGTAGCGAGTGGTAGAGAGAGACAGAGATAGAGCCAGAGTAAGAGAAGCAAAGAGACAGTTGCAAGGTATTTTTTAGTCGTTCATCTTTTTTGTTTACTTTTTCCTTTACGACCTCAAATGCCTAAAATGAACAATGTCAAAATTTACAAAATTTAATGTGTCACAAATACAAGTATTTGTTCCCATATATATATATATTCTATATATATATATAAATAAGTAATCGGAGGAATCGAAAATGCAATCCAACAATATGTCGCCAGTGAAAATGGTGCAGGGACATTTCAAGTTCACAAGTAAGTTTTCGCTTAGCCCATGTCGAATGCAGTCTCAGGATTTTTGCTTGTTTCGTTAGACAATCTGAATCTAGGCGCGGCTATACGTTCGATCCGCCCTTTGCTTAAGAGTCCGGTGGCGCAGGTGATAATATCATTTGTTGTTGGCTATTATGCCACGACAAAGATTGTCCAGATCTATATACTATATAGAACGCATGCTGGAGGCAGTCATTCGAAAGAGGACTTTAAAACTGTGCTGGCAACTGATAATCAGATCGTGAATGAAGCTCAGTTGCCCGAGGCGGAGGATGCTCTGCGACTAACCTGTGAACAGTTGTCGGCCTACGATGGGATGCGGGAAGATGAACCGATTTATACGGCGCTCAACGGGAACATTTACGATCTCAGCTCGTCGCGCGACACGTTCTTGAGACCCGGACCCTACTCTCTGCTCGCCGGCTGCAATGCCAATCAAGTGCTCAACATCGCATGCGGCTCGATGGGGGTTTCCCCAGAAGACATCATCGACCGATGGGAGCGCAGCCTCAACGCCGAATTCAATATCATCGGCCACTTGATTGACAGCGATGACTCTGACAATGACGAACTGTTATGAAATGAAAACTTTTTAAGGCGCGACTTCAGATGAATCTCTATAGCAATAAGTAAAATAAAATAAATATGCAGATATATTTATATAACATAATCAGATCAGATCATTTTTAATATATTACGTCGCATTCGTACTAGCAAATAAAAATACAAATGAAATTATCATCACTATTATCATAGTTACCAGAGCATAAGTTACAATATTTATTTGCCAATTTAACTTAAAATTTTCCTAAATATTCCAATATGGTCTCTATTAATTTAACAAGAAAAACTTCTTAAAAGAGAGATCAAAATTGCTGAGCTTATACCGACTGGCAGACAGATTGGCAGCTGGAGTTGATATATAAGATGCACTCAGTATATAGTCCCGATGAAGAATATATATTTCTATATATATTGTGCAAATCTTTCCTCCGGCTGCTACATATTGATATGAAATTTCTGAGCATATGAAATTTCATATCCTAAAAGTTCAGCGTATAAAAAAAGGCAATAGAAAATATAAAAATAATTTATAGAAATTATATAAATATATTTAAATGCATTATAAACCAAATACTTTAGAATTTAAAGGGATACAAATTTTTCTATTTCTTCCATATGCAACATATTTTCCTAGCTGTTCAGCTGCATATCCAGTTTCTCCCTTCGAGCAGCTCAACTTGAATCGTTTTACGCAGCTTGAAATATTTCGGGTTCTGCTATAATCTAAGATGGTATTTCTTAGTGGAAAAGGCTTTCATAAAATTGCGTTTAGCTATTGACGCCTTTGCTTCATTTGAGCCCAACGGTTGGCTGACTTTGTGGCATGTGGCATGTGGCGTGGGCCAAGTGCCTTAGCCATAAAATGAAAATGAAAATGTCAATGACATCAACTAATACTTCGTTTCTGTTCAGCTGTAAACTTTTCAGCCAATAGTGAGAGCAGTGAATTGTTAAAAGAAACTAAAAAGCGGGACAGGTGATACAGGTGAGCCGAGGCATCAATAGCAGCGGCTGCTACGCAGCTAATAAAATCAAAATTACTTTTTTGCGCTGCACAACAACAGTGGATGCCACAGCTACGTGCTCAAGTAGTTGTAAAAAAGTTACCCAAACAAAGTTTAAGCACACACCTGAACGCCAGCCAAAGGTGTCAAACTCAACCTGGGCCAGGCAAGCCGAGATAGAGCTAAAAAGTAGGCAACAAATGTTGTTTGATGTGTTCTTTTCGATTTGATTTTAAGGCTTTCGCCAGGGTCAACAAAACATGTCAAAATGTATATATATATATATATATATATATATATATATATATATATATATATATATATATATATATATATATATATATATATATATATATATATATATAAATATATATATTTGTATATATATCTGTATTATTTATTTATTTATTATTATTTTATATATCAAAAGAAAGCATCATAAATATATTTTTGTAGCACCCGGCACAAACCAAAGCTTTCATTAGACTCTAAATATAGTTCAATGGGATAATGACGCTGCCTGCTTTCAGCACAGGAACTTAACGAACCCAAGAACTATATGTAATGAATGCCTTCCTCGAGTGTCGATGACTGCGCAATGCTCGCTCGAAGGCAAGAAAAATGCATTTTAAAACGCAATGACTTCTAAGATGTCATCTTAAAGCTTATAATACTATGTATATACGATAGTTACAAGATATATCGTATATATATATATAAGAAACAGATGATATGTGTATATGTATCGTATATAAATATATAAACTTTATCGTATGAATTCTCATGTAAAATAAATAAAATGTTATATATATCGTTTTTTATATACTAAATAGTATCAATCAAACATATCTATGTAATATATTATGTTAGATATATCATTTAAATATGTATATAAAATATAACGTATCAGTCACCATATAAGATATATCATATATGACAGATATAAATAAAATATATCGTCTCACCCATATGCCAAATAGTTTAGCATCAGCTTTTGACGACTATAGCAAAATCCTTTAATATTTAATTTATTCATTTTATTTTTTTTTTTTTAGAATTTATTTGTTTTATTAATTATAAGCCCATACACTCCTTTCACATAAGAACAACTGCCAATGGGCAAATTGAAGTACACATTAAACAAAAACCAATATGGTTTTGTTGTTGTGAATGTGCAGAGGTGTGCAATCTGTGTACTCATAATGAGAAGCTATAAATAAAATTTGATAGCTCTGGCAAAGAAGGTTGTTTAGTTGTGGAGCAAAAGCCAAGTCGACATGGAAAATAAATGATAAATTGGTGATATAGAAGAAAATATATAGCTGAAAGAAAAGTCTTTCTTAAAAGCCAATATGCCCCTACTAAGAACAAGTCTAGAAGTAAATGAAAGTATATCTTAAACAAAAGTCAATATAGGAACAGCTGCAACTAGTGAATGCCTTAGTCTAAATTGCAGCTTTAATAACAACCTATATACCCCTTTAGGCTTGTGCACGAGTCTGGCAGCAACTGTGTAAATAGGGCAATGTTTCACATCAAAGTACACATTAAATCCGAGACGATAATCACAGGAGGCATCTGGGGGCCAGACGTTTGCCCGACTATGATGCGACTAACGATGCCTATTGCTGTACGCTGAGAATACAAAAAACATAATTAACCACGAAGCTGGGGACCCCAACAGCCAACAGCCAACAGTCAACAGCAACTGCCTATGCAGAGGACAAGAGCCAGGCCCCGCCTCCAGATCAGGTTAATGTGACAGTGGCAGCTGTTGCCGTCGTAATTGCTCGACTTTGGCAAATAACACAGTTTTGAATATAAAGTACTCAAATAACATGGCCAAATGACACATTTGTACTTTGTAATTAGTTTCGCGCGTTTCGTATAGACGCGCCACTCGGATTCGCCTCGCCAAATATTCAAATTCGCATTTCAAACTTTGCTCATGCCAACGTCCACTATTCGGCGGTCAAAAGTTTCCGATTTTTATTACCAACAAAATCGATATTTGCTGCAAGCGTTTGAAGCTTAAGATTCTCTACGGCTGCTGCTGTAAAATATTTTTTAAATACACGACTGCTGCTACTTACTTTTATGCCCAGTTTAAGTAGTCTGCACCTGGTTAAACGGTTTACAAAATCGAGTAATTTGTATTCTATTTGCATTGCCTAAGTTGTAGGCATCATTCAAGTCGGATACTTTCTTTTACAGCTGTGCTATGTAAGCTTTAAATTGAGTTGATTTAGGATTTGATATGAGTCTTTATAAATTTATGAATATAGATATATATCTATACCTATCTTGCCAACTATTTATACTAATCTTCACTTGTAGCAACGACTCTTATATCAAATCTTAAAGCATAGATACTAACTGCTATAGAGGCAAGCAGTGTGTTTGCTAAAGCAGCCATGCAAGGTCAACTAGAGCACTTTTACTTGAATAAACATAAATAAATACCTTATGTAAGCAACGGGTATTTCCTAGTCAGGCAGTCCCCTAATGAGGCAAGGCCTGCAGCATGTAAATTGATATGAATATGTTTATATACTTGAAAAGTCTCTAACTATATATACTACACAACTGACAAAAAATATTTATCGATTTCATGAAAGTTAAAAAAGTTATCGATTGTTGTAAGCAATCTATAACCAGTCAGACAGAGGAGCTCGGCTAGATCGACTTGACTGTTGCTGATTAACTATTTATTGTAGGTCATATAGGACATGCCAGACCTTACCTGTTTCTTATCAAATACAAAAGAGCAGCAATTAGTCGTATGTACCCCACATATATAGGCGATATATCAGCAATTCTAAAGACCGTATGGGTCTCAGATTATCTTGGCCAAATATATGAAGGATACACACGCATAATTCGTTATATCATATCATATTAGGGTAATTGATTTACCCTTCTTTATTTGCTCTTGATTTGGGGGCCTTCTCTTTGAATAAATGTATTCATTCGGTTATAATGTGGCAAGCGCGTCGCACTTGGCGTCACAAGTTGGCTCGGTTTAATCTATGGGCGACGCTCTATGGTTCCTGGGCTCTGGGTCTGTTCCCGTTCGTCTATGTGAGGAGCAGCAACAGACTGCGACGCTCGAAGTGGCTGATTGGATATGGAATTGTCATGAATCTTGGACTTGTTCTGATCTCCTTTCGCTATCACGAGGATACGGAAGTCAGTGATATGGTCGAGATATATCAGCGTAATGCTCTAGCCAAGCAAATCACTCAGATACAAGTTTACCTTATTTTAACCACGATTTTCGTCACGCTCTTCCGCAACTGGTGGGTCAGCGAGGAGCTTGGAAATATTTTGAATACTCTGCTTCAACTATACGAGCATCGACTTCAAGTTGATCGAGAATCGTTGGATTGTTCGAGCTTCGATAAATATGTTATCTATAAGAGCCTATCGATCTGGCTGGAGCTCATCTCCTTGTTGTGCCTCAAACTGGGATTTAATACGCCAATCAGCTACAAATTGTTCCTGGTCCTGGCGGCTTTCATGGCCATTCAACTGAGTATCCTGCTGCTGGGCATGCATTTCAATCTGGCTGTGCTCTTTATATATCGCTCGATTTGGCTCATAAATCGGGAATTAGTGATGCTGGCCAAGCAAAAGCAGCGCCAATTTAGACGCATTCACGATCTTCATGGCACCTACAGTCGTCTCTTAGCGCTCAGCACTCGATTGTCCTCCATTTACAGCTATCAAATGATCTTGTTCATGTTGTGCCTGCTGAGCGTGAATGTCCTGTCCCCATTCTACATGATTGTCTATAGCATTAGTTTGAAGAAGACCTTGACTTTCCTCCTGATCCTCAACTTTGGCCAAGGACTCGCTATTAACATTCTCGACTTTTGGATAAATATCGCCGTCTGCGAACTGACAGAGCGCGCAGCCGACACGACCTCAACAACTCTAAGGCTCTTTAATAATACAGCTAACGACGAGGTTTGGCTAGATCGCAGCGTAAGTGGCTTTACTTGTCTTTGTCTCATATCAAATATAAATCATCTTCTCTTATAGATCAATAACTTTGCATTATTTTGCGCCCATCGACGGCTCAGATTTACTCACTGCGGCTTGCTGCGTATAAACAATGCCATGGGCTTTCGCATGATCGTCACTTCTGTGCTTTATATTCTCTATTTAGTGCAGTTTGATTTCATGAATTTGTAAAATTAATATTAAGCGAAACATCTATCATACAAGCAATGGAAAGCATAGTCATCATAGACATGAACAACATGGAAAGCCTTTGAGCTTGTTAGACTCATGATGTTGTGAACGATTGAATTTAGAAATATATAATATATAAAATTGATAACTTATAATTTAAAACTAAACAAGTTAACTAATCAGTTTCGCATACAAAACTGCATTAGTTCAATGTCAATTGAAGCGAGAAATCAATAACAAAATGCGAGCGATTCTGCTAGGCGACAAGTGTTGCAGCAACAGCGAAAGCTGAGCAACGCTGGCAGCATGTTGCTAAGCAACCCAGCAACATTTATGGCACACTCTGCCTCTCGCTCTTTCTGGCTCATATTATTACTTGTAGTTCGCTCTCTCAGATAAAATTGAGTGGAGCTTTCACATTATTTATGAAGTGCATGCTCCAATGGCCTTTGTTTTGTTGCTAGTTGCTAAAAAATCCTTATTGCGACTTTCAGGAGCCGGACAGTCGCATTTGCTACACATGTGGGGAAGGTCAGAAAACCTTTTCTGCTGCTGCTGTTTATGAATTAGGGTCTCGGCAAAAATACGCAATAGATTTGAAAGTGATTGATTACGGGGCTCAGCTTACATGAAAGACCCAAATTGAACACATTTTAAAGGCTTTGCAGTACGCAATGTTCAAGTAATAAGAGATGGGCAGATAGAATTAGATTATTGCCCTGAAAAATACTTGAACTACATCAAAGCAGATTACGTCATGTAAAGATAGCAAGCCAAACAGTTATCGATAACTTATATCGATAACACACGTGAGCTTAATACATGTTCTATATATTTAAATAAATTTATTTGTAACCCATTTCAACTGCCCTCTTACATTTTTCATAACAATAATATACCCCATTTGATGACGCACTTACAGGGCATTCAAAGCAACCAAAGAATTATTTGTCTCTAACGGTCGCTTGCCTAATTGGGCTACTAATTGGTTAAGTTGCCTTCATAAATATGTCCTGCAAAAATTGACTCAAGAGAGACGAAGGGCGAGAGAGAACGCGCGCGAGCAGGATAGGCAGACAGAGATAAAGAGAGAGCAAGAGAAATGTATGGCTTGATATTTTTTAAGCAGCTTTACATATAAATTGCACACTTAAGCACACAACTCTTGAAACGCTCAACTATAAAGATTAGAAAACTGCAGACTTGTGTGAAACGTGACAGCAAAGTCTGAAGGACTAGCAGTTCCTCGCCCACCAACATGAAATTATTGTTGCTGCAGAAGCTAAAGCCCAGATAGGGTAAAGCAACATTTAAACTTTCCGAAACAACATTTTATACTTTAGATTTTAACTGTAACGTTAGAAAAAGTGAGAAAAAGTGAAAGGGAGAGGAGGAGAGAGAGGGAGAGAAAGAGAAAGAGAGAGAGAGATATAAAAGAGAGAGAGAGAGAGAGAGAGAAAGCGGGAGATAGAACAAAAAAGACAGAGCGAGAGAGAGGTAGGTATAGAGAGCGAACGAGAGGTAAAGGTGAAAGAGACTGTTCCTAATATATGATGATATAATATTACCCAAATTACATAGACAAATATATAAAAATATATAACTTGAAGAAAAATTAAAATTAATATTATTGATCTATAAGAAAAAGATTTTATAGCAAAATATATCCAGTTCATAATCGAAATTATTTAAATAGAAATCATTGAATGCCTGAATATCCTAATCGGTCCTCCATATTATATAATAAAAATACAAAAAATATCTGATATGATAAATGTTAGTCTATTATGTTAAGCTTGTAATTAGCTTGGGAATATTTCTTCATCAGGAAAATAGAGCCTGGATACTGGATACTGGAGTTTATTTATGGAACAAAGTTTTTATATATTCACTTGAATATTCAATTTGATTCTTCATATCTGCTATACTTCTCTGAGGTATTTCGTATAATGTATAATATATATATTTAAAGATATATATGTAACTTCATTGTGTCCATTAGTCATTTCTATGTGCCGCAAGACAGAGCTAAACCATTTAATTAATCATATTTAAGCCGGCTTAATACGTAATGCACACACATATGGCATACATATACCAGCTCGGCGGCAGTTGAACTTGGCGCTTACGCAGAGAGTAATGTATGTATGTCTAATAAATAGGAAATCACATTAAATAAGCCGCACAACCGAATGTTGACACCATTTTACGTGGCTTAATCTTGGTGCATTCGTCGGCCTGGGACGTCTCCTGCCCCATGACTTATGAATGAATTAAGCCACACATAGATCTCTCTCACATGGGAATCAGCATTGGCGCGATGGAGATGTATCTCGAGGTTCCGAATCAGTTCAATTGAACTGATTACTCAAATGAGCTAATTAACTCATACTGAATAGTTCAGGTAGTTGAATTGAACAAATTGAACTATTTCTATATATATCAGAGTAGTAATATATATCAGAGTAGTGACTCTTAGTTCAGTATCAGATCAATTTAACTAGTTATTTAAATGAAATAAGCTAATTATTTTTTATCATTAACCTTAGTATATGCGCATTTATGCAAAAATTCTCTATCTCATAAATTCTATTCAAATGAATCAAATGAACTAGCTCAAATGAATAAAATAAATGGTTGAGGATTTCATTTACTGCACTAAATGGCAAATGAATTGAAATTGTTCACAAACTTGAACTAGAATTGTCAACTTTAATTGAGAACTAGGAACTAGTTCATCAAAATAGACAAACCTCGGCCAAATGAACAGCAGCGCAGTCAAACCAAGAGGACAGTCATCCATTCTTTACCAAAACAGCAGGACAATTGCTGCACTGTTAGCTGCCCCCACCAGGCGTACAGAAGGGGCGGCCGGGGAAGTCTGTGAGGTATTCATCAGTATTTACGTCACGCAGCGCACAGAGGCTGAGAGTCTGAACCTTAATCCGCTGTTTGTGGATTGCGAACACGCTGTAGTAGGATATACATATATATATGTACGTGTGTGCGTGTGTGTGTGAGTGAGTGTGCTATGTTGACATTTCAATGACAGTTGCGAAAATGCAGGAAATGTTGAAAAACGGTGAAAATAAGTTTGGCTGCCATTTTGTGTTGTGGTTTTTCACTTTCAACTCGTTCGTAAATTTATGCAATTCGATTATCGCGAACAGATTTTAGTGGCTGACACACAAAAGTGCCTACGGCCTGGTATCGATTTAACAGCCACCAACGGACATACATGACTGCACAATGCTCGCCTATCTAATTGAATGATTTTTATCGATTTAAAGACAAGAATTTAAATGGCAGTAGGAATATATCGATTAGATTTATAAATATACAGGAAAAAATAAAGCTTACATATTATCCTTTACTTTAGGGGATGAAACCAAATCAGATATCAATCTAAACTCTATGCTTAGTTGACCATATTTTTAATTTTTAATTAGAATTGTTACCTCAAAACAAAGAAATCAACGTATCAATTGACAATTTATATATACATATATATAACTAGATATATATATATAAATATGTGCAAATAAGAGAATGCTAAAGTTGTATTGCCGGCTCTATATAGGGCAGCTCCAAGTTCTCGCTGCACGGCTGTGTTAGCATATCCTCCAACATGCGATTCAACGACTCCGAGCCCAAGGTATACTCCAAGCAGCCGTTGTTGCTCTTGTTTCCGCCAACGGACAGTGCTTGATCATCTTGATTGTCTCCATCGCTACTTAGAGCTGTTTTCAATTCAGCGCTTATCTGCTCAGATCCCATAATGTATGATTTTTCCAGCTTGTCTTCAATCGCCGCCGCTGATTTCGCCTGTGCGGCTGGCCCTGCGGAGGAAGACGCCGAAGTTGAGCTCTCGTCGTTGGCTATCTTCAGAATGCGCATTGACTGAGTGCTAAAGAGGAGTCCAGCACAAACGCTTATTAGCCATTCGATTACCGGCTTCATAGTTCTAAAATTTGGGATTTAAAGCGCCGATAGTTTACTTATTTCAAAAAATTGGTTACATATGTATATATGTTTGCCATATAGGCCTACTAATGCAAATGCTGAATGTGCTCATGTAATATGATTTCATATATGTGATATAAGCTTAAACTGAAATTTGAAAGCATTTGAAACCGATACTCGGCTCCGTTGTTACGTTTTTGTATACATATAAAGCAGTAGATTATAACATATTCATTACATAAATATACTAATTGGGAATTCAATATACTAATGGGGAATTCGTATAAGTATATAACAAGTGACTTTTTATACCGCTTATAAATAATATTTTCTAACAAAGTCTCTAAGCCTTAAACTTTTTAAATACACTTTAAAAGAATCAATTTTCAAATTGCTCAGGCAGAATCTAAATCATGTAGAATTGAATTAACTTTTTACATGTTAAAAACCTCAACTTAACTAAAATATTTCTAATTTCTAATTATCAACTAATGGTTATCTAATATGTAAACTAGAACACAGGGTTTATTCTTTGGATTATTATTATTATATTAATTTAAAGCTGAGGCACAGTTAAACAAAAATCATGACTTGATTAATGTCGCAGCAATTATATCTTGTTAAGCTGTTGCTGAACTTCCTTAGTGCGCTTAACCTGTCAAAGAGTAAGGCAATTATAGTCGATATACATCAATTTTAATATAACTTACCAACAGACAGACATTGGCAACAGACTGGGGACTTGGTCGCTCCTTGCGCAGCTTGATATGCTTATTGACAATTTGATAGTAGAAACTGCCATCCTTCTCCCGCAACATGAATCTTTCGCCACGATCGGAGCTGTCGGCTGTGCGCTCCTCTTTGTAGCGCTGTTCGGAGAGATAAGTGAGCAGATTCTGGCCATGTGTTTGCTGAATCTGTTGAAAGAGCGGATCAGGCTTTAGCTTAAAGTTAACAAAGTAATTGCCACAGTCCTTGAGCAAGCCATTGCTATTGCCGCTGGGTGGTATGCCAAAATGCACTTGCACTAGATCGTATTGTGCGAAATGGGCTTCTGGGAACACGGGTAGCTGCGCAATGGGTCTAGCATTGCTACCCGACTTGGTGGGATGGGAACACAATGGCTTTTCTATGTCCACAAATGTCTGCTGTACAATCTGCTTCTGTTGTTCCACACTGAACGACTCCAGCTCCAGTTGCTCCGTCTCCGGCTGTAGGCGTTGTAGACCTGTTCGTGGACGTGGCACAGCGGAGCGCTCCTTGGCAAAGAGTTCACGGCATTCCTGTGCACGTGTGGGAAAGCTATGTAATACCTTTGACTTTGGATTATTAATATTCAGCGCCTCAATGTCAGCCAACAATGCAGCGTCCTTGGCATCCATTTCAGTTGGCTCTCCAGTGAACGGGCCATAGTTCTGATTGATCAGATCGATATCGAACAACAGGTGAAGACCCTTAAATTGATAGCTAAACTGGGTTTCCAGCTGGGGAAAGGAAACGGGCTCCTCCGTAAAATCCATTAAGGTTTTGCCACATGGCAGAAATTTGCAGCCAACTGCCGGATCGGGTAGTTGATTGATGTACGTTATAGAGCAATTAAATGGATTGCTATCGCAATTAGGATCGCAAGATAGGCGTGTAATATCACAACAATTAAAACATTCGTACTTACAGCTTATCTTCCTTCTTTTTTAATTTATTTTTTGGTTCGTTTGAAGCCATTTTGTCGGGTGACATTAAAAAATCAAACTGATTTTATAATCAGTGCTGTATTACACTTATTTGAATACTTGCAGTGTTGTAAAACTCGATAATGATTTATAGTGCCCGCAAACAAGTCTACTTAAAGCTCTGATCTCTTTGTTAGCAGTGATTGAGTGAATTGAGTAACCGATCATTAAATATCGTATATTCGAAATTTTGTTGTAAGTTTCCATTTTTATTAATAATAATATATATTATGGATTCTAACACACTTTTAACATAGCAAATGATCAATTTATGTTGCCTATTCACCCGCTGAAAACAGTGTGATCAAAAAATATTGCATGCCTTTAGGCTGCATGTAAAAACCGTTTAATAAGTACCAATGGACGGGGTTATTAAAATGATTATTCGTTAAAGCATGAACATCAATAATTATAATAAATTTATCAAGAATCTGTATGTTGTCGTTTTGTTACAGAAGAACAAAGTAACTTGCCACAACTGTGCAGTATAATAAAACTAATTTGAAATAAAAACATATTCATGTTTATGTATTTGTTGATTTTCTAAAATATACCAATATTGAGAAAAACAACTATCGATACATTTTAAATATTATCGATAGCAGGCCATCCACAGAACTATTTTTTTTTTTTTTTTTTGAATATCTTAAACCGAGTTGGCAGGTAAATGGAAACTGAAAAGCTGACCTGCTTGGCAATATAATAGGGTGCAATTTAATAATTCTTTTTAACAAACGAAATCTAAATAAAAATAAAAACCATTCTATAAAACTTCTTGAAATAATATTATATTTTCTTAAAATTAGTTTTATGCATTGCTCAGCTCTCTCCACTTCCAAGAAAAGACTGTAAACTCAAGTACTACATTCGGCAGCGCCGAGTAGCAATACGTTTCGATGCTGCGAGCAGTGCTATAAATAACGTGTCGCTCTCAGTATTTCGAGCATTCTCTATTGAACAGTCGTACAGTGAAGACGTGTTATAATTCAAAAGTTTAGTTTCTGGAAAGTGCCAGACAGTGAGTGAGCAACTCTTAGCAGCAGAAGAGGTGTGTTTGTATGTGTGTATACTAAACAGAAAGTTATTGACAAAAAGAAAAAAATTAAAATCATCATACAAGATGGTTGCATATTATGATGAATTCGATAATGTTGAGCAGCCAAAAACCTTAACATATTGGGTGCGAAATTTTCGCATGAAACGCATGCAAATGCGTCGTAAATTGCGGGGCTCTGGCAGCCTACGCGTGAACGCCATTTTGTCGACGGCTCTCTTCAATGCTGAACATGAGCTGCGCAGAAAGCAGCAGGAACGATTTAGTCGTTGGCTCGACGTCCAAACGAAATTTATTCCCAACGGCAACAAAATCCACAATAACAACTACAACGAAAAATTTCATCATGCTTGTGACGTCACGACGGAAACGGAGACGGAAGAATTTGAACGTCGCAATGTCGAAAATAATTTGTGGCAAAGCGAACTAAGTGGCCTCGACAAATTTTTAAGCAGTCTAAGCAGCAGCAACAATAACAACAATAGCCATTGCGCCATTGCAGTGAGCAGTTAGTTAAAAAGAGACAAACATATATACTTGGATATATGAGAAATGTGTTTAGCTTAAAAATTCGTCATGAATAACTTGTTTATTAATTTCTTTGATATATTTGTTAAATTAGTTTTATTACGAAAGAAATTTCTCATTTGCAGTTGCAATACGTGTGCAAACCTGTTATACATACATAGATTGTAATGAAAAAATGTGAAGGCTGTGAAGAAGAGTGTGATATGATGAGGACGAGCAAATGGCCTTCGTAACAGAGCGAGTGGTGTGAGTCATGAGCAACTGCTGTCAATCAACGCTCACCAGAAGCCTTTGGTCCGGAATTCACACTCGGTTTGTAAATTTATCTAATCAATTAGCTATAATTTAGTAATATTGTTTCTGAAACTAGCCATGTTCATAGTAAGCGACAAGAAAAAACGTTTTTAGTGGCTTGTGTACCTGAGGGTTGTTTAGCACAAAGACGACACATATATACATACATGCATACATAGGTACGTACACGAACGACGCCATTTTGAAATTTGTCTGTATACACAAATGCATATGTGTACGAACATGTGCTGTGTAGGTATGTATGTGTAGATACAGACAAGGTTTTTGTTTCGCGGAACAGCCATATTTGTGTATTTGTTATATACATACATATATTTCAAAGTATATGTATATATATACATACATGCCTTTGTTTTTGGGTTTTCTTTTGTGCATGGGCAAACCTTAGGTAGACTTGTATGCTATTTATATTTTTATCAGTGCGTCCGCTTCTATGAAATAATTGAGTCAGAAATGCAAGTGATTCATATTGAATCGGAGAAGTAGATATCAAGATGATATTTTAGGTTTAACTCTCTTAATCTGTCGTCGTTAGCTACATTCTAAAAATGTATATAGAAAAATTACCTGGAACTGATAAATGTATGTAAGATAAATAAAACTAAACTTTTATGTAATTTTGAAATCAGTGTTGCCTTTATTTTTACATGTCTAAGTCTCTCACAACTCTCTGTCACTTTGTCGTAAACATATTCGTCTATAACTGATTTTGTTTTACAGTTTTCCTGCTCCTCGAAACGTTAATGGCAACGATGAGGAGGAACGGAACACTTGACAAACAACAAGAGCAGCCTCACCGAAACAGACAAACATTAAATCGATGGGCAATGAAATCGATACCTACCTACCTACCTGCATCATCAATCAATCCGATAATCGTCTGATATGATTTTCGTTTTATCACTGAGTGAGTCTTCACGTCTGTCCGTCTTCTACATCCACAATGGCAGCCAGTTGCACACCAGCCGATCCTACACAGTTGGCCGAAACAGCAAATTAGCAGCGGCAGCAGCAGCAGCAAACACCACCGAGTCTCCCTTAACCAAAATGCCAGATGCAGCTGACAGATAAATGGGGACAAGGCGGAATTGCGCGCGGCAGCAGCAGCTTGAGCTCAACAGCAAACACGTGTGTGTGCCTTAGCTTCCTGGTCGGTTACCACCATCACAACAATCACTACCTACTATACATAAAGCGGTTAGCAGTTGCTGACGGCACCTACTACCACCAATCCACACAGATATCTCTGCATACACGCGGTATTCGTATATCAGCTGCGAACGCAAAAACAATTACTTTTTAAAACAGATTTACAGCAAAAGGAAAACATGAAATGGAATCTCTTCGTCGTTTCGTCGTCGTCGTCGTCGTCGTCAACATCATCAGCAACTTCTCAGCATCGTCGTATTCTACTTATCGCTTCACTTCTTCACTTGAATTTGGTGGCACGTAAGCCGTATCGAATTTTTCTTCTTGATTAACTCTTGAATTGCAGTTAAGATATACAATGAAAAACTCTTATCCACACACTCCATGAAGAGTGAGGGGCTGCACACTTATCTACAGATTGATAGAGGAATTGGAATTGGCGAACTTGTATCGTAATATAGGAAGAAGTTTGATATTTTGTTTGTCACTATTGCTATGTTTAGCATAAATACGTGGGCTTCAATTTTTTTGTAGCGACGCGTCACAGTTGAACAGTGCCTGTGAGCGTCTGGTTTCATCAATGGACACTCGCATCCATTCCTAGCATTCATGGTCTGAAAGTATAAGATCAACCTCCTTTAAACGACCGCCATGAGGACACCTCCTAAACTTTAGGACACAACATTTCTCGTTTATATATATTTTTTAGCGACGTGACGCAGTTGAACGGTGCCTGCGTGCGTCTGCAAGGATATGACCAAGCAAGACACAGAATATGTCCAAGTCATCTTTTCTATCAATCAAGTTGCAAGTTTAGAAGTACGCCAGGATTACAAGTCGAGATAAAGAACTGGCCAAAAACTCGTAACTCGTTTCTTAATACTTAACAAGAAAAAATGTTGCGTTTGTTTCTCTTTTAGCATTTTGAGCCTATGGTCTGTTCATTAAGAGCTGAAACCGAGAAACTAATTTACGAACTTTGATGGATGGTCATAATCGTGGATAGCGTAACTTTTACTATTTTCTACTCTTAATTTGGTTCTTGTAGCCAACAAATATGTTTCGTAAACGTGTTTATATGATTTCCAGCCAGGCGGCAAAGACTATATATCTGAACGACAGTGAGGTGGACATATTGTCCCGGACAATGGTCGGAGGAACCTGTTGAGCACAATATCAATATAACAGAAAGACGAAAAGAATCAAGCGTAAATTTTGAGATTTTGCCAAACAAAAACATTTCTTTTTGTATTTTATAGCAATATGACGCAGTTGAACGGTGCCTGCGCGCATATTGGAAGTTGTTAATCCCCATAAATAGGGTAATACTTCTTGTAGTCAAGCGAGGAAACGCCAGCTAAAGGATTTTCATGTAAATTATGCGATTTCCCCTGTGCAAAATTCTTCCTTTTTGTATCTTGTAGCTAAATAACCGCAGTTGAATGTGCCTGCGCATATCAGTCGGTAGCTTTCCAAAATGATAAAGGATAAAGATGCCGAGTCGGCGAGGAAGTGAAGACTTGGTACTTTACCAGGGGCACCCCTTAAAGACATCAGCAACGATAAAGGATTTGTTACAGAAGTTTACTTTCTCTATTTACCTCCAGCTTTATTTCTAAGCATGTCATGTATTAATTGCAGTGACGTTTCTTGGTTGCTACCCTCTCGGAAAAGCGCACATAAAACCGAATACCCATAGCAAAATTTCTTGGGGCAATGAGAATGAAATGCCAACTTGAATGCAAAATAACACCTCGACACTTGACCAACATCATCCCAGTCGATAGATAACCCTGTGAACTGAACTGAACTGAACTGTGAAGGTCAGCCCGACACTGAATACATCTTGAATTGCTTAAATATGTTTTACAGCCAAATGAAAAGACGATATTGAAGTACTTGCATAATATACGTACATTAAAGCCATCATCACATATTGCCATCATTAGAACAAGGATAGGCCTTCCTTCTATCACTTGGGATTCAATTCACGGCGTGAGAAATTTGTTCGATTACCATTTTTGCTTTGCACTTTCACTTTTGCAGCGATGTATGAGACAGTTGAATAATGAGCTTAAGGCTACTGCAAATTACGTTTTGGGAACGCTCTGGAGGTACAATATGTACACACGAATTCTTTTTCTTTTCCAACTACTAGCTTTCACACTACAAAATCGTTAAAGGGAATCAAAAACGATACATCAAGTTCATCCAGCTAGGTACAATCTTCAAGCAATGCCAGCACCACAACAACAAAATGTTTAACAGCCGCTGCAGCTGCCTTTTGATGGCCAATGCGAGTCGAGTACAGAAAGATTGGCGCTGAATCACAGATCCAAGTAGATCGCTTTGTACCATTGTACAATTTAACGTTTTTACATTACAGAAAACGTAAACTGCACGATATTGGGCAACAATTGTCGTCTACTGGCTAATGGCTAGTTGGTAGTTGATGCACTCCAGCTCCTACGCACTCACGACCACTTAAACACGAGGAGCAGACTGTTCCCTCTATTGAGGCGGCATCACAGCCTAGCTCGGCCAAGACGAAGCTGGGTCAGCTCTCAGTCCAGCACGTAATGCATTGCACCGCATAGAAATATGCGCTCGGTCCGCGCTAAAGGGAAACAAATGCGTTTGGACCGAGACCCGCCACACCACACAATCACCAGCACTCGCTTAAGAGGCGAGCTGATGTGTTGTCGTTGTTATCGGGCAGCTGCCTGCAAGTACGCTACCGGCATTCAAGCATCGTCGCCGCCGTCGCCTCGTCTCGCTTTCAGCATTTTGTGCGTCCTGCAAATGTATGTATTGTAGTATGTGGTAGAGAAGCAGCTATGAAGCCTTAACGATCCGACCTGAGGAACTCGTGCTCGTGGCTTATCGCAAAAGGGAATCAAATGCGACTAGTGTTCAAGCATCAAATTGAATCCTGTGCAGCAGCAGTCGCGACAGATGACAACGATCAAGAGATCGCAGAACAGACGGCGGTGGTGGTATTCAACTGGTTCTATAATCTGTTGTGTAACTTATCCGCTCACTCCCATTTCTTAGGTCGCACATATTTTTAACAGAATATAACCCCCCGGTAATCAAATCCATCGCAAAGGGAATCAAATGCGATTAGTGTTCGATGACGAAGAAGCTAGCTAGTTGAATCAGCTCTACGCTACGCTACGCTTCGATTTGCCAGTTGAGCGCTTAACTCCTGGTGCACCGTTCAACATTCCGCAAATGGGAAACAATTGCGAGGTGGTACTGCAGCAACGCACACACACACAGACACACTCTCACGCACACACATGCGGGATTACCTGTTATGTGCCAGCCCAAAAAGAGCATCCGAATCCTCAAGATGAAGAGCGCACCATACAGCGAGCGAGCAAGCAAGCAGGCAGGCAGGGAATCGATGCCAGCATCATTTTGTATAGCTGATCTTTGTCGTCATCTTTATCCATTTTGTTGTTGTTGTTGTTGGTGTGTACTTGTTTTTCAGATAACTACTCTTCCAGCCTGGTCGACGTTCAGTCTGTCCAGCCAGCACACGTCAAGTTGTTCTCGAAGGGAATCCATGAGACACGCGCTACATTTATTTACATGTATCTTCTATGTTATTTTGCATTTTTTTTTTTCGTTCTTTTTTGTATCTTAGATATTTACGTATTTTAGATCATACAATGAAGTATGTATCTTTCCGTTGAGGCGATCTCTAATGCAAAATGAAAATCTTCTGGCCCAGAGCCTTTGTCAACTATAATAATGTATATTGTACAGCCATGTAAATGTGCTCAAACATGTTACCTTTTAAAAATTGTATAAGTTTTCGATACTGGTATTGTAAGATTCAATTGTATTTGTATTATTGTAAAACTGTGACATGTACATATTAGTATGGCTTAAGAAACGGCAGGGACGAATCGTTCGTAGATGAACTCGACTGACGAGGATCCCCTGGTGATGTTCAGCCCGCCCGTAATGTGAGAGAGTGAAGGAGCGACTTGAATGAAACAACTTCATTTCTCTACGGGCCTGCCCATATCTTTGTCTATCGATCTTCAGGGGCTCTCGATGAGAGGGGAAGGGACGAGACAATCAACCGTTCAAATTTGGCTGGCAGAAATAGCTACAACTCTGGGCGTACTTTTAATTATAACCTGATCGACAATTCAACCATCCACCATCCCATGTGCTGAGATTGAATCTCTTCCGAGCTTGGTTGTTTTCCTAAGTCGAGTCAGATGTCGGCGCAGCGCTTTTAATCGACATTTTCTTGTTGACGAGCTGGAGCTGCAAGGGTCCTTTATAATCATCTTTTACGGCATTGACGATTTATCACAAAACAAACACATCTGCACGTACCTCTGGAGGTCTTCGTTAGGAACAAACCTTAAACTAGTTGGGAGCATTTTCATCTTTGTCACTACTGCATCCAGTCCGAGGCAAATAGGCAGAACTCAACCGATTTTCGAACTACAATTCTACTACTGCTACTACTAATATTGCGAAAACAAATCATCATTTTCATCGACACGACCGACCGCCTGCACAAATCACCCTTCTCTTCGTACGATGGCTAGCATATATACGCATAGGATACTTTTTGAATCTCTGGTTGGACAACTGCAGCCTCAACTTTAAGAAATCTTGCTTCGCATCGATAATACACACACATTTCCCTGCATTAGTGTTCGCTGGCAGCGATAGGAACTTTCATTATTTTATTCTGCTACTCCACTACTTTATTCTACTACTCGACCCCCACACTATATGGCTGAAGATGAGGCCGTTTATTTCTGACGTTTTCTGAGAGGACATCGTTTCGGGCAATTAGGATTTTTTTTGAGCATTGAGAATATACTTTCTGACATCTTGGAGCAACAACTGGTATACTTTACGACGGCAGCGCGGGACTCATAGAATTGACTGCGGCGTGGGATACCATCAGAACTGACGGCGGCGAGGGATTCGCAAATTTTCGATGTGGGACCTTTAGGGCTTCGGTTAGGCGAGGGCGCTAGGTACAACACTTCTATAGGATTAATGAGGCGACGGTGTATTGACTGCGGCGAGGGACTTTGCGGAGGACTTCGTGGGATTTGCAAACTGACGGCGGCGGGGGAGTTGCGAGCGGACTGCTGCGTGGGAGCTCCTGACTGCGGCGTGGGATCATTGACGGCGGCGTGGGAGTTGCGCGACTGCAGCGTGGGAACATTGACGGCGGCGTGGGATTATATTCCATTTTTAAAACATCGGGGTTTGCTTTTCTTTATGATCATCGTCGGTATTCCCCAAGAACTACAACGTAGCGAAAATCATACGTTCAAAGCTGATATACTTACATAATTAGCTATGCTCTACCTTTATACAACCGTCATCCATATAGAACCACCGACTTAGTGCTTAATTGAACATCAATAACCTGCACCCTTGACCTAATAACCCCATGAGTGGAGCCAATCATCATATCAACATATCAACATTTACTGTACTATATAAACGTTCCTGGAATACCGGAAAGCAATTTAACACGATGATCCAGATAATCTAATGTCATTTGAAATCGGATTATCTGCGCAATAAATTTGGTTTGAAAGAAGAAAAGTTTTTTGAATTTGAACTTTACTAATCCCGACGATCTGAACGCATAAAAATGGAAGACGAAGAAACTGGATTATCTGAAAAATAAATATTTGAAAAAAGAAAATAAATTTGATTGTTCTCATTTAAGACTTGGCTTTACTTTAACTTGGAAATATTCGGGCTCTACCAAAACTTGAAAAGTCTTGCGTATGGGTAAGTGCTATTGGTTGGAGCGCCTTTGGTATAGTTAAAATTTCCATGGGTAGTACCATTGGGGTAATAAGGCTGAGCGTTAAATCCATAGGTGCCATTAGGTTGGAATGGTGTACCGGAGCCGAAGAGGTTGTTACTGAATCCTATGTTTGGCTGTTGCACTGCTCCCTGGTATGGTGCGGCATATTGTGGACTGCTCTGCACGGGATGTATAACTCCACTCTGATTGAAGCCTCCGTTATAAGGTCTAGTATTATTATATCTTGGAGCACTCCATGGCTGGTAGTTAGCTGCCGGCTTGAAGTGCGTTGCATTCGCACGGCGCGAATGCGGATTGAATTTCAGTGAAAATGAAGTTGCCTCAAGGTTGAAACAGGCAAACAGCAGAGCTGTGGAGGAATCAAATTCAAGATGTTTAGCGGGAGCAGAAGCTGCATACAAACACTGATAATAATAAAGCTAACCTATGCTGAAAAGCAGCTGATAAGATTTTAACATCTTGATAAGGTATTTCGCAGGCTCCGCTACCGTGTGTGCTATACGCTTCGAGGTTTGAAATAAAACTGAAGACGGAAATTTGATGACAGGCTGTATGTTATCAGCCTTCCACGTCTCGTATACCCTGCATCCGAAAATGTTCTCAAAAATGGATTGCTATATAGAAAAGGCAGAGCAGGGCTCCCCGGCTTCAACAGGTGATTCTAGATGGAAAGTTTTTATTTTCAAATTTAAATAGCTTTTTCCGATTGCATCTGCGGCTTGAATGTAAAACAGTCTAATCGACGAAATTCATTTTCAATCATAAAAATTGTATTTATATAATAAAAATGATTAAAAAATTAAAATTTGTTAAATGTACTTTCAGTACAGGGTATCTTATAGTATATAATCTAAACACTTTAACCAACGGTTCTTTTCTTCATACTTATATTAATATTCAGAAAATATTTGCGCTTATCAGAATCACGATTGTTTACAAGTTTATACAGATATTTTTTCCTGAGAATTCTCGACTTATGTTAGCCATAAAATATGCTCTGTTCATATAGTAGAATGGGGTAGTTCAGGCTTGCAGTGTGCAGTCTTAGACACACAAGAAGAGATTATAAATTCCGTGGATGATATTGTAAAATTTGAAAATATAAACAGGGTATGGTGCAGTCGGTTAATGCCGATTAAAAGGTGCTTCAATGTTTACACAAGTTTTCACATTTCATAAGTTAAACAATCATTATCCAGCTATAAGATCTGGACGACAGACTTCAGCCGCGTTGCATGGGAAACAGGCCCTCGCAGCTACCACGACGCACAATCCGTATATCTATGAATAATGAGAACTGAGTCAGAAATGGAAAGGTTTTCGATTAATAATGCAGCTCTACGCACCGGCGCCACAGAAGCGAGCGCAGTCGAATTTCTGCTCATTGAGGTACAATTGCCTGTTGCTGGCACAGATCGGATTATATTCCGGCGTAGTTGGACAACGGCCAAAGCAATCGATGAATGCTTGAGTGGGCGCCGCAGCTGGTGTGCTGAATGGTGTCATCGTGCCCACAACTGGCGAATTGTTGACCAGCACAAAATCGCCAGTCGAACGCATTGTTGGCCTTGTGGGCATCAAGGGGGAACTTGTTGTTGCCGCGAATATCAGAAAATCTTGACCGGCCACCAAATCTCCAGTGATAAGAGCACAAATCGTTAACAGCAGATAATTAGCCATTTCCGCACAAGTAGCCATCAGCCGTCTGGGGTTGCATTTGAACTAAAACCCCAGCTAGTTAGCCTACGCTCAACTACTAAGGCTAAAACAACAGAAATGATTTCATAAAACTGGTTTTCGCAATCAATGAATTTACTAGAAAATCCAGTTCGAATGTTTATGCGATATCACGTTGCCACAGAAACCTTAAGTGGGATGTCCCAAAAAGCTTTAGAGTTAAACGCATTTTAAAGCCGCGATCTCAGGTTCAAGTTTATTAAAGCCATAAGATGTGGGAAATTTCCTATATCTTTACATGGGTAAAATAGAACTGATACAATTTCATAATCAATAAGTTCAAGAGAAGATCTCAAGATCACAAGTTCAAGCTTATTAAAGCCATAAGATGTGGGAAATTTCCTATATCTTTACATGGGTAAAACAGAACTGATACAATTTCATAATCAATAATTAGAATACATTATTCAGATATATTTAAGACCGTGACTTGATGTGGCTATATTGTCAACCTATAATTATGGCATTGTATGGAGCGGCAGTGATGCGAGGTCCAGGCATAGAGATTGTGGGCGATAAATACTGCATGGACTGTTCTAGTTTTTGGTAAGGAGCTGTCTTAAATCCAATGTAAGCTAAAAATAATGAGTCATATAAACAACAGGTAATAAAATTTCGAAGAGCTGAAAACTTACAATTTGAAGTTTGGGGCATCTTATTTACACCTTGCATTCCTGCTTCCTCGGATTGTAGAGTCGTGTTTAGAGCTCGCTGAAGACACTTGCTTAAATGGATGCCACGCCTAGGTCGTCCACAACGACAAATGTCAAGCAAATTCTTTTGCATTTCTGCTGAAATGAAGTGCGACTGAGCTTTGTTATCGGGTTCTATAAAAAGGAGAAATAAATGCATTAATAAATATATTTATAACAACATATACATTGGATTATAGCCCTACAGACCTGGTGTATGGAGCTTCTCCATCAGCTGATTTTCAAGTTCATCTTGATGATAAAACTTATTATTCGAACTGGATCCAATTCCATTCCAAACGCGTGAAAAATTGCTGCGCGCTTTATGCTCTATGCGTACCGCTTCCTTGCTATAAAGGAAAACATGTTTATTTCAGTTTAAGGTATGTCTGTTATAACATACACTCTTCCAACTAGTTTGGTGGGATCCATTTTCAGTGAATTTCTATTGAATATGAAAGCTGAACTGAACCCAATCGAAATGTGTCTATCAAGAATTTTACTATAGCAACGAAATTATAACTAAATACAGGTTTACTTAAGTAAAAATTTCCTAGTCGCGTGTTTCCCCATTAACAACCCTTGGTTTCCATGCAAACAAAAATGATTATGCTTTCCCAGAAATTTTTCACACAAAGTTTCCACTACTTATAGCTAGCAACGAGACGTCCACAAATTATATTCTATCATTTACACAATTTCCATAGAATATTTTAGTTAATTATTGAGTTTATTAAAGCTTCCTTATATGATATAAACATATGCATACATAGTTATGATATACACAATGTTTACGTTTACGTAATGCACAAAAGCTATACAATATTATTTTTCAACATACAACAAATTTTAAATTTAAGCTTTAAGTGCTTTTATTCTCTTCTTTTTCTGAGTTCTTGGCATGTTTTTGCCCGTAAATGTAAAAAAAATTGTTTCGATTATATAAATTCGAAAGCAAACAGAGATTTATATATGCGGCACCTTTGATAAATATACAGCTAATATTTAGATAGTTAAACTATAATTAAAATACAATAACTTTTATCTTCCATTTTTATAATTCATTTTGATTTGAATTTTCGGTAAATTTATCGAATGTTGTTTTGCAAATTGTTGAATGAACAATTTTAAAATAGCTTATACTTCCTTCAAAAATAAATATGCGTAGCGCATTAGCTAATTTTATAATTATAGATTGATGATCTTAAATATATACACATATAGCTGAATTAGGATGGCCAGATGCAATATAGGAGCGACAGAAGACACGACACATAGATAAGAGTCAAATACATTTACACTTTTACTTAAAAGCTAGACAACATTCACTTTACCCTAAGATAATATAATATAATTAGATATAATAACAGTGCCAATATGAATATTTAACGAGTCTGGCTTGAATAACAGGTGCTAATAGGTACAATCTTAATTCTCTTGCATTCTTACAATTGCTCTTTTTCTGTAAATGTTACAAATCCTAATGCAAATATATTTATATTCATATTTATATTTATATATACATATGAATACTCATTTATATATATAAATATATATGCATTAAATTGTGTACATATAAAATTAAAATATTGGTTTTAACAGTCCATAGGTTTGGTGTATCATATTGGCATTTTCCCTATCAATCCTATCGATTTTGTTACAGAACTTATTCTCACAATATGCCATTTGTATAGTACTGATATCCATCATACAGTTTCGTTGACAGACTTTTCAGTGAGTCCTGCACGAGCTGTTCAACCTTGCGTTCCATTTCCTGTTCAGTTAAATTCATATGAAAGCGTTTTCGGAGATTCTGCACTGTACCGGAGCAGCCATTCTTAAAGCATGGCAAATGCGCATCTACAAAAAGGTAGGAGTTCAAAAATAGTTTCTGTTAATCATATTTTACATACTGCTTCGCATGATTTCCACCAAGTTTATAATGCGATCCATGTGCTTGCGCACTGACATCATGCCGACGAGCAGCAAGCGATTGAACTCATGCCAATGCTCGGAGCCTGTGCCGCCCATGACATCTACAAATTCATGCGTGAGCTTAAAAGGGGATTGCTCGAAACCTAATCAAATAAGTTATGATTAAGTATTTACTTTATAATTATACATGATTTATTTACTTACCCAAGTTTTTGGGTGATATGCTTAGAATAAAACCGAAGTCTATGTGTATTATGTGACCGTCAGAATGTAAGAGTATATTACCATTATGTCTGCAAATCGAGAAAGGTCGATTGGTTCTACTTTAAGAAATCTAGATTACTCTTACCTGTCCTTAACCTGCAGCAGGTAAGATATCAGACAATACGCCGCACAGCTTTGAACAAAATTCTTTTGGGCCTGAAAAAAACTTTCGCCAGTTGCTGGCCCATATTCGCCAATAAAATAATCCCGCAGTGATTTGTTGGAGTTCTTTTTGATTTGATGCAGTGAAACCGTGTTCAAAATGGGCTCAATCAAACCACTGTCATTCGAGAGGCATATAATTTTATATGGTCGCACCCATAGATCCACATTTTCCTCCAGCCAAATAATTTTGAACATCTATCAATGGAATAATGAAATATTAACTAGAAGCTAATGGATATTAGCCAGAAGCTAATGGTTTGAAAATTACCTGTAAGAGCTGAGTGGCCATCAGTTCCTGGCGCAAGTCATCGCCACACTTGACGATGGCGGACAGAAGACGCCAATTTGATAAATGACCGTAGGGCGATGACTCGCGTATGAGCTTCTCCTTCTCGTGCCAGGGCTCCTAGGGATAAATACAGATTACAACTGCTTTAAGTGTTTAGAACTTGAACTCACCTTCAGAGCTGCCGCCGATGGATCTTCGGGATCATTGCTAAAAGGCTTTGTGTTCTCACAACTCAAATTGTTACAGTGTCGAGTGCGGACGTCGCCAATGTTAAAGACAACTGGCGGACCTATAAATTAAGTTATTTATTTTCTCGCTTAGACTTTCAATTGTATAAGTCACCTTGGTCTCTGGAATCGCACGAATCTAATGACATCTGCGAAATGGAGTCCCGTTCGCTGATTTTGCGCATGTTCAAGTACTGCGCCGTGATGTCATCATCTTCCTGCGACCAGGCATCATCTGCATTCAGCTGCAGTCCGCCCAGCGACAGCTGATTGCTTTGGTTACCGCTACAGCAACAACTGTGTGCGGCCGGCTCACCACAGCCGCTGTCTGTGTGTGAAGACGTGGACTCGGTGCCCTTTTTGCGTCGACAACTCGATCCTTGATGATTATCGCTACTGTTAAAGGTGCGGCTGCAGTTGTGTTGGGTGTTTAGACAAGCTCCTTCCAAGTGCTCCTCACTCTTGGTGTGTCGCAGCGACGGCATCATCTTTGGAATGAGCGGCGAGGTGTAAATGTCGGCGACTTCAACCACCTCTACGTATATGATGTACGGAGTCTTATCCTTTGAATTTAATACAGCAGTCTTTTCCTCTGTAATGCGCACCACGTGATGCGGAATATCCGAGTAGAGCGGCAGCCAGACACGAGCTGGCAAATTCTTGTTAATCAAATTGAGAAACATACGCAGCGCCGATGTTTTCTCTGCCTTAGAGGCCAAGGACGTTAAGTTCTTGCCCGCATTTATCAGCGCCTTCATAAACTCCTTTTGCGGCGAGGTCTTTGGTGCGCCGCAATTGCAAAAGGTGCGATGGCCCAGCAAGCCATTAACTTGACCACGCACAGTTTGAAAGCACGTGCAGCCATTGTCGAAGGCACGACCCGAGCTCAGATCGCCCAAGCATAGCTTAGCGGGCGCTGTGGATACCCGATGCGCCATGCTGAACGCATGAGGACTGCTGGAATCGGCCAAGAGCACTGTGGCATCTGACTGGGAGCGATAGTGTGTTTTCTTGACCAGAGCAACAGCTGGATTTTGATTCGATTTCATCTGCGGCTTGCTTTCCTTCTTGGAGAATATTTCCTTCATGAGCGACAACTTGGATTTGCGACCTTTACTGCAGCTGCCCAGCAAATCCACCTGATGATTGTATGCCTCCAGAAGCCACAGGCACTTGAGCAAGAAGTCAACAGACTTGCGGCATCGAATGGTCAGATAGGGATCAAGCACTTCAGCCAGTTCATCCATTTCAATATACATTACGATCAGCTGCGGTATATAAAGATCCACCTCCTGGTCAGAGAAGCTAAAGATCTTGTTGCCAATGAAGCTCAAAACACCTGGCTCCTTTGAGTAGAACAAATAGTGCACAGCGAAGTGAATATTGAAAACGGGCGATTCAAAAAACCGCAACAGGCCGCTGGGACCTCGTTCGTAACTTTGCTGCGGTGCATCAGTGACGGATGGATGCTCTTGAATATATTTCACTACACCAGGCACTGGAATCTTCACTTGTTGCAGCGAGCTGTTAGAGGTGCTCGTCGGCAGCCTCTCACTAGTCTCTGCTTCTAGTTCAGCGTCTGTAAGCGCAGGTTTCTTGCTCTGTCCATCCGTGGATGAAGTAACCTTTATGATCACAGTTTTGGCAATCTCTGTTGCGCTTACGATTGGGGCAGTGTTTACAGCGGCTGAAGCTGCTTTTTTGCTTGAACTCGAGCTTCTTAAGCTAAAAAACTCTTTTCTTTTGGAGGCTTCTGTGGGCGACTTGACCAGATCCGGCGACATTTGAACTCCACTATTTGATGACGTGTTGATCGTAGGTGAGGGCAATTCCAATGGCTCGTTCGTTTTCTGCTTGATTGCATGCTTCTTTTCGTGGTTGTCAATGATGCTTTGGGCCGTGCGAAAAATTGCATTCTTAGTGGCACCGAAAAAACTCTTAAACAACACTTGATCGTTTTTGGTGTTCTCGGAAGGCGTGTTTGCTGCAACCGCCTTTGATGACGTTATATCTGGTGGTGTATTGTTGGACAGAGTCTCTGATGTGGGCAACGGGGGCATGTCATCCTCATCGTTCGTGTCAAGAACCGGCTCTATTTCATTGGGTGCTGAGCCAAGCTCCAAGTTTATGGCAGCCTGAGACATGTTCATTACACGATAGCGCGTTCGATCATCTGATTTGATCGGCTGTGAATCCTGCTTCGGCTTACGCGTGGGTCGCAGTGTCCGGCAATCGTATTCGTCAGTTTTTGGAGAGGACAAGAAGCAAAGATTTGAATCTATTCCCTTATAATCAGCATCGATGGTCGTTGTTGTTTGTTCTTCTCCGGCATCGGCATTCACATTGACATCCATGGCGCCCAGATCGAGTGACTCATGAGAGTGGCCTATGCGATTTAGCGATAGTTGGTCCGACTCTGAGCCACATAAAATACCTGACGAAGGGTGAGAGTAGAGGGTGTGTTTTAGTTAATATGCTTACATATTGTCCATTAAACAATATAAGGATACAGCTTCATATGTGACAAAGTTGTCCCCGAAATAAATTTAAAATTGTTTCGAGAACTTTTTGACATTTCCTTACCAGAATCATCCGATCCAAGACTCGTCAGATCCTCACGCTTTTTGTTGTTGCCATAGATCGTGTCCTGTGGCCCTGCTATTGAGTTTTTCGATTGAGCTGCGCAGGAATCCTCTAAAAGGTGACATAACTTGATTACAGATCCAATTGAGATCAACTAATAACAATCACTTACCTAGAATTTCCGTGGCTCTCTGTGAATGTACTGAGACTGCAGATGAGGTCGAATCTATCTCTATCCGGGCAGTGCCAACTCCTCCAATCACCTGAGTTGCATTTGGCGGGGATGGGGCAATTGCGGCTGCATCATTAGCATCAGTGGCTTCCATTTTTGAGCAGATTTTGCTATTGAATTTTGTTGAAACTGAACTAAATGCTGTTTCACTCTCGGCATTGGGAGATGAGCTCTCGACCTGTAATTATTAAAATGTTTAATAAACATTAGCTTGTCAGCAAAAGCTTCTTTTCTCATTTGCTTTTTGTTTTTTTTTTTTTCGGCAGATCCCACAGTTAAGTTAACCTGTCCTCTCGCTCTCTCTGTAAATTGCATTCGCATTCAAAGCTTAAAGCTGCAATAACGGAGCATCGAGCTTTGCCTCTCTCAGACTTTACTTCTCTGTCTTTTCAATGGTGCGACCAGCACAACTGGCTTTAGTGTTGTTGTTGATAACCAGAAATGTACACAAATAGCAAAATATGCAAAATGTGAATAATGCGAAGAGCGATAAAAGCAAGCAGAAAACTTTGATTTCGGCATGGTGAATGGACATGTACCCTTTGAAGGTAAAGGGCATATATATTTGTTTATATATATATACAATATGATTAAGTAGTTAATAACTAAATTAAATTAAAAGGATTGCAAAGGTTTAGATTCTTTCATAAAAATTTTAAAAATCAAAAAGAAAAAAATTGTACAGATGTAGTGAAACTGAAACAGGTAGATACTAAAATCAAAACTATGTGAGGCAAATTTAAGCACAACCTCAACTATTCAGTCTTAACATATGTTGCACACTTATATATTCAAAAAAAAAAAAAACTCACCTCGGGTATGCGTTGCAAGAAGCTGTCGAGACTGCGATTGCGATGATGTTGTGTGTGATTGATACGTGTGCTGCTCACCGTAGAAGAAGCTGGCGACTGCAATATGCCCATTGATCTAGAAATTAGTGAAATATGTTAAAATAAGCTCAAATTACTTAAGGAAAAAATCAATACATTTTCGTCATAAGCAAAAGAGGGCAATGCATAAGAACTAAAAAGAATAACAAACATGAAATACCAATAACAGATATTTGTTCGCTTTCCTTTGCGGGTAAATAAACAAAAATACCTATCGAAGGTTATCAATATTTGGAACGCAAATCACAAAGAGAACGTGGACTTGTGAGGGCAACAAGTGCACGAATAAATAGATACGCCATAAACAGCAATTCTTCTGATAAACAATTGCTGTTGACACAGAACTTTCCTTCTGTTAATCTAACATGTCATGTTAACTACTTTCAAAAATAGTAGTTGTTAATATAAAACTGTTAACATAAAAAGTATTTCAAGCCATTTTTTAGTACTCGCTTAAGCAATCCAACTTACCTTGAATCTAAGCTAAAATTTCTTTGATGTTTCGGCAATCGTTTTGGAGATCTATTAGTTGTTTGGTTTCCGGCTAGCTCAACGGAGGATATGGCTAAATTCTGTTGCGAACGACCATGTACAGATGGCATGGATTGATGGAAACCATAGTTAAGGCGCGACCTTGATGATCCTGAGTTCTTTGGTGCGCTTGCCAGTGAGCCAATGATTGGCCTTGAAGCTGCGTTGGGAGGCAATGTATTAGGCGACACAAGCGACAGTTGGGAATCATGATTTTCATTTGACGTAAGTTCCATGACTGAATCCTTCAACATAAATTCTGTTGATTTATGTTCATTTGAATTGCTTTTACTGCTAGAAGCTATCGTCGACTTAATCGAATTATCACCGTTTACCATCCCCAGCATTGACGAGTGTGGCAATGCATTGATGTTTCTGTTCATATTCATGCCTTCAACTTGTCATTCGCAGCAGGTAAAAATCAACTCGTGTGCAATCTTGATTTACTGTAGTTAAAGCAGGTATTGATAGCCATTGTCCTAAGCTACCTGCTTCCTGTGTGGCTTGCTTTGGTCAAAGTGTCTATACCAAGCGTTCGCAGAGTGAAGTTGAGGTTGGGAAAGGCGAGTTGCTTTTCTTGATTTATGAATTAAAAGGAAGTTGTAGCAGCTTAAATAAATTTAGATGGCTCACTGGAGCAGGTTGCTCCATTGTTAGCTGCTGCTTTCGCTTCTAGAGATTTAGGTGCGTTAAATAAGGGGCTTCCCTGTAAAGAAGACAGAAATGTATGTTCACAAGACAAAAAAACAAGAGTGTTTTATTAAATCTTACTTTACGTGAATCAGTTTCATTTGACTTTCGACCCCGCACTCATTTTCGTTTCGTTTACCTTATGCGTGTTTCTATTGAATTTCCATACTAATATATCCGCAACATTTTAGATTCTAAGATTAAATTAAACAGCCGACCATATATTGTGTCTTTAAATTAATATATAATTATATATATTAATATAACCGAATTTAGAGTCAATCAAACAAAAACAATGCAAATTGCATACAACAGTTTGTTAGTTTTATTTAATATCAAGTGATGGGAACAAAGTTCTGGTATTAGTTATGCTCAATGATATCGATAAGCTAATTTATCGGGAGCTAATATGCGATATGCTCTGAATAAAGTGTTATCTCTAATAACGGAATTTAATTTTCAAGTACTTGATGGATCTTAAAATATCTTTCGTTTAAACAACTTGTATATACAAAGTATGCAAGGCATTGAAAATCTCTTCGAAATACTATATGTAATGTGGTATAATGATTTCGTTTAGAAGCTTATTGTAGCTGTCAGAGACTTCTTAAGCTAACATATTTTAAATATAACGATATTTTTATTTTTCCATCACTAAAGTGCCTATAAACAGCTCCTACAGTCCGGTGCCTGCAGAACATGAAGGTGTGGCTGAGCTGCGCAGACCAAAAAACAAACAGTTCAATTCAAGCAGTTGAGCAATATGACAAAGTTAAACATATTCTTTTGTAAGTGTATTGGAAATAAAATATATACACGATTATTTAAACATATTTGAAATAGTATTCAATTTTTTAAATCATATTCGCAATTGTTATATATGAATAAATAACAATTCAATTAAATACATTTGTAGCTTATATATAAGTATATTTGTAGCTATTATTATAAGTAATTAAATTTAAAATCGTTTTTTATCGAGTGCTCGAGTGCTAGTATTTTTTAAGTGTTTGCTTAATTCGTCCATTTTAAACCTGGGCACACTGGTTAAATTTCATATAAACATAAAAATAAAATATGCTTCCTGGCGTTGGCGTATTCGGAACAGGTGAAATCGCCAATGTCCTGGTGCCACTACTGCGAGAGAAAGGTTTCGAAGTTAAAGCGATATGGGGACGCACACTAAGAGAGGCCAAAGAAACGGCCAACGCACAGAATGTTACATTCTACACAAACGTCATAGACGAGGTGCTCCTGCGCAAAGATGTCGATTTGGTGTTTATAGTGTGCCAGCCGTTTCTGCATGCCGAGATCTCTGTGAAGGCACTAGGAATTGGAAAGCATGTAGTGTGTGATAAACCAGCTGGCCTTCATCAGACAGACTCTATGAAAATGGTGCGTGCAGCACAGTATTACCCGACACTTATATCTCTGGTGAATCATCCATTGCGATTTCTGCCTGCCTTTACGCAAATGCGACGTTGTCTACAGGATGGACTTATCGGATCGCTGGGAGAGGTGGTTCTAATGGATGTGCGTGTGCAAATGGGCACACTATTCCCTGAAAAGTACAACTGGATGTGTGATGCTCAGATGGGCGGTGGCGCCCTGAATCTGGTGGGCAGCGTTGTGGATCTTGTTCACTTTCTGTTGCAACAGCAGGCAATTCGTGTCCACGGTGTGCTGAGAGCTTACACCAAAACGACGCCTTCCATCAATGGCATACGCCAAATAACTGCACCAGACTTTTGCAATTTTCAAATGGAGCTTTCGAGTGGCACGCTCGTCACGGTAGCCCTGCATAGCCACACTGTGCCGACAAAAAGTTTTTCTCAAGAGGTGCTCGTCTATGGCAGCAAGGGGCATCTTGTGGTACGAGGCGGTGATCTTTTTATACTTAAGGAGTCCCAGCAAAAGGAAGAAGCTGTCTACGTGGATGTTCAGGATTTGCATGTTTCCACTAACAACTCTTTGCTGCCACGGCCATACATCAAAGGACTGTGCAAAATGGTGGGCGCCCTCAAGGAAGCCTTCAATAGCAAAGAATCCAGCTGGATAAAAGCGCCTGTCTCCACTGCGGCTACCTTCGAAGATGGCCTTTACGTACAAGCCGTAGTCGAAGCTATACGAAAATCGAATGAAACACGTCAATGGCAACGCGTCCAATTGACCACAGATGTGCCCCTAAACCATGACCAGATTATAAGATATGGATATGCGCGAATGTCCACCATGTGAATAGTGTATTTGTATGTGTGCACTTCCGCTGTACTCCCCAAAACGCCTTTCCACCATTAACGTATTTAACTTATTGTTTACAGCATTTACATTTTGCATTAATAAAAATACGCCGTAGCTTATTAAGACTACTTAAGAGGAAAATGATTTGAATGATGTGGGTATATGTCTCACAGTTTGTAGATGTATTTGGGTATTGCTCTTTGAACTTTTTCAATCAAAGATACGATGTGGGATTATCACATTGGGCACTACGAAAGCAGAAATTATCAAGCCATTGCTAAAAAGTATTAATATTTTTTTTAAGTTAAATAATAATTTTACATATACGGACAAGCTGAACTTTCTGTGGGCTAACTATTCGGAAAAGCTTGAGTCTTTTATATTTGATAATATTTTCTTAAATTGTTATTAGGCTGCAGTCGTTAGATTCCTATTAACTAATCTCTTAAACGAGATCTATACATTTAGATTGTTTTGATATAACAACGTAATGTACTAGGAGTTGCTTCCTTCATTTCACTTATATACTCTATATGCATGTCTGCTTAAACAAGTAAAACCTTTCTTACGAAATAATAAGATATGTATGTGATTGTTTTTATTTGATATGTGACATTGAAAATTGTATAAACGGCAAGATTGTATATCATATTAACATTAACTGGAAATATTTCTTTATCGTAGATAGTTGAATTATATCGAATTTATAATTTGTAATTTGTTCGTTTCATGTTTTTGGTATATCAGCACTTATGAAATAGATTTATAAAATTAATTGCTATGCTGGAAATATGCAAAATCCACTACCCTAAAGCCTGTTGAGTACATGTAAGCCAAATGACATAAATAATTAAAATAATAATAATATTGTCTTTGATTCAACACAGAAAAAAACATAAGTGAATATTGTTTCTTTTTTCTTAATGTAAATAAATAGTTAAGTTATACACATAATCATGTTTAGATTAAAATATTTTTTTAGCAAAACGAACAAATTAAAATCAATAAAAATATATATAAAAAATAAACACAAACAATAGACACCAGCTATGTAAACATATAAAATATAAAACTAATTTACGACTCTAACTTAGTTGGTAAGGAATTTCCTATCGTTTGTTTAGCTTGCGCCACAGGGTGATTATGGTTAACAGATGCATTACACCAATTACAATGCCCATTAGCATAATGCAATCGGACATGTGCACATCGGAGATCATCATGTACTTGAGAAACACTTTGGGACTACGAAAATGACAATACATAACATTCTCTGGACAGTCGAGAAACGGACGATCCATGCCATAAATCGCATTCAAAGCGCCATGAAAACCCGCACGGAAATAACTTAAATGCCACATCCAACGAAATATGGGCGTTATGTCTATGTAACGCGTACAGAAACCAAAAACAGAGAACAGCACCGCTAATATGGGACCCAAGAAGACGGCAAGCTGCAATTACAAATTTCATTTTAATTGAAAATTTACCAAAATTAAAAGGTATTCCATATCATTTACCTTGGTTGGCAGCGTGGCACCCACAAAGAAACCCCAAGCCTGTGCGCTCAGGCTCGCCAAGATGGCCAGCAACATGAAGTAGTAAATCCGGAAAGAGTCCACGCTATCATTATCCGTTAGCCGTACGCTGATTATAATGTACAAAGCGGTGCAGAGACTCTAGAAGATGGAGTATTTAGAAAAATTGGAATTAAATTATAGAAAGTGAATGATAGAAAATTAAATTAAGTTGGAGCACTTTAAAAGAAAGTTCAAAACAGGCTAAAGCTCTAGGGCCTGCTCTATACTTATCCCTTAGTTTGGGATCTCTAGAAAATCAATTCAAAGGTGGCTTTCTAAAAGGGCTTTGTGTAACTGCAATCTAAAGGCTGCTTAATTCTTGTATCCGTTTTTAAAGGAACTTTTAATAATTTAAGTTGAAATATAAAAATTGAAAGAGTTTTTCTTAAATTTCAGAGGCAGAGCTGAGTGCAGCTAGATTAGTTTGGCTTTAGATTTGATGTTTAGAAGTACATAAAACTGTACAAGCAAAGCTACATTATATATCAGTTTATAGGTCTACTTATACAGCCTTAGCTCTGACGAAAAACTTACTTGAAAGGGCACTTCAAAGGAGACCAGCGACAGAAAGTAGGGTCCCAGCTTGTACCAGCGATTAAAGTGTTCCCTGGTCAGCATATCGATCTCCAGTGGAACTGCAAACAGAAAAAATAATAATTTTGGATTATTTTTAAATTCCACCTTTGCTTTTCAGCTTCAAAAACGTGAATTTCTCTGACACCACATTGAATCTTCAGACGTCAAAGTGCCTACATGCAAGTGGGTCGGGTCACTGCACCGAAATTAATAAAAATAAAAAAAAATTATCCAGTTTTGTAAAAGCAAACTGAGTACATTTTACTTGAAAATAAATTAAGTGGGGAAAAACGTAAATATAAATAAATATATACATAATTTATAGGGACAATCTACCTACAAACAAAATAAATCATAAATATTCTGCTAACCAGGATATTAAAATATATTTATGTGGATTATTTATGTGAATTATTTTTAAAATATCCGAACGAGAAAGCTGATCGCAATCTATATAATACGCAAGTAATTTAAGTACTTTTACTCTCATGACAATATATATATCTTAAAGTTGATATAATTATCTATAATCTTGAAACTTTGCATAGTTCCATCCTTTAACTCAGTATTTGTTTTATTTCTTATCATACACTATCCCACTTTATAAGCTTTCAAGGCTTAAATCTCTAAGATACTTTTCAGCTATATACATGTAGATAGATTTATGTGTATAGATTTGTAACTACTTACAGGTCAATACCACTGCCATTTTACCGGTGTAGACCAAAAGCAGCGTGGAGCCATATAGGTAAACGTAGTTGCCCAGCACTGAGCTGGCGCTGTTGCCGACGTTCAGGTAAAGGTAGCCGAATATGACGCCAATGAAGATATGCGAAAAGATTCGGGCCAGCAAGAGAAACTGCAAATAAATGTAAGCAAGCACTTGAGCATATGGTAGCTATATCTCATATATATATATATGCGTATATGACTATTTATTTAACACGCTGCAAGAGCTGCAGCTAAACATTTGCTGCCATTGGCACCGCGCACGGTTACATTAACTATGTGAAGGTCAGCATCGCTTTTCAGTTTTCTGTTCTCTATTTTTTTTATCAAGATATGGCAACAGTTGAGTGACCAGCGGCACACCCAACAGAGATATATAAATATATATATATATATATATATTTGTATACATGCTTAAGTATGTGAGCAGAAATCAATTGCCAAATCAACTTAAGCTAAAACTTGTAATTGTGGTATGGAAACGATTTATATTTAATTCTAAAATATAAATATCTAAAATTAATCACAAATTTTTTCTAATATACCAAATTTTGAGGGTTTTATTTTTTTTTTCATCTTTAGAGTGCAGACAGTCTCTAGAATTTTATAATTTAATTCTAATAAATTAAAAACCAAATGAAAGTTAAACAATTCGACTATATTAGGTATAAGACTTTTGGTATGCTGAATTCAAGTCTAGGTACTGCCCTTTACACTTCATCTGTTAAGATAAAACTGGAGAGAGACTCACATAAGTGATAGGCGCTTGGGATGAGAGCATAAAAGACGAATGTTAAGGAATATTCAAAATATTTTTAACTTTTTTAACGTAATTATACTTGAATAATACACGTAAAGAGGTTTTCCAAAACGTGTCAGGTAAGACTAGGAGTAAAAGTTGATAGAAGAGGACACATCTGGATTCGTATTGCAGCATATTTCGACTCTTTGCTTGGCTGCTACATTCCATCAAGTTTCGTTGATTATTTGTTATTATTCTTAAAGTTGATGTATAAAAAGTACATACAACATTCTAATATATTTACTCTGTTCTATAAACTAAACCTTTTTTTATCGAAATACGACATTTTCAGCCCACAGTGCGCATAGATTTTCGTTGGCTGCCTGGCAAAGAAGGCGTTGTTCACACTTTATCGAATGGGTGTATAAAAAAATTGCAAAATTATGAAACTGCTGTGCATAGCGAGTGCATAAACGCGTACTTAGCTTAATTGATAAAGCAACGTAAATTGCAGTGAATTACCAAAACTACATGACATTATATCGTAGTCAAAGTCAAAGCGGAGCTGCCCTAAACAGCACAGTCGACCTTGTTGACGTTATTAACAAGCATTAATTTATGCTTTTTATACCGTGTTTTGTTTTTGGTTTTTTACTTACATAATTGCGTCTGGCACAGATGAGAATGCGCTGCATGAGCAGCAAATATTGCATGAGGAACGACGCGGAGATAATTTCATGATTGTGCTTCGATGTCAACGGCATCTGGTTGGCGAGCTCCATGTGGGCTGTTGCCTTGGCAAGCGGCTGCTCGAGTGGCTCTGCTGGTGCGGTAAGTGCCTTGATCTCCTCCAGATCCAGCTCTTGCTGTGCCGGTTGCACATAGCTGTACCGTGTGAATTGTACCGAATCAATTGTAGATAGTTCTTGACCCGAACTACTCAGTTTCTTGCTACCCAATGTATCTGCAACGAATATAGTTGACATTTGCTTATGAGTGATGTATACGACTTGAAGATACCGCGTCTGTGTAATTACAATTGCTGAAGAAGGGTCAATCAATATAGAAAACTGAACATGAGCTAGGCAAACTGACTTCTCTTAAGGTTACTTGACGGAACTTAAAAACATATAGACAAACGGGCATTTGTTGCAGTTGAGTGAATTGAAAGAACTAAAAACTTTTTCTTGCCATATAAAATATAATATATATATACCTGTTATAGCTGTTTGTGCTGCATTAATATTCTTGGTGTATGTCTCTTGATGGGCATCGACATAATACTTTTTATTCGCTGCCTCTATCAGATCGTTAAGATCGCATTGATGTTCTCCAACGGCTACTTCCAGCACTGTTTGAAAGCAAAGATATAGTAATCTGATAAAGTCTAGAGCCTGTGCACTTACAATAGTCGGCTGGATTATGATAACTGGGACACACGAGCTGCTGGTCGGCAAGAAATGGCACCAATGCTGGAATCGTGCCCTGGTACATACAGTGGCCATCCACAACCGTGTACAGCTTATCGAACATTTCGAATATCAAGGCACTGGGCTGATGGATCGTGCACACAATTGTATGTCCCTGGGAGGCAAGTTTCTTTAGCAGCGATACACAAGAGCTGCAGGACGAGCTGTCCAAGCCACTGAAAGGAAATTTAGAATTTGATTAAAGAAACTCTTGCAATTAAATTCTGAATTTGCGCTTAAACGGGTCCAAATGCGCTTAGCTATAGCTTCTGATCAAGGATATGCTTTATGCATATCACATCCTACTACATCATATTAAGGCAGAGGAAAAATGTCATCTGGGAAGCTTACAGATCAATTTTTGTTTATAAAATAATTTTTATTTGTTATATTTATATTTATATTAAACATTTTTTATTATTTTTAAAGTTTTCTATACGAATTTCTGTTCCGTTAAAACATAAATTTCTAATACTCAGGCAGTTTTTATTTCATTATAGCCTAAGAGATTATATATTTTATTTAAGTTAAGATCGGGTCTCTTCCGATTATTCCTTACTATTAACACACACTGAAAGAAAACTAATAAATCTATATGCCTTAGATATATAAGTTGAATTCTTTTTTTCTACACTTAAAATCATATTTTCATATAATCGTCGCAAATGATTGTTCATTAGGGGGTCATTAGACTCAGTTGCTCAGTTGCTCAGTTGCCAATCATTATACGTAATGCCCGGTAATACCACTAACTATAAGCAACTTAATTGTTATTGTTATTGTCTATGATAATTATAGAATTTAGTTAGCAACTGTCATTCAACGACTTAAGATCTTTAATGCTCCGTGGAGAAGCATATTCGGCAATCTCTATGTGAAGGAAGTTTGAATACTCTTTCAATACGTAAAGGGAAGGTATTTCCTAAGAATCAATATATGGTAATAGTAGAAAATAGATCTTGATTATCATAATGCGACGAAATGTTCCATCTTCAGTATAAATTACGCCTTTCACATATTAATGAACTTAAGATACGTGTAGGAAAAGCTAAGTCGATTCAGTTAGCTCATCAGACATTATTATTCATCAATTATTCATTAGTTCTCCTTTGTATATACTCACGTTGTCGGCTCATCCAGATATAGCACCGGCGGATTGCTTATCAATTCCAGGGCAATTGCAAGTCTTTTCTTCTGTCCACCAGAAAGTTTTCCCGTGTGGACATTGTAACGATGCTCCAGACCCAACAGCGATAAGATGTGCTTTATCTAAGGGACATAGACAGAGGCAAGTAAAGTACAAATGAAGAGGAAAAGGAATTTCTTAATATGCAGAAAATCTATGAGTATATTGATTCTTGATCAGCAGCAAGAGCTGCCTGTCTGACTGTCTGTCCGTATAAACGCAAAGTGTAAGAACTAGATTCTTCCACAACAGCTCCGCTGGCACATATACACATTTTTAGGCAGTTTGGGTATCTGCTAGTCGGTCACTCCTGCCGTGAGCACTCTGACTTGTTTGTCTCAGTCAGATACTTGATCGTATTATGTTGCATTGTGACTTTATCACGCGTAACTTACCGTATTAAGCTTATGTTCCTTTGACACCTTAAAGCCAAGTTTCAAGTGCGCCGCCATTAGCATTATCTCGCCGACCAATAGTTGGGGGCGCAGCAGATCATCCTGATGGATGTAGCACGAGAGGCGGCGGAATTTCTCAGATACTGTGCTCATCGGCTTGTCATTGACGCGTATGTTGCCCGTGACCCCAGTAGCGCTTGGGAGTAAAGAAAAGGAAACAAGTCAAAAATCTGATGTCCGATCTCACTTTAGCGATGTACAACAATAATTAACTCATATATGTGCTCCAATCACAATCACAATCCACTGTCGCGCTGCCGTTTCAAGTTCATAGTTTAATGACCGATAAGCAACAATGGTAAACTGAATAAGTAATAATAATTACAGAAGCTGAAAGAAGCTTAACCCCCTCTGCCCTTCACACACGCTTCCAGCTACATACTCTTGTTTTTCCACTCATATTTCATAACACTCGGGCTTATAGTATGTATATGCATATGTAGGCACAATTTGGACTTCTATTTGGCTTCTTTTCTTTCACTCGATTTAAACTTTTAGCATAAATCAAATAGTGCATATATATTTAAGCTTTAGATACATTCATTTTCTTTATTAATACTCATACTAAGGCTTAATTGCGAAATATTAGTTTCAAATTTTTAAATTCTACAGGTTTAAAGATTAATATTCATCTCTCCTACAACTGAACAGTAAATAAAATATCTATGACTGCATTTATCACAGTCTTAGAGCTCGCTAGCAATACAAGAGTTTTACGTGTGGTTCGCTGTCGAAATTATTATATAAATTATATCTGCCATATAATAAGGCAAGCCAAACTTTGACATAGTAGATTTAACAGTCTTTGAATCATGAACGAGCCTTATTCAATCAGCTAGTATTTGTTACGGCTTGCAAAAGTCATAACTAGTTGAAGGTTATTATTTATTATTATTAAAATTATCAAAATTTATTATTAAAATATCAAAATATCATACAATAATATATAAGAAAAAAATTAAAAATAAATATATTTAATGTAGAATATATAATAAAAAAATAAAATAAATAAACAAACAATATATTTTTATCTAATAATATAATTTATTATATCTCTTATTATTTACTCTCCTTTGTATATATACCTATCTCTATATATATTAAAAAACTATTTATATACTAAAAAAGTCTGAGCTCTCTTATAGTAAATTAGATTAACATATAATTCATATGATATATAAAATATATTCAGCTAATCTTTAATCCGATTTCCTGCTTTATCCATATCCTACACAGTCTTAAACCTAAGTAAAAGTTGATATCAATATCATTAGCAGATTGTTTTAATTAGCAATAAATGCATCACAGCTACGCTTCCATTGATTCTACGTTCTAAATTGTCAGATACAGCAAAGACTGGCTAATGCGAAGCGAGTGCTGATGCGCATAACTAAATACTTCAGATAAAAGCATTAAAAACTAAAATGAAATAAATAAAATTTATATTAAAATTTCACTCTTCAGCAATTGTAGCACTTTATGAAAGTGTTCGGACTAGCGAGGGCGTACTGTATATTAACAGTGACAACTCAAACAAGGAACTGACAGCTAGATTAACAAGATCGGACAATAACAATCAAGTGAAACTACTATATGTAGACTTGTACGTATATATATATATATATATATTAGGCATTACATCAACAGCAAATACATTGCAAAAGAGTCCCATAATAGAAATACTATATAGCAATTGATGAAACTGACGATTGCTGGACTTCGTCTCAGTCTCAGTTGCTCATCGATCGACGCATGCGAGTGAAATGCGTTCGTTGATAGTGTTTTCCTTCTCAGCTGACAGTTCCGACATCGATTAGAATTGTGACCCTTAATGCGTTTGACTCAAGCTCTCGCCTTTTCCAGTCCACTGCCGACGCACATACTTTGTATATAGTATATGTACTTCCATGGCAGCCCATGACTCAGATGTTTCATTTATAATCACTTTCAATGCGACTTATGTAAGAGTTTATGTATTATGAGCCTCTCGTGTATCAAGCGCGCATGCATAACATAGATTACCTATCTCAAGATCTTCGCACGTTACACGTTGCATTCTACTTAGTACAAGTTGAAGGTTAGACCTCAGAGCTGAGACTCGCAGTAATCAAAATAAACTAAATGTAGTACGAACTGAGCTCGCTAAACTAGACAAACTTTGGATTGTGAAACTCTAACTAAATTGAAAGTGGAATCAAAGAGTGCAAGCTAGTTAAGTTAAAACTGAAAGTTAATGATCTTCTTGATACGTTTATGTGAATACAAATCGTGGCAAAGAGCTAATGATCAGCTAATGATTTGGCAAAAAATGTTCTGCTTTTTAAGCGCGAAAAGTCGGTTGTGCCCGACTACGTTTATAATTTCATGAAACTAAAAATAATTCCATTACAAGCGAAGCCTAAATCATACAATTTTGTTAGCTTTCGAGTATACAGACTGAATATTGAAACAGTATATATATATATGATATTTTTATGTAAAAAAAAAATGAAGTGTTTAATCCTTGGTATAATTTACATAAGAAACAAATTAAACTTAATTATTTGAAATCAATTTTCAAGCATTTGTCAGTAGCTCAAGAGTTTGTCAAGATTTTTAAGCACAATAAAATAATTTTGAGTTTTCTCAATCTAATTCCAAAATGTTGCAATTTAAAGCTCGTTAAACTTACCAAAATCCGGACATAACATTAAGCAGTGTGCTCTTTCCGGCTCCAGATGGACCCATTATGGCCGTCAGCTCGCCAGATCGAAAATTGCCCTGCAGACCGTGCAGGATCTCCTTGGTAACTGCGAAATCACCAATTCATAGACTCAGTTGTACAGTCGTCCTGTTTCAGATCCTGCAAACTTACCAAATTTGCGCTCTGGAAAAGAAAACTTGCGCACGGTGTACCGAATATTGGAGAACTCAATGTCCACTGGTTCGCATTGGGCAAAATGATTGTGTGGATCGTAGAGATTGTTGTTAACTTTGACGGCAGTCGAAGCTGAAGACGACTCATCAATCGAAGTCGCCGATCCTGCTGCCAGTGTGCAACAGTTGATGCTCAGACAGGGATTGTTCCCCTTAGCCTGGCCGGCGTAGTGCTCGCCCTGGCTGTCCACCGTGCAGGAGCTATTGCTGCTGGAGTCGGTGCCTCCGCCCCCACAGCAGGCGGCATCGGCAGCCTTGATATCTGGCAAGAGTGTCATTGTGGGTGTCTCCAACGGAACGAGGTTCCAATTCCACCTTTAATTAGTTGCGTCTTAGCTGAGACCCTAAAACAAACAAAAGCGCTAATTAAACAAACAAATCAATAAACAATTGCAAGTGCGACTTCCATCAAAACAACTCAATTAAGCTAATATTTATTTACACTTGTCTGAATCCTATATCATTAGCCTAAGCATTCTGGAGTGGGTGTCAGCAAATGCTGCTAATTTATCATTATATAAGTTCAGGCAATTTGTACTACTCGAACCCATTGAACATCGAGAATCAAGCAAAGTAAGCATGACTCTAGAAAGGTTTTAGCCTACTCAATCTATGATATATAATGTGATATTTTCTATATTATATATCAAATTTGAACGTGAACCATCAATAGAATCTCATTTTGAATGAGTTCAGCTCAAGCACAAACACTCAAATAGGAATATATATCAAAGTTCAACATTTTAATTTTACATTAACATTTAATTACATTAAAAGACGATTAGAGTTCTTGCCCAGTCATAATGGGCTCAGGTCATAAAAATTAAGTTCCATTTTTTCAAGTAAAACATTGCGTATATACTAAACTGGGCTTATGTGATACAGTCTCAGCTAGATTCGGGCACAAAATGGGTTTGGAAAAACCTCAGTTGATATCTTTTTTCTTGGCCAAATTAAGGTGAGAAATGCAAACCATGTTGGCCTGTGTGTTTTTTTTTTTTTTTTAAATAAAGCTACGATATTTTATGCTACATTTCTATATGCTTTTTATATGCAAATATCGTTTATATATATAAATATTTTACCAAATTTTTGAACGTTTTATTCTGAGTCAAGTTTAAACAATTGTTAATATAAATAACTCTTTCGTTTTTAGATACTATTTCACATGAAGTTCTCAGCGCGCATCCCAAACACGCTAAGCTACATGAATAACTATAGAGTTGGCGTTACCTTTTAAAATAATTTTTTTTTATGTTATATTTAGCTCTCAGAGGAAGTTTCTAAAAATATAAAAATATATACTTATAACAATAGAAATATTTATTTCTGGCGTCTACGTCTTAACGCTTAACAACAATTTACAGATTTCCCACATCTCTATATAAGAGGGAAAAGCCATTTTAAAAATATATATTCGCTATGTATATAGTTTTGGGCATTTTCATACCCTGAATACATTGAAAATGGATATTCAGGATTTTGACAAAATTGAAGCAGCAAGAGAATTGGCTAAGCCCATGATCATCAGCTGAGTAGATTGAGCCATATCTATATTTATACAATTTTAAGAATTTATCTCATCTCACCCAACTAGCCGTCTAGCCATCCATATAAGCTCGATAAACTCTTAAGCCACAAGAGCTAGTGACCTGAGAGTTTCAGTGTATATTACTCTCATTTCTTTTTTTTTCAGTAATATTCATAAAGGGTATCAGGGTATCTCCTAGTTGTGCACTCCCTAGAGGACGCACTTTTTTCCGAAAACATAATATTAAAATATAATATAAGGGATAGTTAACATGTATTATTTATTTCAATTATGTGTCATTTTGACAGTCGACAGCTCTTTTCCGCTGGAAATCTCGACAGAAAGTCATTAACGTGTCGCTGCGTAACGAAATGAATGAAGCTTTACGCTTGAACAATTTTGGAAAATACTGCCAAAGTCAAAGTTGTGTAACCCGAACAGAGCGTTTATTGAAATGAAGGTTTCACTTTAGATTTTCATTTTTAATTTTTGTATTTTTTATTTTCATCTGTTTTTTTATGCAGTCTGATTCAAGTGCATATATTATATCACGTTGATATTTGGCTTAAATTCACAGTGAATAGAAAACAAAACCAGTTTGAAAAGCGCGCCAAAAAGCGAATCAAAGCCATGACAGGTAAACACAGCTAGACTAAATGTCATTTGTTGCCGAGGCATTTGGCAAGACCAACCAAATGGCCAACCCACTTCACTATCATTGCTAAATGGCGGCTCTGGAACATTAACTTTGCTAACATTGAGTTAGCCTTCGTTATTGGCACACGATTCATGTAAGGGTTTGAGCCTCGCATGCTTCCGAAATGAATCCGTGATCATCGCAACCAGCTAATCTTTATAGCACACGAGAATATTGAAGGTAAGACAAAATACAAAAAAATATACTTTTAAATAATAGTTAAATAAAGCAGGTCAGAACCTCGCAATCTGTCGCACAATGCGTAATACTCGTTCACTGTCTAAAAATAGTTTGATTTATTTAAAAATCGATATTTTCCCAACTGACACGCCCCAATGGATAGACTATAAAATGCATAGATCGATCTGTTCGGGAGGTCAACTGCGATCTAATGAACAGCTCCGAACAGGTGAAACATAAACTTTTCCGAGTTTGCTCACCCACAATGGGAGTTTATTTCTAAAAAAGAGGCACTTTATAGAAAGCCAATATACTCCTTTCAGTTTGGGAACAAGTGTAAAAGTTCACATTGACGCAGATAGCACAACTTTAAGTAATTTTTAATAGATTTTTAGTCATGAAAATACCCCACATACTTTACTTCTAGAGAACCACATGTATGCGCCCACACACTCACCTAACACACACACTCATACTCAAGCACACACAGAACACTTCAATTATGAGCTTCTGTTACATGATTAACACCTACTGTAAATGTGTGTTTTTTTTCGTAAATTCGGAGAAGTGAGAAACTACAAATATCAATAAAGATTAAGGTTTTAATCACAGTTTCTCTATTACAAAATATAAATAATATTGCAATCTCAAAGGCAGAAGCTAGAAGTTATAGGAAGTAGTACTGATATGTCTAGAAGATACCCTGCATGGTCGTTCCTTACATGTTGGAGTGCGTATATAGACTGCGCATTTTAAGCATTGCAGGGTATAGCTGGAGAAGTTCTCACACATCCATTAAAATTAGAGCGTGCAAACATTTGGCCAAACTTTGTACTCAATTAAACAATGTTTTTTGTTGAATTCTCTATTTAAAATTCGTCCACCAAAAACATACAAATATATACCTATCTATATATATATATATATATACATGTATACATGTATATTATATATATATAAAGAGAATTGCGAATTGCTGCAGATTTGAGTACATATCAAGTGCATTTTTTGATTTAGTCATTAATTGAATCAATGGCAATTGAACTTGTCGTTCGTTGTGTCGCTGAGGTCGTCTATATGGTCATACACAAACATAGATATGAAGCAGCTAGTATTATCCGGCTTTGCCCGGACTAATTTTTGTTAAATATATTCAAATATATAGTATATATTTTAATGTTTTTTTTTTTTAACTTAGGATAATACTTATACATATCTGATCTATAGGTAACAAATTTGGCATTTGGAACAGAAGTCTATAATTTCCAGGGTATTCTTGTAGACATCACACATTCAATGGCAACATTGTGAGTGTTCTTTTTGAAACAACTTTACAAAAAACACATTTTAATTTAACAAGGGAATAATATTACGTATTTGAACTCTAGAATCACATTTGCGATAAAGAAACGTAGCCTCGCAAGGTCAGCACGGGGCGATTGACTTAGAAAAAAATGCTGTAAACAAACATTTTATGTCGGAATCAGGAATCAGGGCCATGGGTAAAATGTGTAAATATTGTCAAATGTATGTATTTACTTACACATCCAATGTAAATATATGTACGTAAAACCTTTTCAAGTTGTGCGGCGTGAAGCGGAACAAAAAAATAGCACAAGTAGCCGGTTTTTCGGTGCTTTACTTAGAACCTACCAAAATGTGCTAAAAAGTTGTAAAGTTTCAAATGCTATCAACAGATGGCGGTAGGTAGAAGATACATAAAAGTACCCAAAGGCAATTAGAGGCCAAAGTTCCGAGTCCATATGGCTAACAATTCTTTTCCTATTAAGACCCACAACATCCATTAAAAACAAGTTCACATTCTAAGAAAAAAATATTCTTTTGGCCTTTGTGTTCGTTATGAAAGGGGGAAAACATCAAAAAACAGAATGTTGGTTTCTAGGCGCTGTTCTCCAACGGGCATGTTTACTACTAGCTGATGCTACGTCGCATTATCAGACAGAGACACAAGATAAACAGACAGAGAGACGCTACTGGCCTACTTTTCAGTTCTATTGCTGTTGATTCGCTACGTCACAGCAGATTATTTACAAAAACAAAAGGGAAAAAGAAACAAAAACAGAAACGAAATCTTCTGCCAAAGAGCTTTCGACTGAACTAAAAATGTGCAGCGGCTATTGCACTTATTTATTATCTTTCTCTCGCTCTCCCTCTTTCTCAGCATAATTATGCTCGAAACGACCGAAAATAAGCCAACGCTCGCTTGTTTACGCTCTCACACTCTCGCACATAATTCTATGCCACACATTCAGCATTAGAGAGAGAGTAGGGTAACCTGAACCTGTTAACCGTTGTTGCCGGCGTTCGATTCTATAATGTTTCTTTACACTTCTTTCGTGCGTCATCTGTAACTGCGCTGACGTTCCTAGGCCTGTTTCGGTTTTGGTTGTTGGTATGTACATACATAGACTGCAACGATTGAACCTAATATTGTTTACGTAACTCAATTCATGAAGAGGCGGCTTTATTGATATATACTCTACTCATTCAAAATAGGTAAAAAGGGCAAGATTATTTTGCGCAAGATAATGTAACAGACAGCCTCATTAATCCATGATTAAGGTGATAAGTCGAACATAAAAATATTATATTTTTATATATTTTTATTTCTTTATTAAAAACACACATAATATTGCTTTAATATATAAACACATTTGAATGTCATATGCCCGGAGCACTTTATGAAGATCAGACGTACAATGAATGCCGAAGTTATTCACGAATGCACTTCCCGTAACGGGTGCTGAGCATGAAAATACGCAATGTATGTATGTATGTATGTGTGTAGGTTTGTGAGATTTTATGTTTTTACACTCGGCGTACGAAGTTAACTGGAGTATATTGATTTTTAGTGAATTACTGCTCATTTGTCCATGTGAAATATTTAACCTATAGATCAATTATACATATATTCTATATTTGACTATTTATGACTTTACGTTGATGATAATTTGAAATTCAGCGTATGTTAAAGAATATGTTTTACATACATATATGCATTTAATCCATTAAAAAAAAAACAACTTTCGCAGTCGTCAAGAACACTTGGAACACCACAATGAGTTAGTTACAGGGTATTACACAGTGTCACCATTTGTCCTAGATAAGTGTGTCTGATTGCTTTGTATGCATATAAAAAGGTAAATGTTCGAAAATACTTATTTATGCATGTAAGGACAAATTGCAGAGTTTCGTTTTTTATTTATATAAGCATTAAGAGGGCTTGCACACTGAACACGCGATCACAGCATTTGTATAATTTGTTATTGAATTTTGTAATTTTGAGCGGCAATTCTATTGTTAGTTTGTTGTCAGCGATTTTTGCTTTTCGTGATTGCAGCAAAAATCCCTTTGTATGAATATGATATGAATTTATATACATACATATATATATAAAATTCACATTTGGAATTGAAGAAGTAATACTTTTGAACAAAATCTTTTTCATTATAGGTAACGAATGCAATTGTTGTCATTCGTTATCGCTTTCTGCGCTTTATGGCTCTTTCTTCATTGAACTTATGCAGATCGACGACGCGTAAATGAATTTTAATTGTGTGCTATTCACTATTTGTATATTATTTACTTCTTTGCTTTTCACTTTGGCGCGTCTTCGTCCGTTTAATGCGCGTTCCACATTAGCCGCTTGCTGCCGTTCAACTAAAGAACTCGCTCCCAGTGGCTTATTATTATAGTACTCCAGCTAAGTCAGTCCAGATGCTTGCTCAGCTGTGTACAGTGGTACTTACCGCAAACAAACAAAATTCATTGCTGCACATGCATAAAAGTTTAAGTTAACGACTTAAATAGACAAGCACAATTATACAAGCATATTTATATGTTATCTAAAATATCTTTGAGGCTTGCCACATGAAAGTATGACTTAATTATATATGTCTTTAAATAATGAAGCACTTTTCATACACACTCAATTCAATGTGCAACAAGAGCGATCGAAAGCTTTGCGTCGCTCTCTGTGTATTGTTCGCTCATTTGTTCTCTCTTGTGCCGGCTCTTGTAACGCTTACGTTACTTCATTTACGTGACTGCGCAGCCGTTACGTTGTTTGAAAATCAAATTTTGTTGGTTAAATATTTACTCTATTGCACTCAAATTTGAACAACATTGGTAACATTTTTGAAAAAATGTGTGATATGCAGCCAAAATATGTAATATGTATTCTTTATTCATGGCCAAGAGGCGAGTCAGCAAACTCGTAACCTAGCTTAATTAGTTCTAATGGATTTGCAAAGAAAAAAATTAAAAATCGAGCCTAGTTAATTAAAGCCATCAAAATTAACTTAAGAAATTTTTCGAAAGTTTAGTAAATATGGCTTTTTTATTTATTTATAATATATCAAATAAATATGTATTTTTGTTTTGATTAATTAAAAGTAATTAGATGAATAAATGGTTTTTTTAATAGTTTTTCGTTACCATCATTATTCACTAGGAATTTAGTTTAATATTTTATGCATTGATTTTTAACACAGTTTAAAGCTAATTTTCCATATTTCTGGGAGTTTACAGATTTTATACAGATAAATTGCTAATATTCTTAGTTAGTAACGATTTAAGAAGGTAATTTTCTATATTTCTGGGTATTTTCTTTTATATATAGATTAATACCACGACGTTTTTACCACGATAAGAGAGTTTATTAAGCATATTTTTAGTGATTTTCCCTATTAGTTAGTCGATTTCTAGTGGATGAAAGAACTTTAATTTAAATTTAACCGCAATAATTAGAGCCGCACGACAATAATTTCAGAAAGAATTCGATTGAAAATCTCAAAAGGTAATTGAAACTTGTTTTAATACATTTTGAGCTTGACATAAATTGCATATGTTCTGGGTGTAAAATGTAAAATGAATCGTAAAAACGAACTATAATTTATTCAAATATAAACTGTGAAACTTACAGAATATATTAAATGGAAGCAAATATTGTTGGAGTTGAGCGAATGAATGATTCATGATGCTGCAAAAATGACAAATGCTTTCGTAGTTAATTATATAATTAGTTTATTGTTTGTCACAGTAAATGCGAACAGTTATGCAGTTAAATGTAATTAAAACCGTTTTTTTTAAATGTTTTTAATGACTTAACTAAAACACATTTTTTTGCTTGAAAACAGTTGTGAATCGGACTGAAGAGCCGTTTTCTTATGCTTCTTTTTACACCAGTTATTTGACCTGAAAATTGTTAAACGTAATTTAAAAATTACAAAATTATTACAGATTATAAAAAATTATACAAGTCAGCAAAGGCCTCAGTGGCATCAGAGTTTTAATGATTCATGAGATTCATCAAGGTTTATTAAAAAAGAAATTCAATAATTAAATTCTTAACTGAATTACGTATGCAGTAGGAGAAATGTTACTTTGTCCCTACCTCTGGGCTATTGAACGAGAAAGGAATGTTAAGTGCTCAGGGTGAATAGTACTGAAGGTTCTTTTCATACATATCAGATTTACTTAATCTGAGGGAGCTGCTGAATGCTGAGTCGAGAGCTTTTGACAGCTGCCAATAACAGAATTGAAGTAAATGGAAATTATTAAAAAAGAGTCAAAGAACTTTATTTAATGAAGGTATTCAAATCAATTACTTTTAAGTTTTTTTTACACTTTGGTGTAAGAAACTCGTTGCTATATTCTAAGCCTTTTGAAAATGAAAATTTAGATTGAAATATATATGCTACAATTTCTGTAATAGATTGTTTATAGGATATACTAAGAAATGTACAAAAAATAATGTCGAAGTTAAGTTTTTTTAGCATATGCTGTAGCTAGAGTTATTAAAGTAAGTTATATACTTCTCTTAAAGAATACACAAATAAATATATAAATATATATAGGCTATATCACTTTATGAGTTCAGACAGGGGTTTCTCTGGCTGTTTTAAGACTAGTTCTGAAACAAGAGCTGCGCATTTAGCTTAGGTTTCCTATGATAATATAAACAAATGTAAATATGTAAGATGAAATTTGTTCACACTTGAACTTAAGTAATGAATCAAACTATAGCCCATACAATACAAACATATTCTTATATATTTTTCATTTAATCTACTACAGCTTAAGCGAAATCTGTACAGATTCCATGGCATATTTTGTTGAGCTACATTCATTTGCTATTTAATTTTTATATTTTATATCATCATATCATCTGCCTTAATGCACAATTTTAGTTAAATGTTGACACTTTGAACCATCCTATTAAAGTGTTTTCTGTGCCGCAATTAGAGAAAAGTCAAGCGAAAAACCAGTTTTTTAGTTCAACAGTTCAATTCAAGGCCCTTATTAACGCACATAAAAGCCGCCCTCAAAATTTTTGCATTACAGAATAATTTTGCATTCGTTGTAGAATGTCTATAATGATATAAACTTGATCAATTTCAGTTAACGTTAACTTTACGCTTGCTCGATTTTGAAAAACACTGTACTTAGGTAAGTGTGCATCCATTTATAATATAATCTTGCTAATTGAAATAATAACAATCATAAAGGAACGGTTTTCTTTGCTTTCAAAGAGTCGAACTGCAGGTACACTTGCAGGACAGATATATTATGCAATATATATGATATATAATTATACATCAAGAGAGATTTAGCTCAGACTCAAAGAGAAGAGAAGCGAAGACGAGTGTTTATTTCATAGTTTATTCAAGTGAAATGCTTATCAGATACGGAAACAACGACAGCATATTATTTTTAATAATTTGTTAAACAAGACTTCAAGGCTAATTCGATTTATATAGAGCCGCATTCAAAAGCAAAGTCGCCAATTTCAAGATTATCTATAGGAAAACTTTCAGTTTCATCTACACATGACAGAAAAAATTAGAAATTATTGAACTATATAGTACTTAGCCTGATAAGAGTTGACCATATAGCGAGCGCGTGACAATTCTCTACACGATTTCTTACATGTATTTGTGGGCGTGTGTAATATAGTTAAAACTAAACAAGAGGTCAATGGGTTCAATTCCGGCTATGAATATGGTCGTAACACTAGATTGTATGGCATAATAATACATTGGCGAGAAGAGATCGAAAAGTTTAACGACCAAATGAGCGACAAAAAAGCAATATACTAGAAAACTAGAAAGATCGTTGCTGTCGGGTGTACCCGACTACCATATACACGCCACTAAACAGCGAAATTTATGTCTTTATGCGTGTCACGCCGCTCTAGGCAGCTCATATAATTTATAAATCTCTCAACAGGTCCATACTGATGCAAATCAACATTTTCTAGTCATATGTTAAACTAGAAAAGACATAGTCCATAGAAATTCAATACTCACTTGTGAGTTTCTATATAACTGTCTATATAACTGTTAAAAACTAGATTATCCGATCAGTGCCAAAATATCTTTGACATCAATATATATATAGGAATTATAAGATTTGCAGCACCCTCTCAGTATCTCAGCTATAGAAGTACTAAATCGCTAGCTGCAAAACTAATATACCCATTTCACAATGAGCTAACGAGCATTACATATTGCCTAGTCAAAATTTTCATTTGTATATTAATTCCCACTTGAATTCGCAACGAAATAAAATCGCATTATAAAAAAATCCACTTGCTACGCGGATTGTTTTCTAATGAGTTGCATGCAAATCCATAATGTCAGCCATATCAAGCGCGCAGCTCGGCATTTGATCACTAATTAATCCATATGACGTGAGGTACTGAAGCGCAGGCAATTGATATGCAGGCAGCAGATGCATGGTAGCTGTCTTAAAAAGAAAGGAGAGTCTTTACTCGATACAAACAGCAAAATTTTAATTGAAACTTGACGATAGATCAAGACTCATGAATGGAATAAAGTACGAGCTGAGCGCTGGGCGGCATTTCGCCCTGACTCAGACTCAGTTATATGACGAATGGAACGAAGATCGTGCGAGAAAGCCGCCAAGTAAATTGTTCGCTATACTCACAGTAGATAAATATGTATATAAATATATATTACATAAGTGTATCGCGAGGCATTACAAAATTTAAATAAAACATGTTAACGTAACATAGAGCTAAACAATATTTTCATTGACTGAATTCAAATTTAATAAAACAATAATAAATAATAATATAATATTGAAATATAACTCGAGATTGTCAAAAATGTATATATAAAATAAAAGCAAATATAAAAAAAAAATATATATATATATAATATTATATTATTATTTATTAAATTGATACATAAAAAATAGCTAAATAAATATACGACCTTTTTCAGTCACAAGTTTAGTTAGCATATTAGTTTTTACTATAATATATAGTTACAATTTGAATTATATATCTAACCTGTATATATGTCTCTATATATATATTTTGGAACGTGACTTTCGTTGGCCCATTACCAAGTGGCGACGACAAATCACGTCGCACCGGAAACCAAGAAACCTTTGACGTAAATCAGATTCTAATAGTCTTCGGCATGCGAGACACGATCGAAACAATCCCGGATTACCGAATAAGCTATGCTCTGCTTAATACCCAAAAAATATGCAGGCACGTCCACACACATATGTATGTATGTGTGCAGTTATTTCTATTCTTTGCTAACGATTTCAAAGTTCATTAAGAAATCTGAATGAGATCAAGTATGTGCAGCTGCATTGACTTTATCACTTGAACTTGACCAATATAAAACAATTACAAATGTGGGAGAAACGGCAAACCGGTCTGTGTCCTCCTCTATCCATCGGCTAATCCACTTGATAAGCGCAAATCCGGCAAATGTAAAATCCGCGACGTTTAATCGGGCATAAGCAGTCATAAAAGTCATATTAAATGCAGCACGAAAAACACGTAAAGACTTCCAATTTTATTGAGCTTTCAGGTTCGGCATCATATAAACGCTGCATTATATCTAATCAACTTAAGCACACTCAAAAAGTGGGCTGATTGTCTTTATGGAGGAACCTTCAGCAGAGGTTGATATCAATTACTGTTTAAGCAATTGATACTCTCAGCTGTCATAACCAGTTGAGAGTTCGACGCTTGCAGCCTTTGCAAATACGCGGATTAGATATGTAGTAAAAATATTCATTTATACTTTTGTAATATTCTAGATTAACGCGCTTACCCAGCTGACAGGCTGAACGAGATTTGATCAATTCCACTCGCACTGCCATACATAAGTTATATACTTGCTGCACGAGCTGCACCACGCCTTATGCCACCAAATTTATGATTTCACCCCGGTTAGAAATTTTCAATTAATTAATAGCCATTGATTTTCTAGTTTCGCTTTGCTGGAAATCTTGAATTGATCATGGGGGTAGCCCAAGCGATACGCCCCCATTCGAGTTTCTGTTAGGCTTATCTCGTATGTGAAAAGAACAGGTTTTATAAATTTGCCATATGTTCCATGGGCATTACCTTAAAAACTTAATCACTTTATGCAATTGATAAAATTTAGAATTTTTAAATTGTATTTCTAATCAATGTCAACCGAAAATATAAAAACTGATATTTGTTTATGAAATTTAATATATATCAAAATAATATTTTTTATTCTTCAGAATCAATGTAACTTTAATATCAATGTATATATTTACATACTCTTCCACTTAACTCAATCATATGTTTTTTTAACTTTATTATAAGCAATGATCAATTAAATATTTATAGCACTCTTACTTCAATATTAGCTTTGACTCAGAGCGCCACATTAAACCATAAAATATTATTTCATTTCACAAATATAAAAAGCTACTTGCACACGTATATATACATATATATATATAAATAAATACACTTATATCAGTTCAAATACGACGTATATAAATATAAAAACCGCCTGCAACTGCGCTATAAATATAACTAAGCAGCAAACATAAACGAAAACAGAACGCGCAACAATGGGAAAGAGGGTGAAAACTGAAAGGTGGTTGAAAATACGCACAATTAATTATTGCGCCAATATTTTAAAATATCACCAGGCAAACATACTTTTGCATGAGTTGGCAGCACCCTCACTGTTAGATTCAACTCTGCGGTGGTTAGTGATTGATAATTAAACGATATCGGCTTCATTCGAAGAGTTATTTTATGAATAAAAACGTTTTATCTCATGGTATTAATGCACATAGTCATTAATTATAAAATAAAAAGAACTTAAATCAAAATAAAATAATTTAAGAAAAAAAAGAAGATTCATCGATAAGCATCATATATAACATAACATTCTATCGAGTGATTGTCAATCGACAATTTAGTTTTGTTGATGAATTATAAACAACGTGATGAAGATCTCGCGTTTTAAAAAATCTCACAAAACGCTTGCATTTTTTGCAACGCACTTTGATTACCGTGAACCGTACCAAGTACTTATCGACGCCACCTTTTGTCAGGCTGCTCTACAGGTGAGTTAAATAGGAGTGCTCGTAAAGAAACTGAATAATTGAATTGAGATACGCATTTTACTTTTAGCACAAAATTGGAATAGAGGAACAAATCAAAAAATATTTTCAATGTAATGTGAAACTTCTAACCACACAATGCATCATACTCGAAGCGGAAGCACTAGGAACTCCATTGTCAGGCGCCTTAACGATTGTCAAGCAGTTCCACGTGCATAAATGTGGGCACGAAGGCAAACCTGTTGCAGCTGCGCAGTGTCTGAAATCGATGGTAAGATAGTATAGTTCGAAGTAATATCAACAACTATACACAATTTCAATTGCAGACAAAGGACAATCGCTATATAGTCGCAACGCAAGATCGTCTGCTGCAGGCAAGTCTGCGTAAGGTGCCTGGACGTTGCCTTCTCTATCTGCACAAAGCGACGCCAGTGCTAGAGGCGCCCTCAGACGCCTCTAAGAAATGGGTACAAAAGAAAGCCAAGAATTTGATGCTTGGCCAACATGAACAGAAGATCGAGTACATGAAAGAAAAACAAGGCTTAAAACCAGCTGAAACTGTTCAGACGAAAAAAGTTAAAGGGCCAAAGAATCCTAATCCGCTTTCATGTAAAAAGAGCAAAAGAGCGAATAAGCCCAGCTTACAGCATGTAGAGCAGACAACTCAGCTGAAGGCCAAAAGAAAACGGATCAAGATTCCAGAACATGTAAAGGCAGCGCTTGGAGCAAAATAAACTTTATCTTATTTACATTTGATTCTTTGTAGTATAAGTAAAGTTATCTTATCAAAATATGATCTGTGTGAGGTCTTATAGTTTGCCCTCGCGGATTTTGTTTAAGGTCTTCTCGGTCATGAAGTGGCCTAAGATCTTGGTGAGCGTTGCATTACGAGCACAATACGCCATCGCATTAACCGGGAACAAACCACACCAAGTGAGATCCATTTTGTTGGCTATGGCAACCGCGAAGAGATCTCCACAACGTTCCGCTGTTAGTCGCTTCTGATTGGCTGTGCTCGCGCCCACCTTGACGCCTTTGGTGTCCGTGAATGCTTCCATCAAGAAGTCTGTGGCAATGGGACCAGGTGCAAAAATGGTTACATGCAATTTGCGCAGTTCCACCTTCAGTGAATACAAATAGGCATTGAGGGCATGCTTGGCGGCGCAGTAGCTTGCCGAGAAGGGCACCGGACTAAAGCCAGCTATGCTCGAAGTGGCTGCAATATGGCCTCTTCCGCCGTTCTGCTCCATAAAGTAGCGCACAACCAAGCGAGAGAGATGCACCACAGAAAAGACATCCAGCTCGAAGAGTTCGCGATCCACTTGAATCTCAATGTCTGCCCAGTTGGCGCGCTGCGAGCGACCCGCATTGTTAACCAACACATCGAGTCGCTCGAAATGATTGAGAACAGTGTTTAGATGCGCTTGATGTTTGTCCAGTTGCAACATATCCATTTGAACGACCAGCACGTCCTTCTGAGCCAATAGGCCACGCGCTGCTGCCAAGCATTCGACTTTCACTTGCTCCAGCTGTTCAAGGCGGCGTGCACTAAGCACCAGACGCACGCCATGGCGGGCCAAACTAATCGCCAGGGCGCGTCCAATGCCGCTTGAGGCACCAGTTATCCAAACCACCTGTCCACGCATTGTCGATATCGAGTTTCCGAAACGAGATTTGTACCATAAGGCCACATTACAATCGAGTATTATCCAGAGTAATACATAGCCAACATAGTAAGCAATCAGTAAAATGAATAAAAATTCAATTAAAGACATCATATGGCACTTTGAACTTTAACGTAATATGCGAAGCAGCAGCTACGAACTGAACGTAAACTTTCCTTTTGTAGACTGATAACATTCTCAGCTGATTTCGATATTTATAAGGTAGAGAGAGTGAGAGATGCGTATTGATGAGCGAAATATCGGCAGTAAAATTTAAATTAATTTAGTACTTGTATAGAGATCAAAATTTCAGGTATTGGCAAACATATGTTGAATAATCAAGCTTAGGCCGGTAGATAGTCATCACTATGGAAATTAATTGTATTATTAATTTGAATATATGAAATATTTAAATTAAAGTAGGCGTGAATTACTAAGTTAGACAATTTTTATTTTCGATATATTCAATTCTTAGTTTATATTTTGTATAATAAGATTTATCAATTTTCAGTGCCTAGAGTTTTTTAACAGTAAATAGTTTGAAATTTGACATTAATTATTCACGCTTGCACCACACCATTCAGATTCCCACAGATCTTCTCTATCTCCGAATAGCCAGCCTGTTCTAGGGCCATAATCGCATTCGCTAAGCCCACTGTTTCTCGCATTGAGTGCGCCTTCACCCAAATTCGACCGTTGACACCCACGGCAATCTCGTAGGGCAGCTCCTCGGTGAGGGCTGCCAGTGCTGGGCAGCTTTCTCGCAGCAATAGACGGCCTAGGTTTAGGCTGCACTTGAAAAAGAATCCATCTTGCAAAACACCCAGCTTGCCGCTTTTGCCATTTGAATTTACGCACACTAGCTCGGGCTCAATGTCCGCATTGGCATTGAGAACGCGGGCGTAGAGCAGATCCCCAGGATTTAGATCTGGCCTATTCTTTTTTGTAGCTGCCTCAAATGCAAGGTAGGAAATTGAGGCCATGTCCGCTGAACCAATATCCACGCGATATAAATCGCCCGCTCTAGCCTTCACTATGCCAATAATTAGATCTCCTCTCGCTGGCACATAACGCCGTTGATAGTTGTCCACCCAAAATGTGTTTGGCTCTTTGTGTCGGAGCGGGCCCGCCTTGCTGGCTACAACTTTGTCATCCAGTCTTCTTAGTCCTGGGCCTAGTATGACGCGCTTGTTCTTCGCCGCGTCTTCCACAAGCGTAACACGCTCGCCGGGCATAATAATACTCGTGTTTGCAGACATAATGTGTTTAACAATAATAATAAAAATACAAAAACAGTGCCGGCCGCGTGCTCCACAGATTGTTGATTTAATATCGATGAATCGATATCGGCGTTACTGTTACAACACTAACAGTGCTGGGAAGTGTCAGCATATCGCCAATGGTTAACATCTTATATTATTGAAGAATTGTTAAATTTTGTTGGCTATTTTTAATTAAAACTAAATATGTTCCTTCTATCTCAAAGCTTTTACCCAAATTTAAGTGATTGGAAACCACATGTGGATGCCATTTTGACTAACCTTCGCACAAGGTCAATCTTATATCCACCACCAAGCTACCGGCAGTCAGCTTCTGCCCGAAAAATTCCACAGGCAGCACCTTGCCTGGAGTACGTATACGCAACTATAGCGGCAGTTTAGGTCCCACAGTCCACAACAACAATGGCTAACGTTTTAGTATCGCGGACCTTGTATGTATTACCCTTGCTGCAATCATCGATACCAATACAAGTCAGCGCAAGCCGAAATAAAAACTTCGTCGCATCATCGCGTTGTCCGACATACGATTTCAGTAGCAAATCAGCCAGCCAAGCCCGAAGCTCACAGAAGTCGCTCTCGTCTGGATTTAAATTTTTAAAATTTAAAAGTTCTTGGTATGTATTCAAGTGAGAAAATTGTGTTCTATTAGTATTACTTTTTCCTCTCAATTTTATATCAATTGTTTTTAACCGCGAAATTAGCTTTCTATGAAAGCTATCTAAGTTATCTAATACATTTTTTTATTATGTATTTTTATGCAAACGGTGAATGTGAATACTTGCATATATATATAGTTATATATGTATACTTTTTAATTAATTCCTTTTGCTCACTTATACAAAATTGTAATAATTTGTCAATATTTTGCACTTTCTTATCGTAATATGCGAAAATTCGCTTACTTTTCGGCGTTCTTCTGAGTCCATTACTTTTGCTGTGACCTTAAAGCGCTCTGTAGAGGTCATTCGTACAAGCGGCGAGCGCTATTGCCATCGCGCTCTCACGTATCGCTTGTAAAAAAAGTATTTCCTTGCGGGAGGGAAATGGCTGATTGTTCTTAATTTTATCAAATACCGGCAAGCATAAAGAGATAATATAATTAATTTACCCAAATACGCATAGAATAAAATAATTTTTATTAAAATTTACTAGTTGCACGGAAGTCAAAATTAAGTTTCTTTTACCTATAATAAAAATGCTATTAATAAATTTCTTTTATTAAATAAGTAAAATGCATTTGTGAAAGTGAAATCAAAAGTAAATAATTATTAACAAAACTTTTTATTATGTATTTTGCAGTTCTAAAAATAGCAACATGACCATCAAGTCGATCAAAGCACGTCAAATCTACGATTCGCGTGGCAACCCCACCGTTGAGGTCGATTTGACCACTGATTTGGGCCTGTTCCGGGCAGCTGTTCCCTCTGGCGCCTCGACTGGCGTGCATGAGGCTCTGGAGCTGCGCGATAACGACAAGGCCAATTACCATGGCAAGTCCGTGCTGCAGGCTGTCGGCCATGTGAACAATACTCTGGGCCCCGAGGTGATCAAGGCCAATCTGGATGTGACCGATCAGGCGGCCATTGACAATTTCATGATCAAGCTCGATGGTACCGATAACAAGAACAAGTTTGGTGCCAACGCCATTTTGGGTGTATCTCTGGCCGTGGCCAAGGCTGGTGCTGCCAAGAAGAACGTGCCACTGTACAAGCATCTTGCTGATTTGGCTGGCAACAAGGAAATCATCTTGCCCGTGCCTGCCTTCAACGTCATCAACGGCGGCAGCCATGCTGGCAACAAGCTGGCCATGCAGGAGTTCATGATCCTGCCAACCGGTGCCACCAGCTTCACTGAGGCCATGAAAATGGGCTCTGAGGTGTACCATCACTTGAAGAATGTTATCAAGGCTAAGTTCGGCTTGGATGCTACCGCAGTGGGTGATGAGGGTGGCTTTGCACCCAACATTCAGTCCAACAAGGAGGCTCTCTGCCTCATCAACGACGCCATCGCTAAGGCTGGTTACACCGGCAAGGTAAGCAAAACAATTAAATTATATATTTTGTTTATTTATTTAATATTTGTTTTGTATTCAGATTGAAATCGGCATGGATGTTGCTGCCTCTGAGTTCTTCAGGGACGGACAGTATGATTTGGACTTCAAGAACCCACAGAGTGATAAGGCACAGTGGCTGTCGCCCGAAAAATTGGCTAACTTGTATCAGGAATTCATCAAGGACTTCCCCATTGTCTCTATTGAGGATCCCTTCGATCAGGATCATTGGGATGCCTGGTCCAATCTGACTGGCAACACCAAAATTCAGATTGTCGGTGATGATTTGACTGTCACAAACCCCAAACGCATTGCCACTGCTGTCGAGAAGAAAGCCTGCAACTGTCTGCTCCTTAAGGTCAACCAGATCGGTACAGTGACAGAATCCATTCAGGCCCATTTGCTAGCCAAGAAGAACGGCTGGGGCACCATGGTGTCTCACCGTTCCGGTGAAACCGAGGACTCTTTCATTGGTGACCTGGTCGTTGGTCTTTCCACCGGTCAGATCAAAACTGGCGCTCCATGCCGCTCGGAGCGTCTAGCCAAGTACAACCAAATACTGCGTATTGAGGAGGAGATTGGCCAGGGCGTTAAGTTCGCTGGCAAGAACTTCAGGAAACCACAATAAATCTCGCTTCTTATAAATTCCAATTAAGCACCAAGCACCCGCTCGAATTAACAAATACCAAAGCAGCAAGCGCAAGCATAAGCGCCCAAGCAAGGTGTGAGTTTGGTGTAGATTTGTGTCTGGCGCACAATACAAACCGATTTATTATGTCCCAAAATTGCATCGTTATCTAAAAATTATATTTACTGATATCAGTACTATGATACACACATTATTTATAAACGTATGATTTGGTCTCGCAGAGATTTGTAACCAGTCGTACGTCGCTTTTAGCTACGTTATCGCTGTGTAACTTTAATAAAGATTGACCTCTCGACTCCTTAAAATTATTGTAACTGGTTCAGGTTGTTCAACTTTATATATCCATGTTAAAGCAGCGCATAAAGTTCTAGAAGCAGACATATAATACATTTTATTCAAGTGTTAGTAGATGTGAAATAAATATTGTTGAAAATAGATGTTGCACAAGTCTTTTGCTCCAATCAATTTCAACCTTTCGCATATTCATATTTAACACCTAATATTTATTTGAAATTATTTATATATTAATTTAAGATTTCGAAATTATAAAACACATTTTTCGCTATTTTATTTAACTTTGTTATTGAAAAGCTGCGATCCATTCTAACCATCTGATAGGAATGGAAATATTGAAACCATCATGTGAAGAGAGCATACAAATAGCTCAAATATTCGACCTTAAGAGAAGGTTATCAGAATTTTTGCTAACAACTGACTATTTCTTTGAAATCTCTGGCATTTCTTTGAAATGGAACTTTGGAATCGCTGCCTTGAATTGTGTGTAAATATTTCATCACACATATCGATTTCTTATAAGACTATAATGTAAATATGTAATATAATGAAAGTATGTGTCATGTTTAGCGAAATCATTTCATGGCTTACGAAATCTTTTCATAGATTTATGGATCACGGCATAATGAAAGCATGAATATTCAAATCCAAGTGAGAGTAAATTAAAATGGCAGAAACGTTGCTGTTTGACTCAGATCTGTCTGGTACATTCTCCCAGCCTGCTAAGAGTAAGTATTCGATCCTCGATAAATTAGAATTCACCATTCACTATTTGGACATACACTATTTTTTACATGCATCCAGAGACGTTTTATTAGAATCGCTCCTACCTCTGTACTACCCGCCTGGTAGAACACCATCAAGAATTCAACGATAAAACACGCAACATGGATGATTTCAGGCGATTCAGATTAAACTCATGAAATTTTGTTATTAGTTGAAGTTCGTGCCGCATAATGATTGGAGGGTTAGAATGACTCGGCTATGTGGAAGGCAGTTCGGCTGCTATACGACAGTTAGTAAATTACCAGAATTTATTTTGTCAAAAAATATGTTGCATACTTTTAGGCTGAAGTTAAGCCGCTTTGTTGCCGAGGCTCGCAATGGGAAATTTTCTGTTGCATAACTTCGGGCACTTTAAAAAAAAATTGTATTAAATAAAAACATGTGTGGAAGCCATGCGTAAACCTCTGAAGTATTTAGTATTTTGAAACTTTTTAATAGATGCAAAAAAAGAAAATTTAAATAGATTTTCTGCAAGACTAACTGAAAGTATGGTTTAATGATTGATAGCAGACTCAAACGAGTCTTCAATCACTCGTAAAAGGGGGATTTGAAATAATGTTTTTATAATGTAAAACGTAGATAAAACCTTTATTTGCGTAATATTTAAAAAAGTTATAAAACTTGTAATCGTTGTCAATTTATTGTTTCATAACGTTTAGCTAACTAGAGTAAAAATACTTATTCAACATTTAACAAAACTAAAAGCTTTTTTGATCAACTTATTCTAAAGATGAGGTTAAAAAAGTGACATAAAATAGGTGTCTGATTAGAAAACCAGGTGATATGCTTATCTATCTATCTTTCTATGCTTAATTTGTAATACCTAGGGCACCGAATTGGTTGCAATGGCTATAGGCCAAGTCGTTGGGCCCTTTAACAGAATATCTTCGAGAGCAAGTTTAATTTTGATAAAGCGTCGCTTGAACTCGAGGCCACAGCCCTTCGAGAGTCGAAAATCAACGAGTATTTTGCCATCCATCTCAATGATGTGCGCCTTAAACACTAAGCGCAGCTTGCGTCTATCAATGGTCGAGATTGTGACAACACCATCGTCGCTGACCTTGCACGTGTAGCTACCCAGGCGCTCGATGGTGCTCACCAGCCGCTTTATGGTATCGTCCCAGCGCGTCGTCACAAAGAAGCGAGTCATGCGTCGCACCAAGCGCTGGAAGAAATTCTGCGATGCGCTTTGTTGCGTCTGATTCATCTGTGTTGCCAGCAGCAGATCGTCCAGCATCGCGGGCTGTGAGAAGCAATAGGTTAAGCGTGCCTCCTGAGCCAGTGCCTGCCTATCGTCATCTGCCTCTTGGCCATTCCCATTCGATTTACGCAATCGCGGCACAAACTCATCATCGCTGCGCATCGTGGGCATCGGCTGAGAGCAATAGTTGCGCGATATTGAATCATCCAAATTGCTGCTCAATTGTGCGCTCGACTGTAGGCGCTGCCGCTTAGCCTTGGGCGAGCAAATCTCCAGAGCGGCGGCCGAGTCAACTAAATCATAGGAACGATCTGCAAAAGAGGCGAATCGACGCAATTAGAAGTAATTGAAGACAAACAAACAGAGAAACTCCATAAACAAAGACAAAACTGCAGTTAACTGAATAAACGAAAAGAAAGCAATGCAAAAACCATTTGGTTTTTGGTAATAAAGCTCTATGGAATACGCGCACACCATACAGCTAAAATCACCAAAGAACAAATAATATGCAAAATAAAAAGCCAAACGAAATGATAATATAAATTGCTATGCATATAAATATCAATAAGTATTTGACTGTTTCACAACTCTGCGGGGCTTGGGCTACAGAGCCAATGCTTTGGTAATCTAGCTTTATGAAGTATTTAAATCTATCATACAGCTAAAGCGCCAAAGCAACGGCAATGGGGCGACAATATAAAAACACTTTTTCATTATAGTTCACTTGCACTTGCTCGAGTTCGAGTTCGAGTTCGGCCTTCGACTTTCGACTGTGTGTGGCTGTGTGCAACACGTGCGGCACAGGCACAGAGCGACCCTCAAAGTATGCAAAGCAATGGGCGATTGAGAGTCACTAAGTACCTGAGCTACAGGGTGTGCGGTGCGGGGCATAAATTGAGCACTGTTTAAGTTTACTTATTGAGCCTCTTACCATGCTCGGCAAACTGCATGTTGCACCACTTGTGATCGAGTATCTTGTCCAGCGTTAGGCGTCCACCCGGACTGCTGGCCAACACCTTGCGCAGCAGCGACACGGCCAAAGTATCCAGCTTGCTCCATGGGGTTTGCGTTTGCCAGCGATCGTTGTCCTTCCAGGTGATAAATTCCGCGCAGCCAGCCGAAGGCTGATCCCAGGGCAGCTCTGTGGAAGGGAAATAGACAAAGCTGAGTTCATTGCAAGAGCTTTAACCAATAGCAGCGTGTGGTGAGTTTGGTGAGTTTTGTTTTGTTCCGTGCAAATTAGAAAAGTTCATGAACATTTATTTAGCTTAATTCGTGCACTAAACAGTTTGACCAACTGTTCTTTTTTTTTTGCTGATGTTGGCGGGTGGTGCGGGCGGTTGGGCGGTGTCAAGCAATTTAAGCTGGAGCTTTGGTATAAAAGCTTTAGATGATACAATATGTGAAAACAATCTACAGCTAGAATACCAAAGAAACAGCAAAAATGAAAGTTGCAATTGTGTGGGTGAGACAAAAACATATAGAACAGTGAGTTATATATAAAAATATATATATATGTATGTATGCATATATAAAAAAACACAAAAATCACATAGACAAATCGTGATGACCGTGTGTAACAGTGCCGTTATTATTGATTAGAAACGAGCAATGTGAGCGACAGAATAGGAAACGATATGCAAATGTTTTTTTTTATTTTATTCTGTTTTTTTTTTTCAGTTATTTCATAAGCAGGCAGTAGGTGTCAGGATAGAGTGAGGTGCATTGTACTCACCACCCGCTAGCATTGTCACCAATATGACGCCACAGGACCAAATGTCCGCCGGTTGGGCATGATACGGCTTCAATAGAACCTCAGGCGCCACATAAGGTAGGGTGCCGCAGCGCTTGTCTAGCAGACGCTCTCGCCCCTTGCATCTAAGATGGAATAAAGGAAAATAAATATAAATTAAATATACTTTAAAAATTGAATAAGTCATAACAAATTAAATTAAAAGTACAAGTTTGTAGTTATAAAATATAAATAAATATAACATTTTGAAATATATAAAATTATGCTTGTGATGTATACGCTTCCACGCAGGCTTAGTATTATATATTAGTTATATAATTTCAAAACAATTAACAAGCTATAAAACACAAGAAATGTGGTCTATTTGTCTATTTTGGCTATTTCAATATCCTATGCTATATGCTATCATCAGTTATAGGCTTTGATTTGTATTCTTATATTTCCTTCTACAATTATTGATAAAAGGCATGCGTATAGGATGTTTCTATTGAATACTATATTCATTTATATTTGAAACTTGAATATTCATCAATAATTTAGCATTTTCACAGCCAATTATATTACCATTATATATAATATTTTATACAGATATATATAAATATATCCTATAGTCTGCAACATTCAGTATAGTATTACTCTAAAATGTGTCTGCTTGTTATTAAACTCTTAAGGCAATAGAAGGCTTCGGCTATCTCACATTCTGAATGTTTGCATTACAGTAAAAAAGTTTTTCCATATTCCAATATCCATATAATCTAAGGCATGATATACCTAAACATAGTGGCCATTCCAAAGTCGGAGATTTTAACATTATCATGTTCGTCCAGCAGCAGATTCTCAGGTTTCAGATCACGATGGGCAATACCACGTTGGTGCAAATAGTTCAGACCAGAGAGCAGTTGGGTGAAGTAACGCTGGGCTTCATGCTGCGGCATGCCAATGTCAGGTTCTGCAAATAAAAATCAACTGTGAGAGTTTAAAGATTACCAAAGCTCTTCATATTGTTCAAGTTTGACAACTGATATATTTTAATTCTTTATAATTTGACTAAATAGCATTACAAGCTACTTACCGATCCGATCGAATAGCTCTCCACCGGCAGCATATTCCAGAAAGATATACTCCACATGTCCCTGGGATCGCTTGCCAAAGAAGCGTAAGATGTGCGTGTCCTGTAGCATTTTTTGTATGCAGACCTCTTTACGCACTGAGATCACGGCATCGGGATGCTTCTTCAAGTCGACCATTTTCATGGCCACGGCCTCTCCCGTCTGACGATTGATAAGCAACTTGACCCTGCGCCAACAAAGATAATAATTGTGTTGCTCTTTTAGTTTTACGTGCTGAACATCGTTTACTGTCGGAGGAATTATTCAATGCAACCGAGAGTAGAGCCCCGAGCCCCGAGCCCCGCCAACCCCCATTGAGTCTTTGTCTTTGCATGCTGCAGTGCAGTGCTCCTGTTACCGTGTCGCCGAAGCTTCATAGTTGGAGCATGCGCGCTACACAGAAGCGAGCTTCGGAACGCGATAACGGAGCAACAGCAGCCACTACGCCGGAAAAGTGCGATTTCTCTATTTTCGTCTCACAGCATTTCCGGTTTATTGACTTCAGCTCGTACGAGCCAAGCTGCAGCCAGCAGTGGCCTTTGATTTTGGATTGCATTGCGTTGCATTGCTGTCCACTTACTCGCCATAGGCGCCTTCACCTAGCGTCTGCGCTAGAGTCCAGCCCTCAACGAATTCGCGGGTCGCTGACGTCGCGGCTGCCATGTCCTTTGATTGCTCAATATGTGTGCCTTGATATCCTGTCTGCGTAGCATTTACTACCTATTGTCTCCAGCGGCCATTATCTCTTAGCTCTTTGTCATGTGAGCCTCAAGCAGAGCTACAAGAAAATAATTGAAAATTAACCATAAATACTCATAGTTCATCAAGTTGAAGTTTCACTGTCATTCATACATATCAGCATCAGTACATTCACCTACCCTCAGACATATATATATATATATAGATATGTATTTCGGGGATGCTGCGGTGCAGCTTTGTGGTGTACAAACTATAGGGAAAAAACGTCAACTTTTTTATACTGTTTAAATGTTTCATCTTTTGGTATGGTCATGGTTCGCTCATGCGCTGTTCACTGCTCACTTAAAGCTCTATCTAGGTATATATACGATATAAGTTAAACATATAACAAACTTATATATTTAGATTGTGATCAACTTTTCTGATTGACATTTAAACTGGTATAAAAACGTTAGTCCTTCTACATATAAATCTATCCAGCCGGCATTTGGGATGCTGCACTTGCCACGCTGTTCCTTTCGTCCTTAGGCCGGCTTGGGGTAGAGACAAATAGAGCATCGTTTGCCTCTTTTGTTCTCTTAGACGAATGGCGGCATTCAAAGCGGCTTTTTTCTCCTTTTCCCTTTCTGCTTGAAAGCTCTCGATGTTCTCTGCTGGTTCGTTCAACAGGCCACTAAACTTTTGTTTATAATATTGTTGTGTGTACTCTATTGAACAGTTGACAGAGTGCAAATGCTGCTCTGCTCACAGTTTGACGGACGAACAGCCTACCAGTACAGTTTTGATTAGGACAGTGACAGCGGCCTCGGGGAATTCCAGACATGACAATTTATGCAATCCTCGCATTATAAATGCAAATTAGAATATGTCGTAAGTGCTGCTTTGGCTGTCAACCTCATCTACGTCGGAACAGATATCGAATTCCAGTCAGTTAGAGTATATATGTACACATATGTGAAGTATACTCTTCATCTAGCCATGGTATGCACATCTATGATCAATGCAAAGTAAATCATGCCTTCGATATAGAACAACGGTGTAGACAACAAAGGAATGATCGATTTTCAAGAGAATGAAGTAACAAAGCAACATTTAAGACTTAGAAATATATATATGACTGTATATGACTGATATAGCCAGGCGAACTATGTGTGCAACTGATGAAAACCAGATCTACATGCATCATCTATGCCACTCTCAATGCCTTACATAAGCCATACAATACATTCCACTCTCCAGCATAACACATGTTTAAGGGTCGCTGGCAAATTCGCTATATGATATAATAAAAGAACTGAAAGACACTCTGCGTGCAGCTGTTTTATGAAATATGATAAATAATCAATTTACATTATTATAATATACCATAAACTGAAATTTTGATATGAAATTTGAACTCTTTCATAGAAGTAATTTGAATAAACTCGACCTGCTGCTCTCAATACGTATAGACAATTATGGAGAGCACTAGACCCACTATGTTGGCGAAGGGCCCTGGAATAAACACTTTTTAAGATCCTAAAACTTTAATACTTTAAATACAACCGATGTGGCCAAAAATATGAAGGTACAACGTGGAGCTTAACATGCATATCCCATTTATATATTTTTTAATCTAATATAAATTTTGTGAATTTTTAGTCAAATTTTATAATTTGGAAATATATTTATATTTTTAAAGCTTTTCCCAGCTAGTGCATAGAAAGTATGTAAAATGCAAAGCAATTCGAATATGATAAGGACTTTAAAAAGGAATATATATTTTGAATATATATAAAAGTAAAAATATAAAGCCAAAGCAAAAAAAGTGTCTAAAATGAGAGCGAGTACTTCTCACAGGAAGACGAATTACTTTCGTCGCATTACTTCATTCATTTAATGCAAAATATTCCATTAAAAAGCCTGCTATAAGCTTGTTGCCCATACGATCGCTGTTGCTTATCCCTCGTCTAGCTGGAAACTAGTCCCCTAGCAACAGCAACAGCCACTGCAACAGCGACAAAAAAAGCTTATGCTGTGGGACTTGCCAGTTGGCACTAGGAGTTGCGGCTGGGAGAGTTGCCCCGCCAGCCTGTCGAAGAAGAAGAAGAAGTTAAGCAAATACGAGTTTCGTCAAGTATTTTTATTTGAGCACCGGTTTAGTTTTTTTTGTTTCTGTTTTTTTTTTGCGCCCTGTACATGAAGCAGTTCCTGGCACTCTAGAGGCCTCTAACCGCCTCTTGCCGCGGAACAACAAATGCAGAAATGAAACAAAAATAAAAGAAAGAAAGAAAAGATATTATATGGTTAGGATAAAATATATACTACACTATAAGAGACAGGTATCAGTGCTGCAGCTGGGACGGGATGGAGATGGACATACTCGTATCATGTGGCTGCCAGAGTTACGGACAGACAAGCTCGCTACGAAAATACCAGCCCAGCCAGTTTTTATTATAACCTCTTTTTTTTAGAGTATTTTTGTAGCGGCAGCTGGAAGCAGCCACGTGTACGTGTGCAGAGAAAACTTGCTGAGAAACTGAATAAAATTGAGTTTTTAATCGACATAGCAAGTGGGAAGAGATTTACCATCATAAGATATTTCGTGCTGGCTGCGATTAAAGTTATCCTTCGCCTTTGAGACACGCGCGTGAATTGCATTTGTTTGTGTGAAGTTTTCGCCCGCTTTTTTATGCTTCGCATTTTGCTTCTTATTTTACTTAAGCCCACCACCGTTTGCAGCTGAAGTCAATCGCCGCGATTGATGAGTTTTTTTTCGGAGAGCGCTCACTGACAGACACTACGCGTAGTACACACACTAACACACAGACGGACACACGCGTATACATATATATATACGTATATGATTCCGGTTAATGTGTAGGTAACGTTTTGTCTGTATCTAGACACCTCAAAGGTGCCAATGTCCCGGCTTTTGTTTAATTTGTTTTGCGACAGCTATGAAACGGTATTAACGTAAGTGTTGTCTATTCCATTTTCTCTGCTTTCCTTTATTTAATACTTTTATTTCATATTGGCAAACTAAACTATCTATCCGGTCTCCTGTCACATATGTATATCGGCTCGTCCTGGGCAAGCGTTAAAGTGAAACTGTGAGCAGCAAATGCGACCGATACATGAACATTTTATAATCTACATGACATGGACCAGGCTGGCAACTCGAAACTTCCAGGCAAAGGCGAGAGAGTGAAAGAGAGAGAGAAATTGGCAAAGAGGGAGAATGAGCGAGTGAGCAAGATTCACAGAGAGCGAAGAAGAGATAAAATATTGAGAGCGAAAGCTTACGCATGCGCGCGCCAAAACGTCAATTTTGGTGGTTGATACACTCTCTCGTAGCAGTGCGAGCTCTAAACAGCTTCCAAGCAAAACTTGCAGCTCTTAAGTTTCATAGAAGCAGCTGGGACTAAGTCGGCGACCGAGACGAAAGCAGCACAGCACACAACAGATATAGCCGGTGAGCGTAGGGCAATTGCTACGCAGGCGACAGCCGGTGAGCGCAGGGCTGTTGCTTCTTTTACTTCTTCTCCGTCTTTTGGCTACTCACAAATACCAACATACATGCATACGTATGCATATAGCGTATACATACATATGCATATACATATAAATATATATATTTATATACATGTATGTGTAGATTTTATTATTGTGCAGCGTAGTAGTATTCACTTACAGACTAAAGTCGGCGTCGTTGTACGACGTGTCCGTCAATGTGACCATAAGAGTTACCCCATTCCCCACTTTGGTAGTCCTAGATTAAGAGTCTGAGTCGTACCTTTATGTACACACAGATGTACATAAAATGGAAGGTGATTCCTTGACTGTACATTAACGAGTGGGACGAAATGGCTGCAATTAAGAGCATTGATTCACCTCTTTCTTTTATGTCATGCTAACAACATACGAATTGAATATTCTAAAAATACAAATAAAAAGGTCAGCTAATTTTATCAAAGGTTAAATACCCTTGCAAATATACATTATAATGACTGTTCTGTACATGAAGTTAAAAAAACCCTCTCTCTTAAAGTTAATGATACAATCATTATCTTATATATTACCTATAGAATATATAATGTAACTTACTCTAAATATAACCCGAAATTAACTTTATGCTGAACTTTCCGACTAGGATATCTACTGAACCCAGTTCAATTTTAATATTAAATAAACAAACTTGGCAGTTTGCTCTCGATTAAATTAAATTTGTTTTAAATGTACCTTCAAAGGTCACATTTTAAATAATTCACATTCATGTTTATTGACTTTGAGGGTATTTGTTAGTCGAGTTCTTTTATTCTTTTTTGGAATTGCAGCATTTTAAAGATTTCAAGTCTTCCCGACAAGAGTCGGGACTCGTTTGCGTAAATATGTACTATATATATGTATATATACATGTGTATATATTATAGTATATATATTCTTATGTGTCCGCAACTTGTTTACCCCCGACGGCTGTCTGTTACACACATAAGAATAAATATATGCATGACTGTGTAAATTGTATGTAGAGGAATATCTACAAGCATAAGAAAATCGTGGCCCTCATAAATAAGACAGCAGCATCCCATAGTCCCATAGCAACAAAAATTAACTATCACTCTGCCTGAATCGTGTTTGCCCTACTAACAAATTTACTATTCTTATCTTAGGTTATTTAGTTTCTACAATAGTGAGTTATACGAAAGTATAGACAATTACAGCATGCGTACGTATACCGTTAGCATGCACTACTCATAGGTTTATTATACTATTGGTATATATGTAGTATATATTCAGTGTTACTACTAGAATTTATTAAATAAATGTATATTTATTTTAAATACAAGCTAAGCTAACGATCATTTAAGTAAATATTAAAGCATTTTTAGGTACATTTAACTCTGTTTCTAAGTCATTTGTTTATTCCAATAACATTATTAATTGGGAATCCTTAAAAATAGGTTCGATGTATTATGTGTATATACATACATATGCATATATTAGTCAATTGCTTCTTAATTTAGAAAAAAAAGTAGAATAAATTTTAAGCGGACGTAAACTAAATAATAAAAACGAACTGTTCAAATATATATGAACATGTTCAGAATATATTTGACACTAAAACAGGTATAAGTGATTAATGTAGACTAATTTACTTCAAATCTTAAATTGAACGTTATATTATTTAAAATATTGATGATTTACTTCATTTCTTAAATTTAATCTTATATTATTTAGAATATATTCTCAGATATTAATGGGTAAACGGTATAATCCTTAGTTTTGTTTTATTTTTTAATAGAACAAAATACATATTTTTTAAGAAATATTCCAGGCACGCTTTGTGTCATTTTGTACTAATTATATGGATCACATTTTTCTCATTTCATTTTATTTCATGACATTTCATTTCATGACATTTTATCAGATTTGGGTTAGAGTATTCTATTACTATTGGACGACTCTGTGCTTCCCTTCGCCTTTTCCCGTTTCTGTTGTTTCTACAAGCAATTTATAGGGTATTTCGATACAATCATTGTCATCGCGGCTGCTTTCCGTATCATTCAAATGCGAATTGCCAGTATTATAGACGCTGCCAATATTTTCAGATTGCTTGTTCTTTAGATTTTTGGATATATTCGCTTTATTCGTTTGGCGCTTTTTACCCGGTTCAAAATACTTTGGATCCAAGATCAATGGCATACTTCGTCGACCATTTCGCATAACATGAATGCTGCCGTGTGGCAACGATTCAGTTCGTGACGGAGCTAATGAGCCATCAGTCATTGACATCATGCCAAAATGTCGCATCATAGCAATCGCCTCCTTCTCCACGGTGCTTTTGTCATCCCAATCTGACATTGTCGCGTGCTCACCTAACGGCTTAGTGCCAGCTATCATTTGAATACGCTCCATCATGGCCAGACTGGCGCCTATTTCCTTTGACTTTGTGCTTCGATCTTTCTCAATCTCCGCATTCCGCTCTTCCCGTTTAGCCAAATACTCGTAAGTTGACTTTGGACGCGGAGTAAAGTCTTGCTTTTGCTTGGCTTCATACGCTAGCTGTCCATGTATTAAATTGAAATCAGGCTGTAAATCGACCAAATCATCCTCGAAGTTTGTTGATGGAGCCCAGGCCATATTTTATTTGCTAAATTTATATATATATTAGTAGGGAACCAAACGCTGTCGGTGCAAATGGATTGTCTACGAGTGTCTACCCCGTCAACATAACCTTGTTCTTTTTATTTTGCATACAACCGACACATGTATGCAGGTATGCATATTTGCATTTGTATATGTATGCATGTGTGCGTGTATGTATAGTTGAGTTCAGTTGCATTGCCGGCTAAATTACAACTAACTATGTAGTTAACCAGTAACAAGACCGCTACAAGCCTTTAACACGCACTTTGAGCTTTATGTAAGACACTTACTTATTGATATAAATAATTTAAAATCCAATTCTTAATAAAAAAATTCTCATACAAATTATTTACAATTTCTTTGAATTTAATTTCATAAATTCTAGAGTTGTCTATCTCTACAAAAGCAGAACGCGTTTTGGTCTTATTTAGCTAGTTTATCGAATACCACATGAAATTATCATGTAAGTTTAACAATTTTAAAGAAAACAAAATAAAACCAAATTATTTATACATTTATAGAGCTACATAAATTAATAAATAATTTATTTTTTTGCAAAGGTATAGTTTTTTACCCCGCATATGAATGTACAACTAAAATCAGACACAATGTACATATATTTATCTCGCTCTAACATCATGAATTACTATGCGCAATACAACAAAACGCCGAAAGAATTGCGCCAAAACAGTCGAAAAGCGAAAAGAACATAGAAAAGAATGAAAGTTTATGGCCGCGAAGCTAATCTTTAATACATGAAGTTTGCGCACATATATGTATACCTAAAGCACCGGTAAATATATAATTATCATCAATTAAATGCTCAACTTACCGTTTTCAAAATGCGATTGCACTGCGGTGCGGCGTTTTATTTGCACACCTTTTGTTTATGTTACACAAGATAATCTACACACCAAGCCACAAACATTTACATTTAGTGACCACAATTTTTAAATATTGGTATTTAGGCACATATTAAACGTATTAATTTTGGGAGAGTTTTCTAAAAGGCCGCCGTCGCCTTTTGCACATTTGGCAAATTTAGCGGCGAGTGTGACAGTGCGTGCGAACAGAAAAATGCAAATTTTGATGGAATGTGGATGTGGAGGTTAGTCGACTATTTACAAAAATACTGTAAATACTAAAACTTAATATCAATGAAGGTAATATCGATTATTTTCCAGTTAGGCGGCAAAACGTATTTTCTTTAAATGGGGGCTGGCGATTGATTTAAGTTACTACAATTTTTTATTATCTAAGAATGGTGTTCGAAATATTTTTTATTTCTGAAGCAAGTTTATCTGTATGAACGATCAAATTTACCATTGTTCATTGTTCCAATAGCCTTGCAATTGCTGAAAGGGCCTTAACGGGTTATTAGGCAATTTATAATCTACAGACTCTTAATACTCTTATATATTTGTTGCAGGCAAAGAGTTGCAATATTTTGGCCACACCTTTTTCTCTTCACCCACACTTTAGAAGCCTACTTCATCATATTTCGCAGGCTAGTCTAATGATGACATCCTTTTTTCAACATTGTCGGTTACTCCTGCCTGTCTTCAATACTACACTCATGCGCATTGCGGCTGAAACAGCCGGTCATGATTTTTATTAATGAAAATCCAAAAAGTTTTTGCCTTCAAACTCAGTGCAATCGCCTGGCTTCCCAGTTGCAATTCGACAACTGGCCAAGGCGCATGGAAATTCGGAAAAATTCGGATAATTCGCAACGATAATTAACGAGTGAAAATATAAACAACGAAAAAGTATAATTATAAATTGCAAGCATTTGGTCAAAAGCTAAAAATTTAAATATATTTACATTCAAAAAAATCCTGGAGATATTAAATCTTAAATTTTCTCTCTTAACGTGTTTAAGAAATAGCTCAACGAAAGAAAAAACTTTTGTTATATGGTATCTGAATGGCAATGTGTCAAACACACCCTCAACTTCTTTGCCTGAAGTTTCTTATGTCAATATTTCATAAAAGCAATAATTGATTTATAGGTCAATCTCCACCCAACTTTCTGACGCCCTTAAGCGTTACCTAATTAAAAACTTCTCTTGTGGCTGTGGGATTTGATAGTTCACATAGTTTTACTTTCTATACACATAACGGAAGTATATATGCTTATTTCGGTACTCTAATTAGACGTTGATTGTGCATTGTAGTCAGGTGTAACCGACTGAAAAATACTCTGTATAAGCTGTGCATGAATTAGAAAAATATCTTATTGATTTGTATATGGACATCAAAGTTTCTGCAACTTTTAATCAGATTTCGTAAATAGAGTAAATATATGAATTCACCAAATTGAATGTATTCAAAGGTTCAAAACAAAAACAAACTTATTCATGCGTCTAAAGTGAAAGGAAAAACGTAGAAATAAATTTTCAATAAAGTTGCGAAAAATTCCATGAACATTGCGTAAATTTAATTATTTATAGAAACAAAACGACGTGATTAAACAACGCAAACGGAAAAATCGATCAAAATATTAATTTAAACAAATATATACATATATTTATACGGAAACTATTTGTTTGGTTCGAGTGATTCAACAATAAAGCAGAGGCGTGCAAATTTTAATTGAGTTTTTCAGTAATTGGCAATTTCTTATTTCTTCAAAAGTTCAATTTTCAATTGTAAATTTCGAAAGATTTTTTGAGTTGCTGTTGCCAGTCGAAAAGTTGACGTGAATACTGCACTGGAGGTGCTTCGACAGCAGACGCGTTCGATTGCCGCACTCAAGAGGAAATCTCAACTCAAGGTAAATGCATAAATGGGAAAGAGCGAGGGCTCACAATGGCCGATGATAGCTGAGCACCCTCTGTACATCGCTGCTTTGTTTGTTCTCTGTGAAGTGGGTTGGCCACTTGTGCCAGTTACTCAATTTTATGCAGTTTTCAAACCAAGTCAATGGGAAATGGCGAATTTGTGTTGCAAAGAAATTTCAAAGGGTCTCCAAGTCAATTATTTCCATAACACTTATCTTTTTTTATCTTTTGAAAAACACTCAAAAATAATATGTAAATACCTGAGAAATATTATTTTATGATAAATTTACAAATAAGTAGTAAAATAAAGTTAGATTTGTCTTCGTCAAAGCAGTCGACTGTTAAATAACCAGCTCAAATACAAGCTTTTCACTTACAACCCTTGCCGTACGTACGCTTAGAGGGCGCTAGTTAAAACTCTTTGAGCTCAAAAAAAAAAAAAAAACAAAATACAAAACACAAGCACCCACGTAAGGAGCAACTGTCGGGTGGCCTTTAGTAGACGGCGCTTCGGTTACAGTGAGTGCAGTGCCCTGAATTAAAATGCGCTCAAGGACAACAACAATAGCAACAGCAACAACAACAGCTGACATCAAGAAAATGCCAACAGCAACAAAGCTGCAACTAAACGTAGCAAAAAGTTGTTATTAATTGGAAGCCAACGTTGCGAATACGTAACTTTGAAATATAAAAAGGAAATAGTTCACTGTATATATGCTATTATTTATTGTATAAATGTTCATAACTCTTGCAATTGAATAAAAAAACTGGCTTAGCAAAACTAGTATAATTTGGCTTGGTGCCGTTACAAGAAAAGCACACTGCTCCTAGCTCGACATCGACTCTCACATTTCAGTGTAAAGAAAAGAGTACACTAGTCAGTATTCTCGATAATATATTTATTTTTAGAATAAAACAAAAACAAAATACACTGATAGAGATAGGCCCAAGCGTAACGTTTCGTCGCTCTCTTGCACTGCCAGAGAGCAACTGGAGTGAGAGCCGGAAGCTTAGTGCGATCGAGAGTAAGCTCGCCATTTTGTAGGTCACTTTGTTGTTCCTTGCTTGAAATTCTCTCTCGCTCTTTTAAATTTAGGCAGCATGTGTGTATGTATATATAAGTGTATCTATGTATGTATATTCTGCATGCACAAGCAGCAAATTCAATTTTATTCACATTTTTTCCCATTTAAGTGGGAATCCTATTATAAAATAGTTAAATAATGTCGATTGCATTGTCGATTAATAGAAAGTTTGCAAACGACATATTCATATTGAAACAGGATTTTTTAGGTATTACAACTTTGTGCGTACTTTGACTTGTCCTTCTCTGTTGTCTTTGTGCGAGGCTTCTGAGAGCCAAGTACTACGTGCCAAGGACGCGAGGGTGCGTATTCCACAGGCACAAACACTAGCACAAGTTGATGCCGGCATCAAGGCAACAAGGACACTTGAGGGCCATGCGTGCAACACTTGTGCTCTCCACTCGGCTTGTCCCTATCTCTTGTAGGTAGGTGCAACAGCGTCAGCATCAGCACAAGCTGAATTTAAGGGGAATTAACTGTACTATGAATTGTCTCAATATTTGTGAGTTGTGCTATAAATGCTTCAAAGGCAAAGCATGGCCTATTTAATGATTTTTCTATTAATCGAACATTTTTTAGAATAACTAAATCAACTGCAGCAATTAGTTGTTTCACTAAACTACTAAGCCATATTCTAACATGCCTTTAATCTGTAGGCTATGCTTATCAGTTAACTGTACTAACACCTCAATTTATTCTGCTTTATCTTTTGCTAGTTGTCGAAATGGAGCGATGTCAAAACGGCAGAAGAAGGAGAAGGTAAGTGAAATAGAAACTCAACTGTCTTAGGGCTGGATTGGATTGGAAACTTGTATTAAAGAAGCTCGAAATAAGTTTAAGTTTAAGTTTCAAAATGTCGAATCCCAAGATTATCTTTAATGTTTTTCTTAGACGCTCGATCAGTTTTAGATAGATCATGCAGAGAGAGAGAGATAGAGAGAGGCCGAGAAAGAGACATATAGACAGAGAGGCCGAGAGGCAAAGAGATAGTGAGAGGCAGACAGTCAAATAGAGAGAGAAAGACGGAGAGAGAGTCAGGCAGAGACAGACAGGGAGGTGGATATAGAGGCAGACAGACAGAGGGACAAGGAGAAAGAGAAGCAGACAAAGAGGCAGAGAGACAGAGAAGCCGATAGATAGACTGAGAGACAAATAAAGAGGTGCAGAGAGAGAGAGACAGAGACAGACAGATAAACGAGAGGCAGAAGGAGTGATAGAGAGAGAGACAGGCAGATATATCGTTAAATCAAGAATGCATATAATAATTTATAGGCACGCCTAAGACTCCTTCTTTCTCTTGGCTGTTGTTATACCCTGGAATAGCCACTTTCAATGGGAAACGGATAAATATGATTGGGAATGGAAATGGCAACGATATAGTGTTAACAAGCAGGTCAAAATCTGTTAAGAGTTGCTGTGTTAAAGTGTTTGCGCACAGTTAGATTGTTTTTTAGGTCAATCAATAGCGTTTCAATGGTTTTCTGATTACTTTGTAGCCGCTAAGGTGCTGCATTTATATATTTGCATGTACACACTTGTATGTGTGTGCAGGTGTGTGTTGGCCATGTGTGTGTGCGTGTGCGTGTGTGTGGCTGTCGGAAACTGTTGACCATTTTGTTTTTGTTTTGTAGCGTTGCGTGTTCAGGACCTACGACAACCAGAAGGCAAGGCACCTAGGTTAGGTTAGCTCCTGCGCAGACTCATTTTTTCCAACTCACACACATGCATACACACACACACACTCGCTGCACTCGTGTGTCTGCGGTAAATCAATGAAGGTTCAACGTACGCTGTCACGAGCTGCAGAAGTGAAGACAAGCTTGCTACAAACAAAAGCTTGCAAAGCACAACGAATGTCAAATACCCTTTAAAAAATATAATGCTAAAAATAAATTTACTTTTAATAGTTGAAGTCTATAAATGAATTTCTTTGTATGAAAATAAAGCTTAGGCAGGAAACGAAAAGATTTATGAAATGTTTTATTTTTTATTATTTTTTCAATCTCGCTTGATACACAATGGGGGCTAAGATTGCTAGACTACT